TTTCTGCAGAATGATTTTTTGCATGTAAAGTTACTACAGATGCCTCGGCCTTCATTATGAGCTCTTCCCCAGGAAAGCTGGGGTATCTTCTGGCATCGAAATGATGAAATGTGCCAACTATAGTTCTCAGAGAATAAAGTCTACCATATGTGGATCTCTTTAAAGTTGGTTCTGCGGATTAGATACCCATAGGGCTTGCTTATGATCTTGGAGCCCAGCTAGGAAATTTGGGGTGGAGAATGGCCTCCAAAGCATTTGCAGGAGAGAATTGGTGGGTGGGAGAAGGATTAAGCACCTTCTCGTGCTCAACAGTTCTCCCATGCATACACCCCCTCATCACCACATAATTTTAGAGGAAAAGCATGATAAGCAGTTCTTTTAATAAGTAGTTCTACCACTAGGGCTCTTTTTTTTTTTGCATTTGAGGCCTAGATCCCATTTGGTTCCAATTAGTTTGCAATGCTAATATGAAACCTACATTGGCTATAACATACTTTTAGCCAGCATGGCACAGTGGTAGAGTGATAGAGTGTTTGACTAGGATCTGGGAGACCCGGGTTCAAATCCCCACTTGGCCATGAAGCTCACTGGGTGATTTTGGACCTGGTCACTGTCTCACCTACCTCACAGATTTGTTGTGAGGATGAAATGAGGATGGGAGAACTATGCACACTTCTTTGAGCTCTTTGGAGGTGAAGGTTGTATATAAAACCAAGAAATGGATAAATCCCACATGAATGGCATTCACACCTAGCACAAATACTGCTAGAGGCTCAAAACCACCCACAAGTTTGTGTAACTGAACCCCAACCATGATTTATAAATGAAAAACCGCTTTAGAAAAAGGAAATTTCTTTAAAGAATGCTTAATCTTTCCCCTAACTTCCATTTCTCCACAGGTTCCCTGCTCTGGCGCAGTTCTGAAAAGCAAACACCTTGGAGGATACGCTTCAGAAAAACTGCTTGAACATTTCAATAGCTATGTTGTTTAACAGATCAGAAAGAAAGAAGTTTCAACTGATTTCATTACTGCCAGAAATTTAGAAGACAGAATGATCAGCTTTTGTTACATGCAGAAAGTGCCTTTTCAGAGGGAAGAGGCAAACGCTGGTGCATATTTCAATATTTCTAAGAACTGCAATCCAGATAACACCAGAGGACAGCTTTCCCCATTAAGAAATTGCTTGAGCATAGGTAGTGTGGGATGGAACATTCATGTTCCCTGCTTTCAGCATAGAGTCAGTTTGCCATAATTTTCAGTAGTTCAGCTCTTGTCTAGTCTAGAATGGATCTAAAACAGTAATGGGAAACCTCCAGCCCCACAGACCTCATAGGGCCCAATTTAGCCTGCAAGGCCATTTCCCCAAAGCCATGTGCCATATGTGATGACAGGTGAGGGGGCAGGTAGAGACGCAGCTGCCAGTGCCCAGTTGGAAGCCTTGGTTGAGCACTGGCATGGGAGGCTTGCCGTCATGAGCAGCTGGAATCAGCTGTGCTCCTGAGTTCTGCATGGTGAACTCTGTAGTGCAGTGACTCCCACTGCAAAGCGGAGCTTGAAGTCAGCACCTGCACCTGATAGGTACTTTCAAACTTACTGGGATCAGCTGATCTCCTGCTTTCTCCATGGGGCACTCCATAATGCAACCACCCCATGTAGAAAGCAGCTGATCACCAGTAACTTCAAGCCCCACTTGGCTGGAGAACCTGTTGCTAGAATACAACTCCTGTCTTCCATGATCACTGGCTATCCTTTGCTGGCATCATTCAGGCCACCCAGTTCTTGGTGGTGGTTGGAGAGGTGGATTACTCAATCTGCTTCTGTGTCCTTCTCCTCCTACAGATTTGTCTTCCTCCATACACAACCCTGGAAGCAGGGAACATCCAACAGTCTGATAACTTGGTTATTAGGAGGCAACAGGAGGTTCCTGGAGAAATTCCAGGGAGTTTCCTTGCTCTCAAAAACATGGTTGATCAAGCCAAGCTTGTCAGGTAGCTGTAAGCCATCTGGAAGAGGAAGGAAGTTGGATATTTGACTACGACCAATGCTTCCATTGTAACCTCTATGATACACCCATCATTCTAAGTGAGCTCTCGAATGTCAAGAACATTCCTGAAAGACGCACACATTCATCCTGGCAAATAATACCTAAGCAAACAAATATATGTTTTTAATTCCCATCAAATAGGGTAATTTAAAGGTGAAATAAGAGATAGCAGTGCCATTCACAGAAAATCAATCACTCTCAATATGCTTGCTATCACTCCAAGGATGTTTGCCAGACAAATTAGGAAATTAAAAAGGCATTCTGGCTTATTTGCCATTATTAAACAGTATCCTTATTCCAGTCTTTACCTAACGATTACTGATAAGAGCAGAATATTTATAGGAGAGAGGCACAGGTAAGAGTTGGACAGCAACAGCTGAGAGAACTTTCACTTGTCCCAGAGCAGCATCTTTCGAACCGGTAAGTATTTTGTCCTCCTGGCTGGCATATTTGTTGACAGAGTCCTTGTGGGGTTCACATTTTTTTACTATGGCTGTGGCTCTGGGAATGGTTCCACAGGATGCAAATAAGTAAATCTGTCCAATATCACAAGGGCATTTAGCATCCACCATAGCACAGCAGGTAGGACTGGGTTATCACTAGATTCCCTTTTAGCAATAGAGTTCTGTAACTAGGATAGAAACAGTAGACAATATATCTTCACACACAGAGAAAGGGGTTGCCAACTTCCTCTTCACTGCAGCCGACGCTGACCTAGAGTGTCCTTGAAGTTTAGAGTGGCTTCTCAGGAAGCTTAAGGACGCAGCAGTGGGAAATGGAGGGCTATAAAACCTATGTACGTGCACACCCCTTTGGGTTGCTGGCTGATGGGTTTTAAGCCTTAGTCATGTCTGTCAGCCACAAAGCCCAACATCTAATTATTTTTATGACTCACCTGAAAGAAACTAAAGACTAATTATGTGTGAATTCACAACAGAAAGGAGGTAAACCTGCTTCTAGGACACTGTTTTAGGAACTTATTTTGTATTCCTCCTATCGCAATAAAAAGTGCTTGAGTGGCTTTTTGTCTTTTTTTAATAATAATAAAATCCATTAAGGTTTGTGATTGGTGTTACTGTTGTTGTTTTTTTAAAAAAGAAATTGCTACATGTTTAATTTTATTCACAGTATTACTAAGTGAAGGAACATATATTATAGCTGGATGCTTGAAAGAACAGCGTAACAATCCACACTATTCTTTTTCTTTCTGTTGGCATCAAAAATGATGCCAAAGCCATGGGGGAGGCTGTTCTATATGCAGACCTTTATTGCAATGATAAATTATCTTTCTAGATGATGTCACATGCGATGGCTACCTCTCTCCATTCATTTGTTTGATGTAAAGCTCTTCTGTTCTCTTTTCTGTTATTTTAACATCCCTTAACACATGTAGTAGGCAGAAGCAGCACAAGGCTTGTAGTTTAACATAATGTTTGGCAAATTAGATGTAAATCAGTACAAGGATCCAATGCCTTTTAATAGCTGTGGAGAAGAGAGAATTTCAGTAGCGAAATGCAGTGATGAGAAAACTCCACTCATCAAGATTCCCTCTTAAGTATACAGTCATTAAAGGACATGAGACCTGTCAGAGATAACCATAACTGTGTGCTGAAAAGGATTTTGAACAGCAGAGTTATAGTGATCATTTTCCAGGTTCCACCTGAGGCCGGTTATTGACATACATCAGAATTAGGTGGCACAGTGGTGAATGGACTGGCATTTTGTTTTGTTTTTCTCTTCTGAAATGATATGACACGATGAGGGAAGCACCCAGAGCTTGAGAAGAAAGGAAGGGTGGAGAAGTGGGCGGTCTCTTTTGTTTTGATGGACAGGTTCAGCTTTTAATCACACTGAATTATTTCTCCAGGGCACTCCAATCAGAGTGATCTGAGGGAAGGATTAAAACTTACTTGTTTTACATGTGAATCTGTGTCTTTCCCGTGCAAATCTATGAAGAGCTCTGCATTGCACCCCCCAAAATCTGAAAGCCACCCTCCACCAATGACCCTGGGGTAACAGGATTGTTGCTGAGGGGATTATACCCCCCCACTCCAGTTTTCTGTGGGGATTCATGCTATTACCCCACTACCCCCTTCCATTGTGAACATCAAGGGAAAGATCACTCCTAGGGAGAAGTAACTGTACCTCCCCTGAAATCTGTGGGGAGAGAGCAGAAGACTGCTCCTCACCAATGACCCTTGGGTTAGCAGGGTCCTTGCTGGGGATCCCCACCACCACTTCCATGACTATTATTGTACCAATGCCAAAACAGTAACATCTGCCCTTTCTGGAGGCCCACTGCAGCTATTGTCCTGAAATGTAGGGGGCTTCATCCTCTCAGAAGGGATGACCATGCTTGCAAATCATTCTGATAAAAAATGAAAAGGTTATAGACTTCTTCTTTTTTGTTTTTTAAATCAAAATTCAAAGGTGTCCTGCACAAACCCTCTGAATGCATCTACCTGCAGTTTGGCAAGCTTAATCCATGCAAATTTCATTGTATGAAAAGGAACAAATCTGTAGCTGTTTTTAGATCCCCCGCTATAGTGAATGGCCAGGGAGGAGGGAAGCAAAGCTTCATTTTTAACAGAGGTAATTTTCTCCCAAGTAATTGAGTGGAGTTAAAAAGACACTGCTGCTCTGAAACAAATTGGGCTGCTTCCAAAGGATACACGTTAATTTTTTCTTGCCACTGCGCATTCCTACCTAATGAATGCAGCATAAAAATAATAGGCAGAATCAATAAAAAGTTAAAAGCCTGGTAGAAGCCTGGCACCAGAAACAGGGCATAAAAATGGGCTCCAGACATCCCTCTCAGGGGAAAACGTTCCAGCTCCAGGACGTCAGCAACATTAGTCATTATTTAGAGAGCCCTGGAAAGTGCGTGTGTGACACAATAGGCAATCTGTACCAATAAAGAACTGCAGCCTTTCTGTTACTCATTAAAACTTGTTTCCGTTTTAAGGGAAGCACCATGGCTTTGCTGATGGCTGGACTGTGGCAGCTAGCTACTGTGGTGATGATCTTGTCTCACATCTCAGCATCACTTCCTTCTCTTGGGAGGTAAACATCTTTTCTGTGACTCAGCCCTTCCTTTTTTTTCTTTCTTTCAAATTGTATGATCTCAGCAATTCAAAGATTTCCCACTTTCAGCCCTCCCACCCAGTCACTTTGGTGACTCTTCCCCTCCCCGTCTTCATCACACACAGAGTACTCTAGAGAAAAAGTGTGATGCCGATCACTTTTTGGAGAAATGGACAGTTGCAATGACAAGTACAAGCTTCCTTAGACACTTCTGAGATTGGATTGACAGCTAGTGCTTGTTTTTCTGCAATCTGTTCTTTTAAAAAGATGGAAGGAGCGTAGGAAAGAACACCGTGCAGTTCTGCTAGTTTAGCAGGCATGCAGGGAATATGACCACTGTTAGGACTTTTGTTATTAAGATTCAAGTTTCAAAGTTTAATTACAATTAACTGTCTTTGAGATGACATTGCACAGCTAATGTGTTATAAATATATCGCATCAAAAACTAGTGTTTTCCAACAAGTCTCAGTTCCCCAATTTCCCCCAGGAAAGCCTCCAGTAATTAGTATCTTTCTTAGAGAATGCTCACTTGTCTCATTCCATGCTGCACCTATAACAACATCAACATGCTCTCTGCCCCAGCCCCGACATCCGCACTCTCAGTGGAGCAACAGGCTGGATGGCCTACCCTTGGGCAAATGATAGATGACTTACAGTGGAATTTAATCCATTTTATGTTAGCTTGACTCATTAATTCAGTTCAACTCTACATTTCTATGATTCTCAACCCTAGGCACCAGAGGCAAATCGAGCTCAAATTGATGCATGATGCAGGAATGAGAAGAGAATATGAGAAAGCTGCCAAATTACTACAAAACCTGATGAACTACAAGCGCAGGTAAATACAGAGATAATGCTTAAAAATGTTAAGACTGAAAAGTCATCAGAGAAAGAGAATTTATTCACCTCACCATTTCAAAAGATCGCATACGTGAAGTCCCCAAACTATAGGTCAGGAGCCTATGAAGGGTTGCCATATACAGTATGTGTAGGCTGGTTTTAAATGCTGGGACTCTCTTGGAAGATCAGAAGCAGGAAATCAGTAGAAAATTAGGAGTCTTAGGAGCACGGTGCAAAAGTGTATATAAGGTGCATGGAAATGGGAGGCAGATTTGAGAACTTTCAGAGTTATTACTTAAGCAACGAACAAACATTAAAAACAGATCTAAAACAAGATGAGAAAACAAACTAAAACACAAGAATAATCATAAAAGAGCCGGCTCAACCCCACCCCACTAAACATATGCTGAGAGTTAAGCTCCAAAGGATTCGGAAAATAAACATGTTTTCACCTGGGGCTTAAAAACAGATGGCACCAGTCATGCCTCCTTGGGGAGAGCATTCCACAAATGGGGAGCTACCACTGAGAAGGTTTGTTCCCAAGGATGGCGCAGCCATTAGGTGGGGTGAAGCCACCGCCTCAGGCAGCAGAAGCCCCCTTGCCCTATCACCTCTGAAGCAGTGCCAGCAGCTGCAGAGTGTTACTTCTCGTTTTGCCTCAAGCAGTGAAACAGGATGCAATGCCTTTGCCTGTTCCCATGTTGCCAGCCTCTGAAAATTCCTTGTAGGTGGGAACACAGGATGAATGCAGACTCCAGGTTGGTTCATGTAAGGAAAGGCACACACAAGGTAGAGATAACTGGGTGTTACATTTTCCATTTCTGCAGTGTTGGCTCAAACTGATGTCTCAGTTAGATGCCACATGTGAACACCCATAAGGAAATTCTGATGGGTCACTTTATTGTTGCAAAGCACCAGCAGGAGGGAAGCAGGGAAGTGGCAGGATGGGAAGGGTTTAGCTCGTCCCTGGACACCTTGCCCATTTCCTTCTCCCTATGTTTTGTTCTGCTATAGGGTTTCAGATGTACGTTTCACCATTCACACATGCACGTAGACTCCTGGGAGGAAGAGCAGATTGGGGTGAAGTGGCAGCCAGGGAAGGATAAAACACTATCTGCTTTTCTGCTCCATCTTCCCTTCCCTTGCATTTTAGCATGAACACTTTTCATTCACATATTTATTATTATTTTAATTGAATAGGCATTCGGAAGGATACTCAGCTGTAGGAGTATATACACAAGAATGGCAAAATATAGTGGCCAGAACTGATTGAGATATTTTCATCCCAATACACTTTAGGCTTTTGTGGACATTAATCAGTCTTCAGAGAGAGGAGAAATTGCAAGGTTAATAAAGCTACTTTGTAAGAAAGACGCTTTTTCCAAAGATGTATTTAATTTATGTGAATTTACATTCCTAAAATAACAATGCACGTTCCTTTTGAGTGGATGGGATGAGTGTCTTTAGAGAAGAGAGAAAACCCCAAAAGTGGCCTCTTAGCAGAATGTGCCCTCTCATCTCTGACCTTGCTTTCTTGTGCATTAGTGTCTCATCTGGAGTAAAGGATGCCTCTGGCTTCACTGATAAAAACACAGATGACTTGTGGAGTTCAGAAGAGAAACTCATTAAACTGAAGACTTGTTTGCAATTTGTAGAGAACCTTGATGCAAGGTGAGACTTGGAAGTAGTCAATGGAACACCATTTTTTACCGAGGGATCCAGGTGCCCAAGTTTGCTAAATTGTTCAAGGTCTTGAAAAAAAATTTTTTTTAAAGAAATTGTGAAGAGTTGCAAAAAGACCTCTCCAAACTGAGTGAATGTGCGGTAAAGTGGCAAATGCAATTCAAGGTGAACAAGTGTAAAGTGATGCATAGATGCTCTTAGGGTCTGAAGTGGCAGTGACTAACCAAGAATGAGAACTTGGCATCATAATGGATAGCTTGGTGAAGATGTCTATGTAGTGTGTGACAGCTACAAGAAAGGTAAATTCCATGTTAGGGATCTTTAGGAAAGAAACTGAAAATTCAACTGCCATTACACAAATCTATGGTGCAACTGAATTTGGAATACTGTGTACAGCTCTGGTCATCTCACCTGGCTATTACACTGTTTCCTTGGCCGATTTTACTGTTACTCTAGGGCTACCTCTCTCCAACCCTCTCCCCACAGCATTTGTGGGAAGCAGTGCCTTGCTGCATGTGCTTCAAGTCAGGAACAGTAGGGGGCGAAGGAAGAATAGATGATAAAGTGGAGGGAGGAAATACTAAGAAGTAGACAATGCAATGGGGGATGGGGAAGATGACAAGTAATTTTCTGGTTATGAGCGTGAAGGATGGGTAGATTAGGTTAGTCAGTTAGAACTCATTCACAAGACTTTCCAGATTCAGTGAGCGGATTGAGGAGGCAATGTTCCAGGAATGCTGGCCAGTGAACTACTGCATGATATTTGACCTGCATTTCTCTCATGGCAGTTTTTCAGGCAATGATGCAGAGGAAGCCACTCAGAGAATGAGCCGCTCGGTTTGCCAACTGATTGCAGAAATAAATGAAGCAGTATCTGGAGCAACAGTAGATGAAAATCAGGAATGAAGTATTTAGCTCTGTGAGGATCTTCAAAAAAATAAATTGCAACTTCTGTTTTTCATGTGTGGATTAAATGATCGGGGAAAACAAACTGTGGAAATAAGTTAGTAAGGATTGCATAAATCAAAAGGAATGGGACTTAGAATGAAAGACTCAGGCATTTATACGCCTCATGGTAGAGTCTAAAATTATTTATCTTCATCTTGTCTTCATCTTCTCCAAAATCAAATAAAGAAACTATAGCACAGCTCTTTTGTTATTAGTATTATTTTTTTTGCATGTGACAGTTATCTTATAAACCTAGCTGCATTTTCCTGGGTAAATTAGACTTTTGGAACATTCCCTCATGTGGAAGAACCCTGGCATTGAAAGGTAACAAAATGTATAGTGTGAACGGTTGTTCTTACCTACCTGGGAAATCATGAAAAGCTGCTTCAATCATGAGAAACTATCAATGTCATCTGCATTTCATGCTTATATGCGTGCCGGGTAAAGGATCTCAGTCTGGGATTCAGCAAGGTTCCAGGGGGTTCCAGATGCTCCCCCAAGGTTTGTGCTCTTTAGGAGAATTGAAGACGCAGCAGAAACTGTTGTAGCTTTAAGAAATATGACTTATCCACCTATTTACATTTTCAGTTTGCATGGAGGGAGTCCAGATCTCACAACATGGTCATCTCAAGCAGGGCTTGTCCCCCACAGCAGTGCAGCCCTGGAGTCAAAGGCATCTCTCCCAGGCTTCAGCCAGCCTGCCCAAGATGGTTCTCCCTTTGTTCTGCCCCTTCTTCCCAGCACACCTTGTTAAAAACTCTTCACACTCAGTTACCCTGGCAACATTCCATACCTCCTCCCCCCCCCCCGTTCACACCTCTGGGGAAGGGGGAAGGACAGTTTTCTTGTACAGTACAGTCATACCTCGGGTTACAGATGCTTTGGGTTGCACACCGCACCAAACCCAGAAGTACTGGAATGGGTTATTTCTGGGTTTCGGTGCTTTGCGCATGCACAGAAGTGCTAAATCGTGCTTTGCGCATGTGCAGAAGTGCCGAATTGCAACCCGCGCGTGCGCAGATGCAGTGCTGCGGGTTGCAAACATGCCTCCCACACAGATCACATTCGCAACCCGAGTGTCCACTGTATTGACAATGGCTCTGTTTGTTTCTTAATAGCCCTAGCTTGGCCAGGTCATTTTGCATAGGCTAGTTCAAGTTTAGTTTATTACGGCCATAAGCCCACATTCAATACATCATACAGCAGAACAGGTATAACAAGATAAAATTAATAAATTAAATTACGTTTAAGTCAAGTACATCTCAATCCGTAAGTTTCTAAATTCCATTAAAATAAGAACAATATAGCGCTTAAAATATCAGATTATCAGTATAAATCAATATTATTTAGGCAAAATCAATAATCATAGAGTAATCCATTTTTCCTTTTATAGGCTAATACTGTTATCAGAAATCTGGCAACAGAAAGGGACCTACTCGGATCAGAATCTTGCAATAAATGTATTAGCTGTGTTTCCAAGGAATCACCTGAGATTTCCAATAATAAAGGGGACAAAAATCTGCTCCGAGAAACTGAATGTAGTGAACAGCAGAATAGTATATGTTGTAAAGATTCTATAGATCTATTATCACATACACACACCGCTGAGATCCGACCATTGGAAAATCTATTATTCAAGACATTGGAAGGAAAGGCGTTAAATCTTGCCTTAATAAAGGCATATCTGTGAGCCGCTACAGACAAAGAGGTCAAATAAGATGGTATCTGCTGTGAGGGCACTATGCCAAGATTTAATGGTGAGCAAGTGCCACTACCCAAAATGGTGTTTTGTTGTAGGTCAATCTCCTCAAGTTTTTGAGTGAGGGTTTTTTTGCTGTGGCTAGGTCCAATTCCAATAATTCTGATGGAGACAATCCATAGGTCACTACTTTGGAATGGATCTCTTTTGCCCCTAGGACAGGAAAATTATCTCTCCAGAGGCATTGGATCAAATACAGATTCGGGAGCCTATGCCTTAAGGACAACCAGTAACAAAGGCTGCGCCTCCAAAGAGTATTTTCTAAAGATGTAGTTTTTAATTCTAAGCGAATAGCTGCGTTACTAACGCACTGAGGAAGTTTTAGCAGTCGTCTTAGAAATTGGTTTTGAATTACCTCCAAGGTCATCAAGTTTACTGCGGTCCCCCATAAAGGAACAGCATATGCCAATGTTGCAATTACTTTAGCTTTGAATACTTTCAAGGCAGATGGAACATGAAGAGCCCCGTCCGAAAAGAAAAAGCGCAAAAGCGCAAAGGATAGGGCCTTGGCCTTGTTTAAAATATGTGCAATATGCGCCTTCCAACCCAGATTATATTGGAGAAAAACTCCCAGGTATTGAAATTTATAGACCTGTTCAATAGGTTTTCCATCTAATTGCCACTTATAGGATTTCCGACTTTTTGAGAAAATTAGTACTTTGGATTTAGATTGATTTATAGTGAGGGAATTTGTTTTACAATATGAAACAAATAGTTTTAATGCTCTCCTGAGGCCAATTCTTGAGAAGGATAAAATCACAGCATCATCAGCATAGAGTAATAATGGGCAACGATAGTTTGCGAGGCGGGGGCATGGGTGATTTCCTGAGATTCAGCCAATGGTATCCTCATGTCACTAATGAATAAATTGAAAAGAAAAGGAGCTAGGATACATCCTTGCCGGACTCCTCTGTTGATGGGCACAGAATTTGTGAGATCGCCGGCTGGGGTTATTCTCATCCTAGCAGCCGACCCCTCATGCAGCTGGATTATTAACCATAAAAGTCTTCTATCAATTCCCCTTCGGGCCAACTTTTCCCAGAGTAACCTTCTTGGGATCCTGTCAAATGCAGCCTTAAGGTTGATAAAAGCCGCACAAAGTTGGCCTCGGTTTGAAGAGGAATATTTCCGGGCTAGATGGTGCAAGACTAAAACATGGTCTGTAGTTGACTGGTTCGGTCTGAATCCTGCTTGCTCGGGGCCTATCAGTTTCTTTTTTTCAGCCCATTGGATAAGTCTATTCAGCAGAAAACGTGCATATATCTTTCCAACTATTGACAGTAAACTAATATTCCTATAATTCTCTGGGTTGTCTGGGGAGCCTTTTTTATATATTGGGATTATAATAGCGTCCTTCCATATTTTTGGCACCCTTCCAGTTGCATTAATAGCATCGAAAGTAACAGCCAGGATTTTTGCCCACCAGTCGGAATGTAGTTTTATGGCTTCCGCCGGAACCAAATCTGGCCCAGGGGCTTTGCCGATTTTAAGTTTAGAGATTAAATTCAAGATTTCATCGGGGTCAGTAGGAGGCCTTATAGGGAGATGGTAAAATACAACATCAAGAGCGTTGGTTTTGGAATCTGGTGACGCAAAATATTTCCTTAAAAGGATTCCCAGACCGTGGCAGTATTTCTGGTTAAGGGGTATCTCCTTGATCTTCTATTAACCAATTGCCAAAATTGCCGTGAGCTACATGAACTAGAGGCGACTATAAGCGCCTGCCAGCGATTTTGTTGCCACTCTTGCTTAGCCATTCTCTGGGCTTGCTTATATGCTGTTTTTGCTTGTTGGTAATTCCTAGGTAATACTAAAGCACCAGAAGATTTATATTCATTGTAAATGGCACAGAGATGTCGTCTAGCTTGTTTGCATTTTAAGTTGAACCAAGGGGCACCGGTCTTAAAATGGGCCCGATTTACTTGGATGGCTGGTACTGTAAAAAAGGACATAAGATCTTCTGTAAGCTGAGAAAATGAATTAATAATTTGTTCATGCCCATACAAATCTAAATCCAAAGCAACATGAGTTTGAATTATCTCTTGTTGGAAAAATTCCATATATTTTTGGGCTTGAGTTACTGACCATTTTATTCCTCTCACTTGTTCTGCAGTATTTATTCCCATATATATGGGGTGTCTGGACTTGATAGACTGCCAGTCTAGGGAAAGCTTGGCACTCAAGGGGAGATGGTCGCTCATTTGGACGTTTTCTATTTTAAAATAAGAAAAATTTGGGAATAGATCTCTGGAAACAATAAAATAATCGAGAACACTATTTGTAAGTGTGCTCAAATGAGTGAACTCACCCAGAATATCCGGGGGACAATTTCCGTTTAAAATTATCAAATTCAAACGTAAAATCAGTTGATAAAGAAGGGTTCCCGCTTCGTTAACCCTATTATCTTTCGATTTTCTCTGTATATGGGGGGAGAAATCCAAGTTCTGGTGATCAGGTATGACCCACCATTTGGCCTTGCCTAGCGCTTCCCAGTTTGCAGCTGTACGAGCATTAAAATCACCTCCCATGACTGCTGAAATATTTGGGAACTTAGTGTAACAGAAAGCTAGGTGTTCTTCAAGTGTTTCCCATTTGGAATGGAGGTCCACTACCTCCCCCCCCGGGGGGAAATAAACATTTGTTACCAGTAGTTCAAATTTCCCTCCTGAAATCAATCCTGTGATCGCGTAAGGCGAGGAAGATTTAACAAGTGTAAGTTTTGCTTGCAATTTGAGGGAGATGGCTATTACCAAGCCTCCCCTAGGGCGTCCACCTTTAAGAGAGGGGCTAGCTGGGAGCAAAATGGTATCGTATCCATTTATGTCAATCACCTCCTCTTCCCAAGTTTCTTGTAGGAGAATTACTTGGAATAAATTAACAAATTTTAAGAAGTCTGGATCAGATTTCTTCCCCCTCCATCCCGCAATATTCCAGCATAAGAATGACATCGAGGAGTGGCCGGGTTGGTCGTTAGGTAGTCAGATCATGTGGGAATGGGATTCTAAATTTGGGGGAGTTTCAGCTTCAAAAAAATCAGTAATTTTCCTTTGAGAAGGTGGCAATCGTGCTATACATCCCAACTGTTTAGATTTATTGGGGTGGTTTGGCTGTAAAGTCCTGCCACTCGTCTCGCTAAAGGCAGATGTTAGGCCTAAGATAGTCGACTTTTCAGAGCCAGATGGTAGAATTAGGGGGGTATTACTTAAAGGGAGCGAATTTAAGTCAACAGGTATCGTGCCACTAGTTGAGTGATCATTAATTGTTTGGATAATTTTGTTAATACGACCTGTCGGGTCTTCGACCAGATCATTCTTCGGGGCTAAAAATAAAATGGAGTCGTCTCTCATTTGTTGGTCTGGTTCAGCTGGTTCTGTTATCGGTTCGATGGTATCTATGGATTTATTCAACTTGCACACGTTAGAAGAGAGTGGATTAATAAAGTTACAAGTAAGTGGACCCATATGGGGCACTTTACATGGAGAGCCTAATTCAGATTCGTTAAGTTCCCTCATTTTGTCCCAGGCAGATGTTGTAGTCATATTTGCCTCAGAGATGGGGTGCATGGTAGATGGGTCTGGTGGTAAGGTTTCCGCCTCCAGAATATGGAAGAGTGGATTCATTTCCGCAACAACCAGTTGGCTGGTAGGGGTGGGTGCCTTCCCAACCCACAGGTCCAGTTCTTGGTGGTATAAACGTGGGACCGAATCTGAACCACAGTCTCTATCAAGCATATTTTGTTTTTGTTTTTTAAATCATATTTATTGAAGTTTCCAAAAATATAAAAGTACAAAGAAAAAAGATAAAAGAAAGAAGATATTTAAAAACCTTACTTTCATTCCCTACTTTCTGGAACTCCCCCCCCCCCGGTTGTATTCCCCTTTCCTTAATTTGGTTCTACAAGCTCTCACTCCCAAATTTAAAGCTTAATTTGTTTAACCCACTATCCAATTTGAATTGTACAAATCTTACCACCGTCCCACATCATTAACAGAAAAGAAAAAGATTTTCCCCAAGATCCACCCCAGTTCCTTCCACAAATTCCCTTTTTTTTAAACACGTCCGATCAAAGTAAAATAACATGCGTAAGTTATGTAAAGAAATAGAAAATAAAAGATATAGAAAAGTTCAAAAAATGGTTACACAGCCTTTGGATTTCAAATCTCCCCCCCCCCTTCCCCGGTTTGAATTCCCCATGTCCATCAGTCTATACATTATCAGCTTGGAAATCTCATTTCATGACCAAATTTCTCCCCGATTCCATCTTGCCGGTTTTCTTTTAGTTTATTAATTTAAATAATATTTGACTTCAAATGTCCAATCTAACAAAGGCCTTTAATTTCCTTGATCTTTACCACTCCTCCCGTTGTTCTTTCCGTGTCGTAATCAGTCCTTTATTCTTCTTATTCCTCACTTTCTCAGGTTTCTTGTCCTGTTCAGCTGCTAAAACTTTCTAATTCAGAAATCTAGTGTCTCTGCAGAGGTTTGTTATTCAGGAACAAAAACTTACGTCCAGTCCCTTTCTTTCTTCAATAAAAAATTCCATTGTCTTCCTCTGTAGACAAAATACTCTTTCAGTTTTGCAGCTTTCCCAGAAGATAACAAATCCTGTGCGAATCCCAGGGTATTTTTCCACTTACGACCGTTCTTGTAGTATCCTGAAACCCCTAGAGGGGTTTGTAATAACTTTGTATCCTCTAATCCAAAAGTCAAATTGTTGCTTATTTTCCAACAGTTTATATCCATATTATAGCAAATTGTAGCAAAATTTACCAGCAAAGTCCTCATAAAGTCCTCTTTATATTCTCCAGCTTTGACAGCCACTTTGACAGCTGTCAAAGTCTCCGTCTCTCTTCACCAGGCTCCACGAATCGCCCCGGTTCCCAGGGGGGGGGTTGCATTTTTCTTCTCATCCTCCACTCTTCTCCTCCAGCACATTTCTTATAATTTCCCATCGTGGAATTAATGATTTTTATCAGAAACATACTTCCCTTTGGACCTTGGTTACCCAGTCCTTGTTTTGGAATGCTTACAATAGGGGGGGGGATTGACTTCCTTTTTAAATCGCCCCCGCTCGTGCCAAATCCAAAATCCAAAATTTTAAACCCGGTTTCCCAATTACTCACGGGTTGTTGTTAAAAGTCCAAATTTTCAATAGAAGAAGTCAGCGCTCTCCGTCGAATGGCATGCGGCTGCGCTCGGCAGGGAAAGCAGTGGACTCAAAGCACCACGCCACTCCCCGGCACCCGATCCGAAGCCTTGAAAAAGGCTCCTTCACGAGTCGGGAGGGCGCGCCTGGTGCAAGCCGAGTCACCCATGTCCACGGACTCCGTGCCCGTGGGTTTTAAGGGTCCCCGCGTCGCCGGCGCGGTAGGACCCAGCCCCTGCCGAGCAGACTCCCTCCGGAGCTCGGAGGGAGTCCGCCATTCGGCGATGGCGCTAACCCGGAAGTCCAAGCATATTTTGTTTAGGTAGTCTCAGCTGTTCCTCCGTCACTTTTGTCAGGCAGAAGTAAAGGGTATCAATTTTATGAAGTATTTCTTTCTGAACCTCTTGCGGGAGAACGCTATAAGAGTAGAGTAAGTTATTATCAAAGCTGTCAAGATCGATTCCCTGATTCTCCGCATACCTGGGCCCAAGGGAGTCCAACCTTTGAGAGTCCTTGGCAACCAGACCAGTAGGATGTTTGGAGATGTCCTCCGCAGAGTTTATATCAATTAAAACGTGTTGGTCAATCTCATGTTGAGTTTTTGGCAAATTTACGATATGGGGTATAAGTGGAATTGGAGGTGCTTCATTTTTAAAGTACCTTGAGATTCTTATACCACTCGTCTCCAGTTGTTCTCTACATTTATACACTTGTTTTGCCAGTCTCCCTTCGTAGAATGAGACCACCGCTCTGGCAAGGAATCCATTGAAGTATAGATATTCCACTTGGGCCAAATCAGTAGGGTTAGTAAGGATGCCCGGCATATAGATCTTTAAAAGGTTCAATAGATGGGCTTTACGCTCTTCTTGTGACAGGAGTCCTGGGGGTTTGGGATAATTTGATAAAACGAGTTTGTTTCGGTACAGCACCAGATTCCAGTTTTTATTTGTTAGATTTATCAGATTTCTCTTCTTAGAGGGATTGGTTTCATCTACAGATAGAATGTAAGACCATGGGTCTTGGATCAAGATGTCTTGCTTGGAGTTAGGTGTTGGGGTAGGTGTTAAGGGTTTCAAGGAATCCATCGCAGCGTCAGGGCAAGGGTTTATAGAACGTTCTTGCTTAGAAGATTTCCTGGTTAAAAGTTTCTCAGTGTTCCCACTGGTCTCGGTTATTGGGATACTCTTGAGAAGATTAAAAAGCTTTTTAAAATCCATTTTTTGTAACGCACTGCCTTAAATTTTTTAACATTTCTGCTCTTTTTTGCCCTTATGGGCCTCCTTTTCAAGGCAGTAGCCCTACAAGATCTCTTGGCCTTCCTTGGTGATCTGTTTTTGCAGGTGATAGGAAGGGAGTTGTTATTACTTTCCAATTCTACAGTCATCCCGCTGGATTCCCTACAGAGAGTTATGCAAGTGTCCAACATTATAATGAGGATTTTTGTACAGGTGGCCAGATGAGATTTTATATTTTCGATATCCTCATTTAAAAGCACAAGCCATTTGATAACTGATAAATCCTCATCCTCATTTGTCTCAGGTTGGAAGCAGGAGTCTCCTGATGTTTTAGGGTTTCCCGAAGAGATCTCTGCAATTTGTTTTAACATTAGTTCTTCCACTTCTCGGACTTGGGATGGTTCAGGAGAAGCTTGGGATTTAAGTCTCTGTTTTGGGAGTACTTCGGTGACTGTACCAATTGTGTTTGGATTTACTTTGGGCTTTATTGGCCCTTTGTTGTGGCATTCTTCTACACAATCCTCTCTCTGCACAGCCGGCCCTTCAGTGCAGGAGGGAAAAGTTTCAGTTTCCTGCTGATTCTCACTCAGCTTAACTTTACCCCTATTCTTAAAGGGCCGAGTGCTTTTTGTTTGAGTTCCCTTTAGGGTAGTTCTTTTAGAGAGAGGTCTTAAATCACTCTGGTAAAAGCCTGATGTTCTATAGCCACTCCTGGTCGTCACCATTATTTATCTTGTGGGGTCAAGTTGGTAAAAATCTCACCTCGGTTCATTAGCTCCGTCGGGTGTTGCAGGAGGGTTCTCCGCGAGACTACTTTCAAGGTAGGCAAGTAATTCTGCCAGGGGATAAAATGAAGCAGAACTTGCCTTCAGTTTCAGCCGCTCCTTGTTTCTCGGCGTTTTTCCTCCCCCTCTTCCTTTTTCTAAGGCTTTTAACTTGAGCTTTTAACTCAAGCCTTGTGAATATATTAGTTAAGGAACAGCTGCCAAATGTTGTAGATAAAATGCTGAGGCTGATAAAAGCTGAATAAAAACTGATAAAACTAATAAAAACCGCACAACTGCTGCGGAGCTCAAGTCAGTGCTTCCACTAACGACGCCATCTTGGCTCTTTTGCACAGGCTAGCTCAGGAATTCCTCTGCAGCTTGTATTTCTCCCGTCACACCCGAAACAATCAAAATTCTAGCATTTATTACTTTCTAGGGTTTAGAGGTCACCCCAAATCTGCAACAATATATAAAGAAACAGCAAAAGCACTTTAAAACATGAAATATTGACACAGCACAGGAGAAACAAGTGTAAGGCTTACCCCACAGCACATATTAAGGCCTAACTACAAAGTAATGACAAAAGTATTCCCTTAGGAAAAGATTTACTATGAAAAAATAGTAACAAAGTCTCCTAACAGAGAGGAATCTTTGCCATGCTGGATGATCACAAGCACCGTAATGACCTTTGCATCCTATTCTGATAATCTTGCGGAAAGAGAGGGAGAAGAAATGATCTGCTTCCCTGGCACAGAATTTCAAAGCACTTCGCAGCTGCTATGATCTAAAGTTTGAAGATCAGAGTGAGATTCACAATCCCCCTCTTTGGAAATCTCCTAAATGAGAAATGCTGAAGTTTCCCCTGAAGTTTTGCTGTCACACTTTCTTTTTCTTCTCAACTATGTTACTAAAGTTCAGCAAAGGCACTCTGCACATGCCCAGAGCAATATTCATCTTTGTTATTACTCTATGAGTTCTTGGGGCTTAGCTTGGGTATTAAAAACCTGTGAATAGGTCCCTGACTCTCTCTAAATGGCACCACACACTGCCTGGTTTCAAGCATTGTTTGAATATTTTTGACACCCTGTGTAGCCCATTCTGATATTTTTTGGAGGGCATGTGTGAAATGATTCGCCGTCTTCCATTCTGTAAAATGGCCCACCCTCTTCCGTTCAGCATCACCCATTACCCTTGGTCCTAGCCACATGCAAGTGTTACGTAATATGTAACAGCAAAGCGGGACCATCCACTTATCGCATTCAGGAACTGGTAACAGTAAGCAAGTCATAAATAAGTGAATCAATAAGCTAGGATGCAAAGGTTAAACGACTGTGTCAGCTCAGTGTCATTTGCCACATTATTTCCTCATGGAACAGTGAAAGGAAGATACATTGCAACAATTAACGAAGAAAAGTGGATGGTCCGCTTTCCTTAATTTTTGGATTTCTTTTCCATCTGCCCAATGGCTTTCTTCAGGCAGTCCTGTACCTGGGTGTTTTTGCTCTTGCTTTCAGCAATTCATGTTCAGGCACAGAATACAGGTCAGTATGTTTTCTGGGTAGGGGAAAAAACTTTGATTTGGGTTGGTTTGATTTTTTTTAATATAAAAGGATATACCAGTAGAAAAACAATTGCCACAGGTGCTCTCAATGTGCAGCACAAGCTGGTACCTGTTTCACTAGAAGTATGTCCTACCACATAGGACTCTTGGATAAGTGTGCCTTGGATCGCAGCCTGAATGCCGTGCGTATTCCAAGCATAGGCTGTAGCATGGTTTGTTTCCTGTCAGCCAGAATCTATATAACCTTTCTAATATTCTAATGAAAGATGCATTTTGTAGCAGACCTTTGAATGGCCAAATTATCACACAGGCAAGAAGGTGGCCATTTCAAAAGAAAGGGCTTTTTTCTTGTTAATTATCATTTGAATAATTGATTTACAATTAATTACATGGACAAAAAAAATAGGGGTACGCATGGATGAGGTGAATGATGGCACTTTTTTGACAATATTGTCTGGAGTTTACTTAAGAACTAGAAATCAGTTAAAGGAATTAATGATATGAAGAGGAATCCTTTTACACGATGTTGGGTTTGTCCCAAGTTATATGGTTATAAGATGTTGGCAAAGTTAACTATTTGCTAACATTTGAAAGACTATACCTTCACATGCATATATCTAGATAGCAAGTGGGTAAGAAAGCTTGTTAGGCAGATTGTCTTACACCTGCCTGTTACTGAGCTCAGGGGCGAATCTGCTATGAAACTAATGAAGCTTAAGGCTTCAGGGCCCCTAATCCTGGGGGGACCCCAGAAGCAACTTAAGTCCACATTGCTTAAAATCTTTGGGTCTAATAGACCCCAATCTCCTTCTCCTTCTCCTATATTTCAACAATCCCAGTGTTTGAGAGGCAGTAGCACAGATGTTGTAAAGGTGTGATGATCTGTTGTGGAACAACCCCATTGAATAAGATAAATGGGGTTACCCAGACCTTGTTGCTGGTTGCAAAGGGGCCCCCATGACAGTTCAAGCTTCAGGGCCCCCAAAATGTAGGTCCACCACTGTCTGAGTTTATATGATATTTCCTATATATTTGTCCCAGACAAATTCTTGGACTAGAATACACAAAGCACTAGTTGATCTTATGCCTTCTTTTGACTAAGCTTGTGCTTTGGGAGATTTAAAATATTGTCTTTTGTTTCACTAGATTGTGGTGTGCAAGATAGCGTTGTTAATATCCAAGAGAATAATCCTCCTGGGGCTTTGATTACCAACATTAACACAGCTGACGGTGTCACAGTAAGAATTAACCCATTGGTATTGAATGGTGACCAGTTTGAGATTCAGAACTCACAACTGCTCCTGAAAAATTCAGTGGATTATGAGGTAATGAACTGGTATGAAAAAGATGCAGAAATATGGCTGGGGGGTTAATAGCATAGAATCAGAGAATCTCAGAGTTGGAAGGTTCCCCAAGGGTCATCTAGTCCAACACCCTGAAATGCAGGAATCTCAGCTAAAGCATCTATGACAGTAATGGTAGCCAGTCAGACTCCTATCTAGAAACGTGGTAAGGTGAGGTGGAAGTGAATCGGGGCAGTACAGTCATAACCTGAATATAGCTATCCAAATATTTTAAAGCTATTTAATAGCCTTAATTAAAACATTGAAAACAAGTGCCTTGCAAATGTCCATTCTCTCTGAGCTTTTATATTCTTTTGGCCAGAGCAGTGTAAGGCAAAGGACTTACTTTGTTGCCTGAGGCAACAGACAAGATGGCTTCCCCTCCCTGTTCCATAAAGTGTTCCTCAAAGTGGTAGATATGCAAACAGGCTTTCTACCAGGCAGCATATGTCATGTGATAGATTAAAGCCAATTTGCATGCCATCATTACATGCAGGTAATGCTTCTTCATTTGAAGGCTATGGAGTATTTTCAAGTGTGATGATTAAACTGCCTCTGAGCACCTCTTTCACTTTTTATGTATGCATGAGATAGTTGCTAAATAACAGAACTTAGAGTGGAAGAGAGGCTTTCGTAATTCAAACAGGAATTCTGGTCAATGTTGGGGTTTTTTAGTCACATTATAAACCTATTTGGGCAAAAAACTTTTGTGTGAAAACTACCAGTAGTGATTCTTAGTACAGTGGTACCTTGGTTCTCGAACTTAATCTGTTCTGGGACTCCGTTCGACTCCCGAAACTGTTCGAAAACCATGGCGCGGCTTCCGATTGGCTGCAGGAGCTTCCTATACTCAAGCAGAAGCTGCTGAAGAAGTTGCGTCGGACATTCAGCTTCCAAAAAACATTCACAAACCAGAACACTCACTTCTGGGTTTGTGGCATTCGGGAGCCGATTCGTTTGGGAGCCAAGGCATTCGAGAACCAAGGTACCACTGTATAAACATTTGTTTAGTTTATTCTGATGTACACCATCCTAACAGATCAAGATAGGCAAAAATGTTAAAAATGTCTAATTTTTGATTATTATTTCACATATCCTCATAGCTAATAACACTTCAGCCATCAAATGCTTGGGTGAACAGGAATGTTTTCATATTCCTCCTGAATGTTAATGATGAAGGCAGATGTACTTCAGGAGGAGGGCATTCCATAAACAGGGAGCCACTACCAGGAAGGCCCTATCAGGCAGCACCAATAGCTAAAATAAAAATAAATAAATAAATAATTGTTCCAGAAAACATGATTTAATTGAAATCATTTGTTTTTAATACAGGTTTCAACAGCGCTAGTTGTAGAACTACAGTGCTTCAGAGCGGATATAGTCGTGAGTAATATCTGAGATGCTACTTTGTGTTGTTAGATGTTGCACAAACATAGTGGGAGACACTTCTTTGCAACGTCATCTAGGTCCAGAGTTTCCCCCCCAAGAGAACCACATTCCCTCAGCAACTAATCCGCCAGGGGCTGCATGCCAAGTATGGGTGGGGCTGAAGCTAATGGTAGACATGGTCACACACACCTTCTATCTCCGATACACCCTTTGCCTCCTTCACCCTCCTCTCTTTCTCTCCATCCCTTGTCAATGGCATGCCAGGGGTGGGGCCAGTGCTCCCCCCCCTCAATTTTGTTTGATAATTTCAATTTTCAAAAAACAGGTGTATTGTATAAAAAAATGTCAAACACAAAACACTTGAAACTGCTAAATTTATTTTATTTTAAATTGCAAGAATAAGTAATGCAACATATTTGAATTCGGTGGCACTTGCTTCTGCAGACATGTCTTGGGTTGAACTTTGTGGATTATTGTCATTTTCAAGCTTAGTTCATGTTTGAAGCCAAGAGGGCCACCCAACATTCCTTTTTTTTTTTTAAAGACCATAGTTCTAACATCACCAGCATCACCCCTGATTTTCAGCATTTCAACAGTCAATCAATTACTAACATTATTCTGCTTTGCTCACCCCCAGGTAAATAGTATTACTGTTGTAGTGAACATTATTGATGTGAATGACAACCCTCCTGTGTTTCCAGAAACCAACATCACCGTCAATGTTCGAGAGGTATGATAATGATGATGATGATGATGATGATAATGTCTCTGCAACAAGTGACAATGGACTGTAGCTATAATTCTGACAGAACCATAATCTTGGGAAGAATAAAACCTTGTATAAACATTAAAATACAAATATTAAGCATAACACAATGAAATAGAAATGATACTTAACCATAACATATTATTGCTGTTTCCAATTTAATTCCAAAATAAGAAACAAATATCCATGAGAGTTAAGAGAGAAATATAGATTACAACTCTATTACACTATTAAGCTCACTAAAATATTTTCTTTGAAACAAGTTCATAAAAACTGCTCAAACAGTAATGTCCACTTTGTTAGCCATAGATACAATTGTATGCAAATTAACGCAACCATGGAGGGGGGGAATATAGAAGATGCCAAATACATTACCACCCTCAGGTCCCCTTCAGTGACTAGTTACAGTGCACAATGGATTTCCAACCTCAAATCGAGAAGTTTGTTCAGAAAATAGGGGTAGCTGTTCATTTAAAATACTGGGTGCAATGTTCAATCAAACTGTTTAAATAACTCTATCATATCCCAGTTTATTTTTATTTAGCAATATTTCTAAAGGGATAGCATCCTAATCTGCTACTAGTATTGTAAAGAACTCATAGGTTGTAATTTATAATGCCGCCTACTTCCTTTGCCAGCAAAATCATGTATCTGCAATACATGAGGTTTTACTCCTTTATTTAATATAAAATACAGAAAACTCTTCTTATAGCAATTTAAACATGAAAAGACTAAATGTAAAATTAGATAAAGGTATCCTCTCTACAATAAAGTTATTAATAGTCAAATGCAAGCTTCTCCTATTCTGACTGAAGGGAACAATAACTCTCTTTTACACTAGATAAGATCCTCATCATTATCCCACACAGAATCTCGTCACACTGAATCTTTCAAATGATGAAGCCAAACACATTCAGTTTTAAAATACAACGCAGACTCCCCTCTGCATGTGATAACTTGTTGTATGGTTCTATTCCATTGTGCCTTATGTGGTAAACCATTAATTCTCTCTCACTTAGTGCAAGGTATAAAGAGGCCAATAGGGGGATTGGTGAAAGACTAGGACTGGACTGGGGAGACCTGACTACAAATCCCCAACGAGCTCATGGGGTCCACTTAAACCAGTCACTCTCTTTCTACCTAACCTGCATCACAAGGTTATTGTGAGGGGGAAATGTAGGTTGGGAGGAGAGAACTATATGCTGCTGTGAGGTTTTTGTAGAAGCGACAGGATGCAAATACAGTATTAAAAACGGAAAAGCATATGTCTACATGTCTATGCATTTAGTATAGTGCCAGGCTAGATGTGAGGGTATAACTATATGAACAAAGTCAACACACACATTTTGGGGGGTTATGTAAATCCAAATAACAGCTGAGGGGGATCCTGGACAGCTTCCATAGGCAGGAATGGAAGTGTTTTCAAAAAATGGCAACAGCAGCTTAGGAGAGGAAAAGAGAAAGAGGTGGGAGGATCTTAAACTCCACGCCTCCCGGCACCATGGTCCCCAAGACTCCTCAGGCTTCCTCATCGCTGCTTTGCATTATGAGAAAAGCATACATGTCAATTGTGGTCCTTTTCATTTTGGCCCAGGATTCTGCAAGGAACTTGTTGCTCCTTTATTCTAGATTGCATTTGAACGTTGTGACCTACTTTGGTTCTTCTGAGAAAATTGTGTGCATGTTACTTATCTGCCTAGTAAATTATCTATCTGCTGTAAATTACATGTGACAAAAAATAGCTCAAAATTATGTTCCTTTTTTTGTTTTGTTTTTCAGGATATAGCAGTGAACACGACTGTCGTGCCCCAGGCTAATGTAACAGCTAAGGACGCTGACAAAGACACAATATATTACAACCTTACAGCAGATCCACCAGTTAGTATATAGTTGGGTGGGGAGTTAGTATAGCCCAGGCAGAGGCAAACTTCGGCCTTCCAGATGTTTTGGCCTACAACTTTCATGATCCCTGGCTAACAGGACCAGTGGTCAGGGATGATGGGAATTATAGTCCAAAACATCTGAAGGGCCAAAGTTTGCCTATGCCTGGTATAGCCAGTGGTGCAGACAGGTAGTTTTACTGGAGCTCTTTCAGTGGAAATGTGTATTTGTTCACTTAATTCAAAACATGCTGAGTTTGAGGGCCCTCCCATTCAGGGCTCATCCAGACTTCTGCTTGTCCCACGGCTTCCCCCCAGGGAAACCCAATGTTTACCGTCGAATCCGAGCAAACATCAGTTGGGGATTTCTCCAGATTGACGTTTGCTCCGATTTAGAACTAAAGAGCAGGTTTTCTGAGGGAAAGCAGCAGCGCAAAGGCAAAACCACTCAGACCCACCCAGGCCTGGAAAGCATGGGAGAAGCAGAAAACCACTCAGAGCCATGCTTTCTATGTATGGGACAAGCAAAAGTGTGAACATGACTTCAGTCTATGGAATGGGGCCCCGAGATTCTGCTCCAAAGCCCGGCACTTGCTTCTCCCATAGCTGCAGCCCTGAATCCAAATAAACATAAAACATTATGCGCTCTCTCTCTCTCTCTCTCTCTCCACTGTTTACTATCTGTGTTACCTCATTCCTAAGCTTCCAGCCTACATTGCTTCAATTGCTTCCACCCTCTCTTTTTCTGTGGAGGATGGGGACCCTACTCAATTGGTGTCTCATCCCCAGTTCTTTTGATCCTTTGATGTCCTAATAGTCCATTAGCCCAGGCTATCACCTCACACCAGAGGCTAGTCCTGGCTTAATTAGCTATTGATACATCACAGTAAACATGACCTTGGCATCATTAGCTTTTGATGCATGCTGATTCCAGAGAATTAGAAGTGTCTAGCACACAGTTAAAATACACATGGGTCGAGCATAGCTTTCACACTCTAAGCCTTAATTAAAAGGATTTAAATGAAAACTCCATTGTACCAGTAAGAAACCAGAGATCATATACTTTCCATAACCCAGTCACTTTAGGTGTCGAAACATGCAACAATAAGCAATACCTTTGACATTAAACAGTGTTTTTGAAATGGCATTAGGTTCCATATCTGTGATGAAGAGTGTGTCACTATCTCTTCTTGTCTTCTAGGTAGGACTGGAGTATTTTAACATTGAAGGAGTTAATAACCCGCAAATTTACTTGCTCAAAACCTTGGATTATGAAAAAATTAACTACATGCAGTTCATCTTATATGCCATGGTGAGTTTTATCATGAGCAAAATATATGTTTATTTGCGACTGCCCTGCTGCACATGTGTTTCCACATTCACCAGATAAATGCCCTTGTGCTTTCAGGGTTGCCACTGGCAATCTTGACAATTGCCAGGCCCCCACATCCCAGAAGTCTGGCCTAGGTATAAGAGCTCTGATGCGCGCACACAGTTCCTTGCTCTGCAAATGCTTTCTCAATCATTTCAGTGCAGAGATCCAAATATTTAAATAAAAGTGTTTGCAGAGCTTCCCCCTTCAGTGAAATGCATAAGAAAGATCATGCTGAAAACATACTTGTTTACCCAGGAGTTTCCTGGCCATGAATATTGGCTGCTGCATGTGGCCAGCCACTGTGGTTATTGTATTATTGCAAATGTTATATCATAACGAATTGTGTCTTATTTTTTGCACTGGGTGGTATTCAACTAAGGGCTTCCAGAACAGTGCAAGTGGGGAGGCAGGGAGGGATCGTTCCATCTAGCAACTCCATATGCTTGCCCTGGTTGAACGACTGCCTTATGTCAATGTTGAATTCCTCCCACTCTTTTTATTTCTGTACATTGCATTCTGTTTTCAACTATAAAGCAGTATGCCAATGTTTTAAATAAATCAAATCGCACATTGGTGCTGGACTATCAGTTTCCAGCAGGGTGCACTCATGACCTTTGATCAGAGGTATTGCCTTTAAATGAATTTATTTAATTTGGCTTGTATGAATCAATGCAGCTACTTGAACTCAGAACTTCTGACAAGGTAACCTGCCCTGGTGGGTTTTGCACGTATAGTGCTAGGGATTGTTTTGGTGCTGCTGTTATAATGGACATGTTCCCATTTCTTGTTTTTGTCCTTCATTTTTCTTTCATATAGGATGGGAAGGCCGGTGAAGCTCCACACACAGCCACTGCAACAATAACCATACATATCCTACAGGCTGACCTGAGACCTCCCTGGTTCCAGCCATGCACTCCTTTTGGAGGGAATATAATGTGCATCAACACGGGCTACACTGGCAAGGTCAACATTTCGGAGAATATGGTATGCACAAGGAACCCTTAGGCTGTGTCCACCCCAGGATGCCTCACTTAATTTTGCTTTGCTCCTCTCGGTCCCTATAGGACTCTTTTTGTCTTTGCTGTCTATGGACTCAAAGATCAGTCCAGGAGTGCCCTGGAACCAAGCAGCACCTCTGCCTGCTGCATCAAACCTGGAACAGAATTGGTGCCAATACCAAGAGGGCACTGGCTATTCCCAAGAAAAATAGCTGGGGCAGAAAAACTTCTACACAACATTACAACTTTTACAACCCAACTAAACACACTTTGCATGAGGCTCAAACTACATCTTTGGTTCTTGCCTCCACTTTCCTTTAACCCATTGCAGTCTATGGCAAAGGATGTCTAAGCAAAAAAACAGCAGACAGAAGCTGCTTTGCCCATTCCCTCCTGTCTTAAAAAAAGAAGAAGCTCAAAAACATGCCCTTGTTGCTTTTTTGCCCACAAGGGAGAAAGAAATGGGGTTCTCATATCTTTCCCCAGTGTCTTTCCTTCCACACATGAAAAGGCAGTTTGGGGAGGGCAATATTGAGTCGGGAAAGTGGCAGAAGGGGGAAGGGTTAAGCAGCCAGCCAAACTTCCTGTTACCTGCAGAGAAGCCTATTAGCCATGCTAGGGCTGCTGCTCGCAGGTCTTCTGCTTCACTCCAGATCAATGCCAGCAAGTCGGGGTTTGACTCCAAACAGCAACACAATGAGGAGTGTGCTTTCATACAACAAGCGGGGTTCAGGAGCAGATTTTGCCTGTGTGGTGGGTATGCTATGAGCAGCCTACCCCTTCCAATAAGCATCTTCTTATGCATAAGAAACGGCAGTGACAAAACAATACTTCTACGTGTCATGAAATTAGCTTCTACTACCAGGAAATGGGACTCTTTTTGTTGTGGCTGCCACTCCTTTAGGCTACAGTGGCTGCTTCCTGCTCATGGACTTGTTGTTCGCTAGGAAAGTAATAACCTACAATTTGGTATGTAAGCACACAGCTTGCATTGAGGCTGGAGGCTACATGCAAAATGGCAGGTTTCATGTCAAACTTATCAGGGAACCTTTTTAGCATGAGAGATAGAGAGCAGCAATGATTACAGGCTGGTGTGGGGAGTAAGAATGGGAACAATGGGGGTACACAGCATCTTCAACAGGCCAGGACCTCCAAAACAGCCAGAGTGAATGTAGCCACATCATTATCATCATCATTAAATTTATATCACTCATATGTGAAAAAGGCTTCATCCAATTCATCATCAGCCAGCTGCAGCATCAGCTCTATAATTTATAATTTGTTTCAGATATGTTGTTATTGTAACATCTTGTTAACTAAAAGCCAGACTCGTAATGGCTGAAAGTACCTGAAGTGAGCAAATGCTTTGATTTCTGGAAACATCTGAAAATGTTTTACCTTGTTTATTGCAGAATGAGTCTTTGGTCTTGGAGCCAGGACCCCTCTATGCTATTGATGGGGACAGAGATTTGAATGAAAAAGTAGAGTATGCAATTGCTGATGGTGAGTAGATTACTCCTACCCACAGGGAAAAAAAGTTTTGGATGCCAACATTTCCAGGAAAATCAAGGCTTAGTTAATAAATCCCTGTGTAGCCTTTTGAGTTTCTATGTGTTCTAAATAAGCTACTCCATGTGGCAGGCACAGGTGCGTATATACACACAGACAGACACTGAGCCTTGTATCCCAGCTGGTAACATGGGTCATCAGCTACATCCAGCCTTGGATGTGATGGTATCAGAGCCATGGGCGTAGCCAGGATTTATTTTGAGAGGACAAATGTGAGCTATCTGCAACACAATCACTCAGTTAGTTAAGTATTTTTATTTATTTACTTGATAAATAACTCCCGTGGCTACACCCATCCCATTCTTTCTTCCGGTGACCAGAAGTTCCAATTACTAATTTTCTCAAATTTCATTAGGAAATGACGACACGTTCTCAATAGACAAGGATTCTGGGGAAATAACAATGAACAAGACTGTTAACACTCTGAAGACTTTCATGTTGTATGTTGTGGTAAGTCTCTTGGTGATCTGTGTTGATCAACTCCTAGCCGGAATATGTGTTTACCAAGGAGAAAAGAGCTAGCTCAGCTTCCCTCAAACGGGTGCCCTCCAAGTGTTTTGGACTGGCATGGGCTGATGGGAATTGCCATTCAAAGGATCTGAGGGCACCAGGCTGGGGAAGGCAGAGCTAGGCTGTGAGAAATGTCTCTTAGCCATTCATTAGATCAGGGATGGGGAGTCTGTCGCTGTCCAGATGTTGTTCATAGCAAGCATGGTCAATGGTCAGGGATGGTGTGAGTTGTAGTCCAGCAACATCTAGAGGGCAACTAGTTCCCCACTCCCACATTTACCAGTAATCCATGATAAACTGGATCTAATCCTATAGGCCTTCAAGGATGAGCAGTCTCAGGCCCACAGGCCAAATTTGGCCTGCCAGGTCTCCCTATTTGTCCCACAAGACCATTTCCCCCAGACCATGCTCACCTGCCCCACACCTGATATCATCTGCTGGTGTGTGGGGAGTTCAGGCCTGCTGGGTTCAGGTGTACAAGGCAGCTTCCTGCAGAAAGTGAGGCTGAACTGCCCACACATCAGCTGAATGTGTGCAGTTTTGAAACCAGTGGTTTTGAAAAGTTCAGTTCGCTATCTTGATTCAAAATGGTGTCCAAACATAGACAAAACCCTGCTTTTTGATCTCAGGAGCCATTATGCAAAATTTGCATATGACCATGTTATGAGTCTGGGGCAGGGTAGGCTTCTATGCTGAGAGACCCTTCTAAAGCCTGGATCCAGCAAGTGTATAAATCTAAGCAAGGATTCAAATTCTTGGAATAGCCAGGCTAGTTTCTCAATGAGGTAATGGCCTAAGTTTGGATTGTTATGGTAACAAAGGAAGTGGCTGTGTGCCAGACAGCAAATGGGTGGTGCTCCCTTCCTCAACTCTCTGGTAGTTAGAAATACAAATGCCAAGCTGGAGAGTCGAGTTATGTGTGCTAGAAGCTAGAACCTGCAAGGTTGCAGGCTGGGTAGGGGGGGGAGACAGAACTATGCTTGATTTCTATTGGAACCCAAGGTTATGGCTACAGTAGAAACAAGACCCTTTCTGGAGGTCTTAATGGTGTTGACCCGTCCATCATAGGCTCAGATTGTACATATATGTGTGTAAACAAACCATATATCATAAAGATGCAACAGTCTCCACTGTCCCTCAATCAAAAGAAAACAGGAACCCTGGAACTCCTGAAATCTTGCAGTACTTGGAGACTGGGATGGCATGCAACAATATCTTAAGAAGTGTCCAAGTACATAGAGTGGTATTCAAGGACAGGGTGCCAACTGTGCAAGGGTATCCTCTTGTGAAATTAGGTCTCCCTCTCTCCCTCCCCCATACCCTTCCAACTTTACAGCTGGAACTCTATGATGCTATGAAACATGCCCCTGCCTTGGAACAGATTCAGGAATCCCTAAAACAGAATTAGGGTGTGCACAGATTTCTCCTTGCGTAACAGATCATTCTCTCCCGTGCTATGTTGGATTCTACCCACAGTGAACAGACAAAGAAACAGCTTCCCAAAATTTGTAGTAGGAATTCAAGTGCTTGGTTAAAATGTTGCTCACCTCAGATCCTTAGATTAAGAAACATAGGCTACAAAACTGAATTTCTGCAGTTTGGGCATTTTTGGGAGAATGTCAAAAGGGTCAATCCTGTCCCCACAAGAGTCTGATAAAAGGCAAAGCACTTCACACTCAGTGACACTGTAAAAGCCAGCGGCAGAGAGTGGAAGAAAAGCTTATCATCCCAGATCTCAAGCACATACTCCACCCCACTCCATCCTGTGGGATGTGAAACACAAGAGCAGTCAATTACAACATTCCTAGAGTGTACATGTTTAGACATGGGGAGGGATGTTTGTCCAGCCAGCAGGTAAACTTCCTGTTTCCCTCTGGGCTGGACAGACTTCCTCCACATGTGACTAGAGGTGGGTGTGGCCTCACCTGTGCAGGTAACAACAAAAGCACAGGGCAGGGGCAGCCATCTCTCTCTGCCATCTTCATCTTCGAACAAGCAACATCTCTCCTGAGTGAAAGATGCCCTCTTGGCTCCCAGCCAAGAGAGGAGAAAGGGACTATCTTCCTATAAGATAGATTCCAAATGTATATTACTTCATTAAGCTTAAGTCTGCGTTCTGGGATCTGATTGTGAACAGAATGTGAGTAAACTCTTTTTATACTTTTGTAAAGGACTGTGTCGTGTCTTCTATTTTAAGAGGGAATAAGGGGAAATTACCAGAGTGATTATTATAGAGGCTTAAGCAAGCCTGAGCAAACGCTGCCGTTGCAAACTTAAAATGAAGGGAATGTTTTACTCTGCTGATATTGGGAACTTGTTAACACAAGTTGGATAAGGATATAATCAGACAATATATCCTCTCCTGCATCCCTGAACATTCCCACCCATCCCCACCCAGTGCTTACTTTCCATTAAGTCATTTTGCATTTTATCCCTTGAGGAGAATGACTGTTCTTGTGCTTCTTGCTCTCTCTTTCTCTAGGCTTTCCAGACCAACAATCCATACAGATATTCCCAAACAACAGTGGAAATCAAGGTTGTGCGTAGAAATGACCACAAGCCGTACTTTGAGAAAACCCTTTACGCAGGAACTGTGTCTGTGGGCCTGCCTGTTCCCAGCCTGGTCATGGAGGCTGGGAGACCTTCAGTGCCCCTACGCATCTTTGCTGCGGATGATGACTTCACTGATGTATGGAACTTTAGATGCCTTTGAAGGTCATTGGGGTGCTGGTCAGGGGGAGGGGGGCAGAGATGTTAAGATACTAATAATGATATCAGATATGGTTCCTATGTGAGGTTCATGCGAGTTAATGCATGAAGGGTTAGAACGACCCTCATATCTCTTTTAGCATTATGATCTCATGTCCGTACTTGTGCAAATCTTCAAACCCCTGATCTGCATATGACCTGTCCACTTTGCCTCTCATTTACCTGTCTACAATGAAATAAAAACCACCTGGATCAAGCAATCTTTTGCAGGCACCAAAAATAATAATAAAAAAATCTGTTGTGACACACCCCCCCCGCATTAAAAATTATTTGGTCAAATATTTATTTACATTTTATGCCCTCTCCTTTCTTCCATAATGGAATGCAAGGCAACACAACACAACACACATGGGGCTCCCAGGCCATTTCCCAGGCAAGCACTGGCCAGCTGAGCTTTTACAGCATAACTGTATCACATGCACCCAGATTATGCCCTGGGACCATTTTCAATTTGGACCTTTTGTCAAATAAATAATGCTCTGAAATTATGTAATTCAGAACTTCCTGATAAATTTGGAAGTAAGTAGTAGTACAGTTTATTTATTTATTTTATCTTATTCTGTGTTGAAGGGGTTGCAGAAATGAGGATTGGAGGGTGGGGGCAGGTACATACCCTACAACCTGGAGGAAATAATCGGGGCAGGCTGAAAGGAAACATGCTGAAAGTGTTGACAATAACAGGGAAGCCGATACAAACAAGGCCACAACCAGGACATTGGCACTAGTGACTAGGTGCATATTGCATAGCCGGGGTGGGAATGGGGTGGAGCGCATAGGGGCAAATTGTTGTCTGGCTTCCATGTGCTTAATTACAGTCTATTTTTATATTCTCCATTCACAGAAATTCAATCCTGATATCAAATACCAAATCCAAAACAGCACGAATTTCACAGTTACCGTAGATGGATTTCTCCTGACTGCTGTAGTTTTGGATGTGGCCTCCACCGTCACCCTTTTGGTAGGTCATCTTTCCCCCAAAATTTGTGTGCTATATTAATTTGATTGTAATGTCTGATGTTAGAAAAAGGCACCAGAGGCCCCTTTAAACATGGGCTGCTGTCATCATAATTCCTCTCATTGTTATTTCTCACTCCAAGAGAGTCTGGTCATGGATAATTTAAAGTGGACAAAAAAACCAAACACACAGATGGGAGCCAGGACACGATAGTTATTTACATTCTGATCAGGATCACATTTGTTTAAAAAATGTAACAATATTGGCAATATTTGTTCCAAAGACTCCGGAAACACAAATTAGGAAAGATTATGTATCTTTTATTAGACCAAATTCTGCAAGCTTTTGAAGTACACCGGCATAGGTATATATGGTAAGATTTCTGTGTAACTCAAAAGCTTGCATTCCACAGCACCAATAGAAGATTGTCTAATCTTCTATCCTACCTATTTTATGTTGCTTTTCATAATAAATAGTGGCCTTGCTCTATTTGAGTGCTGTTGTGAGGATATTTTAATGAAGGCAATCAACAAAATGAAACAGGAAACCCTTTCATACTAATTTTATAAGTGTGTGTGTAGGAGTCATAATTGTGCTGCCTAGCTTCACACTCTTGCCAGACCTATCTGTGCATTGCATATGTAGACATCAGCTGTATGTTCTGCAGAACTGGAGTGTATAGATTACACACTCCAGTGCACAGAAGCTTGAACTGTTCAGAGCCCTTAACTAATTTAGTGCCTTCATAAATGAATTGATGGAATAAATGTGTTTATGCGAAGGGTTAACATCCACTTTCATGTCTGCACAGGCTATTGCTAATGACACAGCTACTCTGCAAGAGGACAGCACCCTCATAACTGTAGATGTCAAGCCTTTAGAAAGTAAGTTAGCACATACAGCGTAGATGAAATATAAGGATCACAGATATTGCTCAAAAAGACTAAGGCAAAAGTCTGCTTCCAGATTATCTCTGTTTGGGGTGGGAGGCTCAACCACATACCACCAAATTCAGTTTACATATTTAAAGTGTTTTGTGTGTGTGTGTGTGTGTGTGTGTGTGTGTGTTCTTGCTCAGCAAACATACTTTCAAAACAATGGGACATACTGTACTGCCATAAGGAAAGTGATAGGAAAATGCAATGGAAAGTGAAGGATAATAATTGCTTTGCTCAGCCAATGTAAGAATAACTACTACAATTTTATTTTATTTTATTTTATTTTATTTTATTTTATTTATTTTATTTTATTATGTGCCACCCATCTGACTGGGGTGCCCCAGTCACTCTGGGTGGCTCCCAACAGAATATTAAAAGCATGATAAAGTTTGATACATTTAAACTGTACCAGGTTTACCACTGCCTTGCCCCTACCCTTCTACCTCCTGGTAAGCAGCAGTAACGCAACCAGCCAGAGGTCAGGGGAGCGCTGCCACCCCACCATGCCATCCTCTTCTGTTTGATGTGATGTTGTATAACCTCCCTGCAAACAAAACAGAATGAAGGTTCAATAAATATATGACATTATATAGCCACCCCCAGAAACTTTGTACAAACCAATCAAGATTAATGCTCAATTAACAGGCCATCAGGAAGTTACCTCAGGGAAGGCGTGTTGTGCTATATGGCTTAAGGGACCTTAGCTTTATTCTTGGCCCAGCAAAAAATCAATAGCAAGCCTGAAAGCCTAATTTGGCCAATCCAAATGTGCCCTTACAAAACATTTGGTCTGTGATTTTGGATCTGAACTAGTCCCTAACCCCTTTTCCTAGCATAAAACTAAGGGTATAGGTTTTCTTTGCCAACAGCCACAGGGGTCTGATAAGATTACCACAGGGTTCTGATAAAATACCTGTTGTCATGATTTTGTCTACATGGGATCTATAAAGGTTCACCATCTAGGGGCTGTTACAATATTGTCTCCATTTTATAATGGTTTTGAGCCTTAATCTGTGTACATTTCATATGAATAAGGTGTTCAGTTTCTTGGTGTAAAGATACAACACTGAAAAATAACTAATACCATGGCCTAATGCATTTTCAGCTCCAACCATTCTTCCTACAGCCATCACTACCACAGGGGCAGGGACCACTATTTCAGATATTTCAGATTTACCACCTGGGACAATCACTACTCTTCCTATAACACCTTCTGCAAGTACAACCAGGAATACTGCCATTACAGAGAAGCCTGCAACAGGCCCAACATCTGACTCAGTCATCCCTCCTTTTGTAACTACAACAAAGTCTCCCATAATCACAGGTAGCACTTTAGAACCCCAGACCGCCAGTTCTCCCATCACTGGGATAAGCCAAGCAACAGATAGGACTGATGAATCTACTGCTGAAACAACTTTTCAGTCTGGAGTAACTGAGCCTTCCATATCCACGGCAACAGGGGGAACGGTCCAAACTGTTACTTCAGCTTCTTCTCAGACTGGAACCACCACCACACATCCCATAATAGATATAAGCCCAACAACAGATAAACGGTCGACTGCAAATACACCTTCTCAGGCTGGAACTACCACAAAGCATCCCATAACAGGTGAGAGTCCAGCAACAGATGATATAGGGCAATCTACTACTAAGGCACCTCAGACAGAAACCACCAAAGTAACTGATACGACTGTTTCTTCCACTGTTCCAACACCTCTCTATAATGGAACAACCACCTATACCACAGGAGATGCAACTAGAACCACCACCCTATCGATAACAACTTCATCTTCTGGCAACCAAACGACGTCCATTCCACCAGGTAATTCATCTCATAGACTATCAGAACCTGTGTCTCCTCAAACACCCACCACCACAAGTTGCCCAAGACATAGAGTAAACGTGTTATTCAGAGGCAGACTATACTTGACATTTGTCACGTGGTTTGGTCCTGCATATGTTGTTTTCTTTCACAAATAGCCAGCGTAGGGGGTGGGGACCCATGATACACAAGAATGGTGGCTTTAACAGTCCCTTTTAGAATCCGTCCCACCCAGCGACTGTTATCCATCAATAGAAGAAAGCTTCTTGAGATTGGTTCAGGGAATTGTTGTTGGAGAAGTGTCTAGGTCTGGGGCCTAGGCCATGACATTAGGTATTACATGCAGGGATCCCAATACAGCTAAAACTGATTGTGAAAAACTTGAAACAAATGCTTAGTCATGGCTTACTAAAATTCTGCTCCTTTGAATGGGGCTTAAAAAAGGTAAAGGGCCCCTGACAGTTAAGTCCAGTCGCAAACGACTCTGGGGTTGTGGCTCTGATCTCGCTTTACTGGCCGAGGGAGCCGACGTTTGTCCGCAGACAGTTTTTTCGGGTCATGTGGCCAACATGTCTAAGCCGCTTCTGGCGAAACCAGAGCAGCACACAGAAACGCCGTTTACCTTCGTGCCGGAGCAGTACCTATTTATCTACTTGCACTTGGACGTGCTTTCGAACTGCTAGGTTGGCAGGAACTGGGACCAAACAACGGGAGCTCACCCCATTGTGGGGATTCGAACCACCAACCTTTGGGCTTAGTCATGACTAATTTTAGCTGGATCAGGGCCAGGGTGGCATCAAAGTGACTAGAGATAGTGTTGCTCACATTATTTCTCTGTGTACGGTAAGACCACTATACCTCCTGATGCGTTTGAGAATTGGTTCACACTGAAGTAGTAAACCTGTGTCTGGCCTGTACCATTTCAGGTGGGGAAGGGGTGGGAGGAGACCCATGTGACCAAATGTTCTGCGAGACAGAAGAGGCTCAGGCAATGAATCCTACTGGAACCTGGCAGAACTAGCCTAGCAGGAAAAATAGCAGGGAGTGTGTATGGGTTGGTCAGGTAGGTTACCAGGGGGAGGGAGTGGACTAAAGAGTCCAGCTGGTCAATGCAGAGTCTATTAGCTCATATGGCATGTTAGGTCAGGTGTGCCCAGGTGTGAGGGCTCACCCCCTCCCATTCGTATTGGGCTTTGCCCTAGAATTCAAGCCTGGGATCCCCTGCATGTGAAACATGAGCTATCCATCCCAAATAGGCCTCTTCCTAAAGCCCCGAACCCCTGGTATGTGTGATGGGGTGTTGGGGAAGTAGGTGGAAGGCAGATAAATATCCCATATGTGTCTAATGCTTGGGTGTTGTGTAGAACTGCATGCAGTGCAGGTTTGAGTATGTATGTAGGTATGTATGTATTTAGCATGCAAAAGATGAGTGGTTCAGTAGGGTCTCTCTCCCCCGGGTGGGGCTAAAACTTCCTTCTCCTGCTTCTTTGGCGTGAACTCCACTGGAAGCTGTTACTGTTACTGTCGGGGCTTCATGAGATGTATTTTTTGCAGATAGAGCAGGGTGGAATCCAGTTAAGAATGGGTAAGAAAAGAGGCAACAGAAAGCAACAGACTGAGAATATTATTGACAGGTAGGACAGAATGTGCCAGAGACTTTTAAAGTGAAATAACAGGGACAAATGAAGTCATAGAATGGTAGACGTGGAAGGGACCCCAAGGGTCATCTAGTCTAACCCCCTGCAATGCAGGAGTCATGGTAGCTTTCAGAGATAGAAGGAAAGCAATGTCAGGAATGGGCATTATACCTTTCTGGAATCCAAGGCACAATACATTACCCATGGGAAAATGTAATTCTTCTGCCATCAAGGTGGCCCATTGCTATCTGAATGCAGAGTGGAAGAATGTAGCTGCATATCACTGCATATACACCATACATTTAAAACACATGGCTTCCCCCACCCCCACTCCCCAAAAAATTATGGTGATTGTGGTTTGATTCAAGAACTACAGTTTCCAGGATTTGGTGTGCGCATGTGTGATTTTAAATGTATGGTGTTTATTTAGCCTGAGTCAAGGGCTGACATCAGGAACACAACCCCACTCTTCCAAGGCCTGCGTCATTTGCTGACCTTTGAAATGTTTTGTTTTCCATAATCCCCCCCCCCCAACTCCAACTTCCCTTCTATAGGAGAGAGGAAGGAGGGAAGGTAGGAGGGCAATAAAGTTTGCAGGCTATTGAGAGACTGGTTTCATTTTTAAAAAAAAATCAATAGAGGCTGAGCTCTCCATTGTTGTATCACTCAAACACAGAAGCACTCCTTTTTCTCTCTTTAAAAAGAGGGACAGTGCAAATCCCCCGTGCCCCACCATTTTGTGGACCTGTTGGCTGAGGCTGATGCGAACTGCAGCTCAACAACATCTGGAGGGCCAAAGGCTCCTCATACCTGCTCTAACCCACCATGGTTTCCGCCTTTGGCTGACTGGCAGTGGCTCTCCAGGGTCTCAAGTTGGGAAGTCTTTTTGGACCCTGCTGCTGGAGAGCCTTAAATTGCATTTCAATTGGGCCCTTCTGCCTGCAGAGTATGTCATTTACCACTGAACTAGGCATCCCGCTTCTCCATTTTTTAAACTGAGCCACCCTTCTGGCTTTTGCTCTCTCCAAAAGATTGTTTTATTTTTAAAGAGGAAAAAAGCCCTAATTTAGTTAGCAAGCAGTATCTTGATTCCAGCACTTCTGAAGTTGTGTGATATTGGCTATTTTTGAGAGGTGAAGTGCTAGTCATTTCACTTCATATTAATGATAAACTCTTAGAAGTAATAGAAACCTGCAGGCAATAGTCAAAGTCCACGCTGCTGGAGATTACAGACATGAAACTGATAGCTGGTCACGGTTTTACTAATCGCCACAAAGCTTTAAAACGATAGCTTGGTAGTTAATAGGGATGTGAAGTGTGAAATGAGAAAGGGCAAATTCCTACGGCAGGCAAATCCAAGTCAACCTAAGAAAACCCTGGCATGTGTTTCCGATTGGATAGAAACTTGGAGCATAGCTATCTGCTAGTGACTAGTTCAATGTTAGATACGTTAACTGAAAAGCTAGGGATACTTTTAGATATATTGTGTCATGGAATCTGGAAGAGACCATCAAGGAAGGAGGAGGAAGTAATGACATTGCAGCCTCTAAAACCTGTTATCCACACCCACCTGTCTTACACCTTAAGTCTTATATTGACATTCAGAAGGATGTCCCCTCGCCCAATGATTTTTTAAAATTGTTTTTCATTTAAATACAAGAACAGCACCTACGGTAACTACAGTAACTTGTTCAGTGGTACATTCTTATTAAGTTCCATATGCAGTACATAGTACGCAAGCAGTACATTTGTTTACTGTATGTATTATCCATTAAAGTAGCCTCTCCACAGAGATTGTTGTTCTGAGGATGGAATAAAAGTATCTATTTATAAAAGAAAAGGAAGGAAGGAAGCCAAGTCTCCCCGAAAGTGCCTACCTTTGAAGTGCCTTTAATTACCATTCTGTGGCAAGTAAGGCATGCCAATAAAGCCACATTCCAAATATTATTTAACCAGATTTCAGTGGGGATTTCCAGAGATTGTTTCCAATATCAGGCTACTGTTTTATGTTTTTGTTTTCAGAACAGAGTTGTCAGTCTAGAACAGAGGACATGGCTGCTGTGGGCACCACTTTGGGATGTTTACTGCTAATCACATTAGTGCTGCTTGGACTGGTCTCCTACAAGTATTACAAACTAAAACAAAGATATGGAGAAGACAGCGAAGTAAGTGGACCTTTTGCTATACATTGATTTTGGAGTGCAAGCCTTAGTTGTGAAGAACTGCAGTGCAGGAATTTGTGAGCTTTTATGCTTTTATCACGTTGTAACGATGGCCAACGACAACAAAAATACCCAAAGAAAGATAAGAGCCTTGTTTAAAAACATCCCTGGTCTAAAAATTATTATAAAAAAATAAAAATAAAAATTATTATAAAAAAATAAAAATAAAAACATCCCTGGTCCACTCTTCATTGCGTATGCAATGAGTCATTGGAAAGTCACACCTGTACATCAGTTACAACATCACACAAGCTAGTATGTTGAGCTGGGATTGCAATTTGTCAAGCAGAAACAGAAGGAAAAGTTGGTGCTGCCATGTGAGCATCAGCCACTACACAACATTTGTGAGTTCTCAGCATATTGCATGAAGCATTTGTATGTAATATGTAAATATGTAAACGTGGCAAATATACTAAGCAGAAATGAATAGTGTGATTTGGCTTATCATTAGATTGAATTATACCACAGGGGGATTAGGCCCAATAATTTCTAATGTGGGTGATCCTTCTCTATGCACCTCCCTTCCCTTTCCATCAGTATGAACATTAAATGTCCCTCTTTTGCAGTCTGTTGAAGGCTTGATCAACAGCAGCATTGAAAGCGATGAGAAACCTAACTCAGGTGGAAAGGAGGATAAGTTGCCAGCAAGTGTGATGTCTGAAGACGACAAACCGGTTGCAGAGAAGCGGTCAGGCACCCTGTCTCCTTTGGAGGAGACAGCGGGAAACAGCCAGGAATCAGCAGCTTCTGAAACGAACAAGGAAGGTGAAGAAGGCAACGGGGACACAGACAGTGAAAAGGAAGTAAGATCCATCCTCACTAAAGACAGAAGGATGTCAGACGATGGCTACAAAGCAGTGTGGTTTAAAGAAGACATTGACCCAGAAGCTAAGGATGATGTTTTGATGATTGAAAATGACAGCGATACAGAACAGAAAGGGAATGAGAGTGACAGTGACAATGCTGATGACCAGGCTGGTGACGATGAAGTTGATGATGGTGGCAGAGGTGGCAGTGACAGGTCCTTCACGCTAGGAAGAGCTCAACTCCCAGAAATTGATTCTACTGATGATCTTCAGGATACAGAAGGAGATGGTGTTTTTTTGTAGGTGAAATATTGTCCAGGATTCTGTGATAGAGCTGACTGTTTTAAACTATGTTCTGACCAAGCTTCTGCAGCTTCTTCCTATGACCTCAACCAATTAATGAGCAGCATTCACCAGGAAGGGCAGTGTGCAACTTTGTCCCCTTGGTAATATATCACACCTTCCCCAAGCATAAAGCTGATAACAACACCTAAACAACAACTTCCTGACAGTAAGAGCTGTTCGACAGTGGAATTTGCTGCCAAGGAGTGTGGTGGAGTCTCCTTCTTTGGAGGTCTTTAAGCAGAGGCTTGACAACCATATGTCAGGAGTGCTCTGATGGTGTTTCCTGCTTGGCAGGGGGTTGGACTCGATGGCCCTTGTGGTCTCTTCCATCTCTATGATTCTATGAACATCTTATGGAATTGTTAGGATCATTCAACCCAAGCATGATAATTAACATACAGCAGCAAGGACCAACCCAAAACAGTTTGATCCCTGAGGCAGCCAATTCAAATGTAGTCACCACCTTCCAACGCGAAATAGGAAGTAGCTTGTAGAAGATGTACCTGTTATCACCGGCATAGTGAGCTCAGCTAGGGTTGCTGCTAGTTTACTTCTAAGCAATGGCTGCTGTTCCACTGGTACTAATCCTGCTAGTATATTTGGACTCATAGTGTTCAACATAGAGATGTCCAGCTTGGTGGGATCAATGTGGCCAGTCATCAGCAAAAGCCAACATCTGGAAGAAAATAATAATAATAATAATAATAATAATAATAATAATGGTTTTATTATTTCCCTCCTGCTCATCTCAAATAAGCTCTTTAATGAGCAAAACTGGGATAGTATTTACAGAAGTGTTATTTCAAACCAGGAGAAACATATTGCTAGTAGTTTATGGGATTGCCATCTCCTTCACAGGACATTGCCAGGACATTGCCAATATGGTCCACTGGGTGGGCTTGAATTCATCCCACTTCCACCGTGGATTGCCTGGGATAAGTTACTTCAAGTCTTCACATGACATGTGGGCTGCTGCAAAGTTGGTAACAAACTAACAGTGCCCTTTGACTACTCAGAAATAAGGCACACTGAATTCAATGGGGATTACTTCCAGATGAGTATAGGATTGCATCCTATGGTTGTGATAATGACCTCATTTTTTCTCTTTTTTCTTTTCATATTTTTTAACATTATAAACATCCATTCAAACCAAATAACACTGATACAAACTTGGGGTTCTCTGAACCCCCAGACTTCCCCACCACCACCATCACCCACTCTGGTTTTCAAAATGTAGATTTTTTTTAATCTTTACCGCATTTGATTACAATTATCTAACTTTGGTTTAATCCTCTTTTTTTTTTTTAAGTCTTTTGGTTTTCGCAGATTACAAGTGTTATGAAAATCCTACTAACGTCTTTAAGTCTTTCCAATATTCTTTAATATAATCTATGTACTTTTTCCATTCTGTATTAAATTTGTTTTCCTCTTGGTGTCTGATTCTTCCAGTCATCTTTGCCATTTCAGCGTATTCTATTGTCTCCATAATCCACTCTTCTTTAGCTGGTGTTTTCTCTTCCTTCCATCCCTGGGCGTAAAGCATTCTTATCATGACCTCATTAAATTAGAAAAGGTTTAAAGGGAACTTGTGGTCCTCCACATATTCCCATCATCCTTTACATTTCGCCATGCTGGTTGAGGCTGGTGTGATTGGAATCCAACAACATCTGGAGAGTCACAGGCTCCCAACACCTGCCCTAGAAATGATGAGGAATGGGGCTTACTTCTAAGTAAGTAAGCATAGAATTGTGCTGCAGAACTGCTGTTATTTTCCATGACGTTTATTCAAGGTATTGCAGTCTTTATTCTATAAGGCGAAGTCAAACATTTGATTCTATGAACACCAACAGTTTCACAAAGCTCTTCTCTTAAAGCATTAAACAAACAGGAGGAGACAGAGAAACATCATATTGCTATTCTTTACGTGCATAATTTGCAAGGGATCAATTTCGAAATGATGACCTGGTGCTATACTAGGATGGTAGCATGGTGTATTACACCAACAAAATTAAATTTAATAAAAAAAAATGTAGCAATAATTGATGGAAGTGTCGAAATGGGAGGGGAAAATTCCCCAGTTGTGACAGAATTGCCCTTCAGCTAAGAATTATTGATATATGAGAAGAGAAGAAATGAGGAGGGAAAGCATGAATAATGGATTTGCAATTTTTCTTATTAGCTTATAGAAGCAACTTTTTTAAATAAAACAATAGATCAAGAATTGGCCGTTAATATGATTGTCACAGCAAGAAATAAAATATGGAGAATATGGGAGACAGAGAGACTCCAGTGATCAAAGAATGGATAAATGATGTGATCGGGCAGAAAAGTCAATGTTAATATATGTTCTGTTTGAGTTGAAGAAAATTAAACTATTCTCTGTGAGATGGGTTGCAGGTGTCAGAGGAAAGGAAATATATTAACATCTAATCATGTCATATGCTTAGACTTGGCTGTGATAATTATGTAGAGGAGAAAATATAGTTTAATGATTGTTAGGTTGGTGCTTTTTTGTTTTAAAGAAATGCTATCTCTGTTTGAGACCTTAAATAATATAATTTTATTAAAGTCCTTTATAATAAGTATAATGTGCATATAATCTTAAGCGATATACATCACTTTGGTGCTACTAATGCAGCAAAAGCAACACAGGAGGCAGCAATTATGAGTTACCAGTTTCTGCAGCCACAGCAGGTGCTGTGATTCGCCAGTGGTTTGACTTGACCCCTGGAGGTACACGCCATTGTCTCTCCAGACTGGGGCATGCCAACCAAAAACACATTTATAGGATTTATATTTTCTATTACTCTCTGATGCACTGTAATTGCACTACCAGCCCCCTCTATCTAATTCATTCTCAGGTGTTTTTTATTTTGTTTTACATTTTCTCTGAAAAAAATTCTGGAAAACCAGTATATGCCAGGCAAGTCTAACAGGTAGATCATGGTCGACAGGTAGATCACCGGACATCTGTGGTAGATCAGTAGATCACTGGCTCCCCCCAAAGAAGCTCAACAAGTTTGGCTCCCCTAAGAAAAGCTCAATAAGTTTGATCACTGTCAGTCTTTGTGAGTAGATCGCAGTCTCTTGGGAGTTGGTCACCCCGGTATATGCCATGATGCTTTTAAAAAAATTGGCCACCATGTGATTCCTACACACACAGATGGCTGTAGGGAGAATGAAAGACAAGGAGAGGTGATAGGTGGGATGAGGCAGAGAGGAAAGGATTGGGCCAGCTGGGCTTATTCTCCTGCTTTCATCCCTCTTTCTCTTGGGTCAGGCACCCCCAAACTCGGCCCTCCAGATGTTTTGAGACTACGACTCCCATCATCCCTAGCTAACAGGACCAGTGGTCAGGGATGATGGGAATTGTAGTCCCAAAACATCTGAAGGGTTGAGTTTGGGGATGCCTGCTCTTGGTGTAAGAAGCTTACATAGGCTAAGCTCCTCCCTAGCCAAGGAGGAGTCTTATAATCAAAAGAAAAAATTTGAAGACAGACTGACAAATCTAATACACAGAGGGAGCTCAATGGCCTCCATGGATCTAAGGTTGGGGGTATGGGATAATCAGTCTCATAACCAACATGCTTAAGTCTAATTAACACAGAGGTTAAGGCCATAGAATAAACTGTTCTGCCAGTTTAGTTTAGGTCCCTCCCTCGCTACTTGGGAGGAAAGTAATTGAACTTATTGCTGCACCTCAGTATACCTGAGAAGCTCAACGTGTGAAGAGGTTCTCACATGGCTCTCACAAACCATTATTCTGTATCTACACCAATAATTTAGGAACTTTCACCACTGTACAACTAAGCCTAGTTTTACGGCTTGTACAACATTTTTGACTGATGTATGGAAAAGCACATGAACCTGACCTTTGAAGAATTTGTAAGTAAACCAATTTTTAACTTATCAAACATGTTGTCTTTTCCTATGCTGAAGGAAGAGGGGAGTTTTTGAACTCATAAGGGCCGAAAGGTGTTCAGAAACAGCAGTTAGTGGAAAACATGGCACCTTACACTCTATCTACTGAGTTCCATTGCTTGCCAGTCTCGTTCCAGGTATAATTCAGAGTACTGACATTTGAAAGTAAAAACAATCCTGGTCCTATATATTTTAGTGATCACCCAACCAACTTCCCATAAGTGTCTCTTCCCCTGCCATTCAGCTGATGAAATCAGCTGCTGCTGATACCCAACTTCCTTGAAGGTCCATATTCAAGGTGAGGAAGAAAAGAATTCCCTGGCAAATAAGGGCCACACATTAGGGAAAGTTATACAGCTGTACTTTGCTATAATTACGATATATTATCTCTCCCATTCTTTGGCAGTATTGTTGGGTTGAACTTTGGAATCTGTGTTTGTTGTCTCATCTGGGTTTCCATGGAGCATCTAACTAAGAGGGGGAGGGAACGAGAGAAGGAAGTATCTATAACACAAACAGAAGGGAATTATTGCCTTAATTCGAATTGACTACAGCCACATGAAGAAAAAATTTATCAGAATAATAAAAAAAATTCCAGGAGCAAACTGCTGAACTTCTCATCTTTATCAAACTTTTTATCTGGGAGGAATGAACAATCTGCCCTTTCTTCTGTCTATGGGTGCTGTTTATTGGGATACTGCTACAGAAGGTTTCGGTCATTTGACTCTCATGCTGCTTCCTTCCTTTCCTTGTCTGTTCATTCCCAGATCTCTCTTTAATTTATTTACTTATTAAATTTATACCTCACCCAGGATTCTTTGGGCGAAGCCATGACCATAGTGCAGATGGGGCCTTATTTAAGTACCACTGATTTCAGTTGCAACTACCATTTGTTGGATTGTGGCTTTTGCTTTGCCCACAGCTTATGCCCTTGACATAATGTTCGATATTTTCTCATGACTATAATATTAGTATAATAATTAACAACAGGAAGAGAATCCAGCTGCACATCTCCCTGCTCACATATGCACACTTTTATTAACCCAGAAAGAGCAGGTCAGAAACAACATAGTTAAAAATGAAATATGAAAGAAGACAGGTATGTGCTTAGCTAACCCAGAACAGATTACACAGATTACATGCAGGGAAAGCATTCTCAATGAGAACATGTCACACTGTAGAAAAAGAGAACATGATCCCATTACCAACAGTACAAAGAAACCTCTAAAAATGTGATTAAAATAGTTACGTGTGCCAGTTGTACATCTGAAATTCCACCCATCTGTGTATCCCACAGGTTCTCCTTGGGATGGCAAACCTCAAGCCGGGGGGGGGGGGGAGATGCTGCACTCTCTGGATCACAGCCCTCACTAGCCCTCTTTGAGTGGTTTTGCCTGGCTGAAATCAGTCTCAACAATGTTTCTTCCTTGCCTGCAGGGAGGATAGAGAGGTAGGCCTAGGAAAGAGGTGTGCAAAAACTAGGCTACCAGACAATGGTAAAATTTACATTCCTTGCTCTGCTTACTTTTACCTGTGGCCCCACCCACCATTGGCATGTGGCCCCCGGAAGATTGATCAGAAAGGAACGTGGCCCTTTGGGTCAAAAATGGTTCCCCATCCCTGGTCTATTCAATGATAGCTTAGCTATCTGCCTCTTTCCCCAGCAGATGGGCCATAAGAAACTTAATCTTTGTGCACACAACAAGGATCAGTGCTCACACCATTTGCCTTAGGAATTTCTTGTTTTTTCCCCATGCGCTTTTTGCACATTATTGAATCTTTTTTATGCATTTTGCTGGCAAAGTGATGTATTGCAGTTTTGATATTGTTTGCATTTTTTCATTGTGGCACAGGTCCAAAAAGGTTTTGCGCAACAACCCATTCGCTGCAGTGTGAACACCTGATCATGCTTTCTCCTGTTTGGGCTTTCCATTCCCCACGGTTCTCACAGTTCAGACAATGAAGATTTATGAAGTCCAGAGTCTAAAATGGCCCAACTGCAACATGGAGTCACATGAGATATTCACACTCACTGCTCTGCATTGTTGCTTTTGCTGGGCTCCACATAGAAATGTCACAGACTGGTTGCTATCCCTTACATTTAATGTTCTTTTTGCTCCACTGTTTACATATTATGGGTATCTTCCAAATGCGGATCACACACATGTCTGTTGAGTAAGGTTCTAGTCCAGTGGTTTTCAACCAGTGTGTCGTGGCACCCTGGGGTGCCTTGAATGGTGGTCAGGGGTGCCTCGGGCAACACTGGCCTCTGTCCCTCTTTCTTTCCCCCTCTCCTCTGATGCTCTCTCATGTCTGCCTCCCAAAGGCTTGCACAGCTGTTTGTGCAGCAGCCCTGGCTACAAGCTCCCCAGGAGAATGGTGCACTGGGGCTGGCCAGGGGTTGCTTCGCTGGCCCCTGTGGGGCAATGTGAGGAGGCACCTCTCTTTGGAGTGGGGGGGGGCAGCACAGAGACCAGGAGCGGCAGCTACAGCTGCCCAGAGGACTCCCAAGGAGAGGGGAGAGGAGAGAAGGCTGAATGAACACTCCCCAAGGGAGGGTGTTCGAAAAAGGGCAAGAGGCTACCAAGTCTGCAGGCAAGGGGTGACACAACTGGGGTCCTAAGCCCCTCAGGGGTGCCGCAGAAAGAAGATAGTTGGTCAAGGGAGCCCTGGACCCAAAACCTCTGCTCTCGTCCACAAAAGCTTTTGCTTCAATAAATCTGTTGCAGCACAATCCTATATGTATCTACTCAAAAGTAAGTGCCATTAAGTTCAACGAAGGTTTCTTTCAGATAAGCAGCCTTAATCTTTAAGGTGCCTCAAAGCACTTTCTCCTTTTAAAATATGGAATAGCATTTAAAGAAGCAATCTGAATGCCCTGTGGGTATTGCAAAAAAAAAAAAAAAGTATCAAAATGTTTTGTTCCCGAGTTATTTACATTGTACCTTAGGTTTTGGGTTTCTAAGTTACACAGAGTTACAGCAAGGTTCGCTATGTTCAGTATCGTATATGCAATTTAAAAAAAATGGGTATGGGCGCTACCTTGTGGTTGAAACAGGAATTTCCTCAAGTCTTAAAATACCGTAGTTTTGTCTTAAGAAGGTGACAGGTTTAACAACATGGACACATTTTACAACAAAAGAATATTTTTCCGTGATTCATTTTTTCCTGAAACAAACTATTTCCTTGGGAGTACCAGTCAAAGATGTGAAAGCAGAACTCAACCACTTTCAAACACTGTATTTCTTTCAACAGGAGCTTTCTCACTTTTTAGAGGTAAGGAAATATATGCTACTATGTGATGTTTTAGAGAACATGGCTCAACTGTTTTAAAGTAAATGTGCTGAACCTGAAAATTGTACTATCTTGAGAACGAATGAGATTTAAGTATACAACTAAACAATTGAAAAATCAGTTGTGAATAATGAATGCTTTACTTTCTCTCGATTGAACCTACAGGTGGTGCTAGTGCTTTTCAAAGCATATGGATAATGTTAGATTGAAGTGGAGAATGCTGAACAATTATAATTATTTGTATTTATTGCATATTGTATCTGAACTTTTTCTCTCAATGAGTTCATAGTTAACCCCCCCCCCCCCATTTAATCCTCACAACAACCCTTTGAGGTAAGTTTGGCTGAGAAGCAATGACTGGCACAAGGTCAGTCAGTGAGCTTCATGGCTGAGTGGGGATTTGAACTCTGGTCTCCCAGGTCCTAGACCAACACTCTAACCAGTACACCAGACTGGCTCCTTTCTACAGGTAGGAGACAAAAAGTGACCAATGTGATAGGATTGCAATCAAGGTTAGGAAGAGAACTCTGTTCCCCACACAGGCAATTTGACTTATCCCTAGAGACTGGCGATTCACACCCTACTATGGCACATGATAATTTTCCACATGCATGTTCTGTCAATGCCTGCATAGATCAATGAACAAATCATTGTGTGCATGCAGTCAGATAGGTGCACGGACATGCGGACTTTGTTATTTTAACATCAAAAGCTTGTTCAGCATTCCACCTTTTCTTTCTTTCATAAAATTTATATACCACTTGATTAAAAAAAGAACCCTCAGTGGTTTACAAAAGATTAAGCAGTCAAATCAAGAAAAAATCAGTTCCTTTTCCTTCTCACATGGCCAACAAAACAACAAACCATTCATTAATTTCCCAGTGAAAGTGGAATTTCCAGTTATGTTTCATTCCGTTACCTAAGAAGGCCGGCAAAGCCATTGCTGATACTGTTAAGATCTAAATACATTGTAACCACAATGGAGCTGAGGTGAAACTGAAAACAATCATGACTGATTGCAGTCTTAATCAAACTGTCATTGATACATGTTTATGATAGTATTTCCCATGAGAAACTGCTTCTTTCCTATATAGGACAGAAACTCCAGACTCCTTCAAGGCCATGTCTAAAGAACTAAGAGCATTACTTTTCCAACTGCTGCCAAACAATACAGGCAGGGTTATTCTGACCTTCAACGGGAAACCCTCTTTCCTTTTTCAGTTTTAATTCCGCATGCCTTGGCACTCTCGTTCATTGCATTTGAAGTTGCTTCCTTAACTGGGTGCAAAACAATTCTGGACTCAGGAGCGCTTCTGAAAGGTAGTTTTTAAGGAGCAGAAATGGAGCCAGGGAAATCATTTGCAACCAATACTTCCTGGGCCCTTTTCCCACTTCACATTGGGCCAGCAAATGGTAGCCTAGCAAGGCAGAGTTTGCTGCAGGGCAACCTTGCTCACTCCATGCTGGCTGAAGCTGATGGGAATTGTGGTCTAAAACATCTCAGTGTTTTATATTGGCTCCCAATGATTGTGTGCTGAGTCACAGAAATGCTAATAAAGGTTTAGGCTACATCAACAGAGGTATAGGTGTCAGATTGTGAGAAGTTATGTTCCTATTCTGTTCTGCTTAGTTTAGGCCACGTGTGGAATAAGTAACTGTGTCCAGTTTGGGGCACAGTAGTTTTAAACGGTTTGTAACAAACTTGAGCATGTCCAAAGAAGGGCAACAAAAATGGTGAGGGGCTGAGAAGCTGGTGAGTTGGGTATGTTTAGCTTGGAGAAGAGATCATAAAGAATGTAATAAAAATACTGCTCTTTCAGGCCAATGGCCCATTTGGTTCAGTATCCTGTTCTCACAGTGGCCAACCACTGAGTTTACTGGGGGAAAGGATTACAATAATTGTTAACCACCCTAGGAACTGCAGCTCTTTGAGCAAACTAGGGGGTCTCCTAACAACTCTTAGCACCCTGAACAAACCAGGATTGTTTGGGGGAAGCTATGACCGTTTAGTCAGGGGACGTGGGTGGCGCTGTGGGTTAAACCACAGAGCCTAGGACTTGCCGATCCGAAGGTCGGCGGTTCGAATCCCCACGACGGGATGAGCTCTCGTTGCTTGGTCCCTGCTCCTGCCAACCTAGCAGTTCGAAAGCACCTCAAAGTGCAAGTAGATAAATAGGTACCGCTCCAGCAGGAAGGTAAACGGTGTTTCCGTGCGCTGCTCTGATTTTGCCAGAAGTGGCTTAGTCATGTTGGCCACATGACCTGGAAGCTGTACGCCGGCTCCCTCGGCCAATAAAGCAAGATGAGCGCTGCAACCCCAGAGTCAGTCACAACTGGACCTAATGGTCAGGGGTCCCTTTACCTTTACGACTGTTTAAAGCGGTATGACAGTGCTTTAAATGTATAGTGCAGATGGGGTCATAGTTCTTCATAACCATCAAACTGAAACCACAATAGCCCTTTCAAAATGAACAATTGATCCCCAGTGCAACAATTTAAAAACACACATTGATTATTATTTTTAAGGCCTTTAGAGTTCTCCTTAAAACTGCTAATGACGAGGTCACACATATATCCCAGCGAAGATAATCCAACAAGTACAGTACATAGCCCCTGACAAAAGCATCATTAAGCAGAGAAGCAGCAATTTTTGTGCAACCCAGCCAGACCCACCCACCATGATGTCATACATGAGGCTGCTGCCTTGGATGAATTCTATATTTAGGATCATCCAGATTTGCTGCCCTGTGCCAGGTAAACACAGGTGCCACCCTTCTAATTAACTCAGTGTTCTGGTTTACCCAGAGGGAGTGGAAGATCAGCATTCCTTCCTGTGTAACTGCAGAAGGAAAGGTTTAAAACTGTAGAGTGTGTGTATGACAGGGGTATTCTTTTAGGCTTAATTTGTGGCAGGGCTGTACCTTGAATTGGTGTAGTGTGTGTGTGTGTGTGTGTGTGTGTGTGTGTGTAACTTCTCTGCCTCAAGCAGCAGAATGCTTGTGCTGGCTGGTATAGTTCCTTAAGGGTGCTGGGCATTGTAGTTCTGTAAGGGATAAACTACAGTTCCCAGGATTTGTTTGGGAAAGTCATGGGCTTTGAATGTATGCTGTGCTTGCAGCTATAGTCTGTTATAGGAATTTAAAGGTCTCAAATATAGAATAAATATTCATAAATGCACACATATCTAAATATATGAACCACGTGTCTGAATAGAATGGGAGAGCAATCCTGAATCTATTTTGACTGTGCCAATGACCCCAGATATTCCACTACAGTGAGGAAGGCAAATGGGGAAAGCCTTCCCATTGTGTTTTTGCTTGCAAATCCTGTCTTAAGGGCATATTTGTGTGTGAATAGGGTGAGCCTGTGACCTGGATTCAGGAACTAAAGTATTAACCATCACAAAAGAATGGCCAGACTGCCCAAGTAATGCAACCAGTGACTATTATTAGGTATCCTGGCAGGCAGGATTTCTGCTGTAGACTGCCTCCTTCTGTGATGTATGTATGATGTTTTGCGGTGGTCTTGGGCTACAGAGTGAGGAATTTCAAAAGTCTATACAGTGTAAAGGGTTGCGCATCATTGTTCAGGGTTCTCATCCCTCCTGCGTGTGGTGAGTGGGGACTCTGTTGCAACAGTTAATAAAGATCAGGCTTACTAGCCACTTTGCTTCTCAATATACTCTGGTTGGCCTTTGTTTTCTCCTGTTACCGGAAAAATCCGAGGGCTCCCTTGGACAAAAACAAAGACACCAACCAGAGTAAATTGGAGCAAATCAGCAGCCTGTAGGCTTGGCCTTTATTGAACTGTTGCAACAGGGTGTTCCCCTCACTTGCAGGAGAGAGGAAAGACCCAGAAAGATGGTGTGCAAGACCTTATAAAAACTTTTCAAATTCCCATCCTCTAGGTCAAGCCCACCCCCAGAAACATCATGCATACATTACAGAAAGGAGGGGTTGAGGGAGGTGTTGTGGTGGTAACCTGAGTGTCCTGTCACCTGGCTGGTTCCTCCTTTCCCCCTGCCCATGAGTCACTTCCAGGAGACAAAGGGGAGTTGGCAGTTTCCTGCCCCCAGAGGGAAGATCTTATCATTGTCCTTTGTTTCAGTCCATGCTGAATCTACTCCCATATGCAAGTTCTTTGTGATCTTGATGGTCTTCTGTCTAGGACCATCAGGGTTGGCATAGCAACTGGGCAGGGCTCCTGTGGATGTGCTGGTATGCTCAAGGGATTATGGCTGACCAGAACCAAGCCACCCCCCTTTGATAGTCCTTGTCATATGGAGTAAAATAAAAATGGAACAGTGCAAATCTGATGTATGGTTGATTTTTCTATAAATTTATAACAGAAGTGTGGCATATGTAGTGTGTGAGTGTGAGTGTGTGAAGTTTGTACAAACTGAATGATTGGGGTGGGGGGTTCCTGCTACACTCCTACCGATAGGGAACCCACTTAAGGACTATATATGGGCTCTGGAATACCCCATAAAGAAAAGGGAGCAGATTTTCTTATAACAAGTCTATGCTTAAAAACAGCAGGAAACACTGTGATCCAGCCATGTGTTTTCAATTTGCAAAGCAAAAGTGCATGCTTAGGCTCACTTAACAGCTGAGTCATCAAAACTCATCTTGCTGAAGAACATAAGAATCCAAGAATGCAACTATCAGGCGCTAGGACAAGGGAGGGTACCTTGATTGAAGAAATGAGAAAGAGAGAAACTGTGTCTATGGGGTGGCCATGTGTCCTACTTCACATAGGTCAGGGGTCAGGAACCTTTTTCAGCCGTGGGCCAGTGCACCGTCCCTCAGACCATATGGTGGGCCGGACTATATTTTGCGGGGGGAAATGAACGAATTCCTATGCCCCACAAATAACCCAGAGATGCATTTTAAATAAAAGCACACATTCTACTCATGTAAAAACACGCTGATTCCCGGACCGTCCGCAGGCCGGATTGAGAAGGTGATTGGGCCACATCCGGCCCCCGGGCCTTAGGTTGGTGACCCCTGACATAGGACAACCCTCTAATTCAGGGGTAGGCAACCTAAGGCCCGGGTACAGCAGTGCTGAATACAACTTTAAGTTAGCTGCACTAACTGTATGTCTCCATGAAATCATTTGTACAAATTAGACTGTGACTACAATATACCTTTAAAGCACATTTAAAGCACATTCTTTCCCTCAAAGAAATCTGGGCACCGTGATTTGTTAAGGTTTGCTGGGGATTCTGATTCTGTGAGGGGTAAACTACAGAGCCCAAAATTATTTGAGGGAAGAATGTGCTCTAAAAGTATAGTGTGCACACACAACCTTAGTACTGACTTAGGTCCCACTGAAAGCAATGGGACATTAATGCAGCTAATTAGGGTTGCCATATTTAAAAAAGTGAAAATCCAGACACCACAGTTGATGAGCTTTTTTTTTTTTTTTTAGCAAAGTCTGCCCCCAAAAAAAAGTTTATGAGCAATTTTCCAGGAAAATTGGCAAAAACAAACAAACCCCACTCTCAACAGGAGTTGCCAGATATCCAGGTTTTTCCATATATTTTTCTGAATGGCAAAAAAATTCTCCAGGTGCCATTTTCGACATCTGATTCTTGGATAAGTCTGGGAAAACCCAGACGTTTGGCAGCCCTAGTTAACATGCAACCCAATGCAGTCAATGGGACTTACTCCCACGTGTTTACTGTAACCGAGCTTTATTCCTTCAGCTAACAAGGTTCTCAGAGGCTGCCAGGTTTACTACTGCCTGTCGTCATCACCAACATCAGTAACCAAAGGGACTTTTCCTGCAATTGAAATCAATCTAAGTCAAAGAGAATTAGAGAAAGAATGCAGAGCTGCAAACAGGAGTGGCTGCTCTGTGTGGGGGAAAACCCATTGTATGGGAGTAGAGAAGAGAATTTTGTCTGCCCTGTACTTAAGCAATTTCATCATTCCTTAAGGTCTGGGTATTTCCTGCTCTCCCAAGGGCTGCTATTGCATAATCCCAGCATGGGTAACAGTTATTGTAACACAAGAGAGAGAGAGAGTAGAGCAGGGATATTTCAGAGACTTTTAGGAGGGAGGGTGGGGTGGTATTCTTGGACCTATCATTGTCATTGGAGGTGCCAATGGCCACCATGGCAGGAGTACTTTCTATCAGTTTCAGCTGGTGGCTCAGCCGTGGCTCCATCTGGATGGGGAATGGCAACCTGGCAAATAGAAAAGGGTGCTGCTATTGGTTTCTGTGGGTGTGTTTTTGCTGGAAAGGCCCTGCTCTGCTATTATCATGTGCTAGATTAACTTTATCACAAGCCAACCTTCTGGCTGACTCAGGATTTGAGATCCAATGAATGCCTATTCTAGATTAGAGTTTCTCTTTTGCTTCACATTGTAAAATGCAGAACCAAGCAGCTTTATTTATTTATTTTATTTTTTAAAACATTTTTTCGATACAAACATCAACCGCAAAAGACACATACAACAAAAATCATAATAACAATAATAACACAATTTGACAATTCAGATTTGAATACACTGATATACCTATGACTACACCTTTTTTAACAATATTTTCCCACCTCTCTCTCCTCCCCCTACTTCCCACCACTATCTGCCTCATCGCTTAAATATTCGCTCCAGATTTCTTCATATTTATCCATTCTTATTTTGCGTCGACATGCAATTTGTTCATATGTAGCTAATCTGTCCATATTATCAATCCATGTGCTCAATGGAATCTTTTTGCAGCTCTTCCAATTCATCAGAACAAGTTTTTTTGCTTCTAATATAGCACAGTGCATCCATATTTTTTTTGACCCATGGAAATCTCCCATGTTTCCGGAATATAATTTAGAATTAAATTCAATTCTGCTAAATAACAATTTATTTTTATTACTCTTGCTATAAATATCCTTTCTCCCTGTTCCCAATATATTTGTCGTAGACTTAGTAGGCTGAACTCAATTTTTTTGAGCTAGTATATTATTCAATTCTAATGTGTGTTGTTGTATTCTTTCGTATGTAACCTTAGATGGGTTATTTTTTTAAAAAAATAATATTTATTAAAGTTTCACAGAAAAGAAATCACATTGGTAAAAAAGGAAAATTTAAGAATAAAAAGAAAAATACACAATACAAAATACAAAAAGAAAAAAGAAAAAACAGTTAAAAACAATTCCGTCTTTTCATAACTTCTTTTACATTTACTTGTTTCCCGGACCTCCTCATACCTCCCTCTTTTGTATTCCAATTCAGTTTGTTAGTCCAGCAATTTCTTTCCCTGATGGGTTATTTGCCATATCGCCCCATAGTGTTTTAAAAGAAATTTTTAGATTATTTTCTTTTAATCTTTGCAGCTTGGCTTTGTTGGCAGAGAAGGATATTATCTTCCCTCTGAAGTAAGTTTTATATCCTTCCCATTCCATCAGTCTTGACATTGAAGATTTGGAATTATTTTTAAAATATATTTGTGTTTCTTGGGTTATATATTGAATGAAGTTTTTTTCATTTAATAATGATATATTAAGATACCATCTCTTCATACCTTCCTGAGTTTTAGATAAATTATATTCCAGTATACCTGCTGAGTGATCAGCTATAATGGGAATATCAATGTCACATCAGCTAGTAAAGGGATGTAATGATGCTGATGTTAGAAATAAATCAATTCTATGTTGGGTATTATGAATTTCTGAAAAATATGTATATGATTTTTCCTTAGGATGATGCAATCTCCATGAATCCACTAAATTCCAATGTATCATATAGTTATTAATAGTCTAACCTTCGTCCTTTTTTCCCTAGCTGCTGGGTGGTATCCATCTGTGGATCTAAAATTTCATTGAAGTCTCCACCCATTAGCAAGTGCTGATACGACAGAAAGCAGCTTTATTTGCTCAGCCAGTTTCAATTGTGCTAATAAACTCTGCCTCAGGGAGGAAAAATAACAAGGAAGAGAAACAAGGAAGGAAGCAAAACAGCTTGTCCGCAGTAGAACAAGGTACCTCTGCAAAGCGTAATAGGAAGCAGGCTTTCTGTGCATGAGGCTGCCTTTTGCTGCTGTTAGATGCAGAAACAATACCTAGTTCTTTCATTTCCCACACCTGTTGTCATCCTTTATAGCACACTCCTTTGTGTGTCTTACATGAACGCAAGTCCCAAATATGTTCAGTGACCCTTACTCCCAACTACAGTGTGTGTAGGATTACAGTCATAACCTGGTAAACCGGAGGAAGGATGCATTCTGGTCTGGGGCTTTTCCAGTGTATGCAATGACTGTTATATCAACTTTTCCCAACCTGGGGTTCTGGCTAGGGTTGGCGAGAGTTGTGGCCTCAAATGTCTGGAGGGCACCTGGTTAGCAAAGGCTGCTTACAGTAAAATAAAGAAGTGGCATTTAAATTTCAGGGCGGGCAAATTTTCACTTCTTCTTTCACCATCAGAATAAGCTAGCAAACAAATTATCACCGGGGGGGGGGGGCTAAAGGAAGGCCTATACCTGGTTTTTTGTTTAAAAAAACAAATATTGTTGTAGTGGGGGTTTTTTGGGGGGGGTCAATATAGATGATAGCCATGGGTACCTTACAAACCTGTGATCCTGTGTAGGTGAGGGTAGAATCTCAACACTGGGATAGCTCAGTTGGGAGAGCACGAGACTCTTAATCTCAGGGCCATGGGTTTGAGCCCCACATTGGGTGTACGATTCCTGCATTTGCAGGGAGCTGGACAAGATGATCCTTGTGGTCCCTTCCAACTCTACAATTCTATGATTCTATGATTCTAAGAGGAAGCCAGTAAAACCAATTCCATTGCAAAGGCTATGGCTTAGCCAACCAGTTAAGTACCACCATTTACATTGGGAAAATATTGCCCTATTGCCATAGAGACAAAGGGGAGGTAACCCCTCTCACCTAATGGGAAGCAGCATCCCCTTGCAAAGTAGAAGGACAATAGCAAGAGTTCTGTGTAGGAGCTTTGGCTGGTGCTGGAAGTTGGAGAGACAGACATGTCTTGCTCTGTGCTGGACCCACGAGCAAGGAAAATTGGGGTGCATGCAACAATATTTCTGTAAAAGGAACAAGTGCTGGGATGAAAGACATTGCAACAAGTGGTCTGACTCCTGACTAAACAGAGGAAGGATTAGCACCTCCTTCAAAAAGATTTAGCTTTTAGCACTTGAGTGCCATGCCAGGACTGTCAGTCTCCAGGACTGTCAGGTTGGTGACAGATTATTCCCAACACACATTGTTGGGCTGCTTGAAAGAGAATTGATTACTTGTGTGTGAGGGTGCTGTCAGTGGCTCCTGGGTGGTTGCCCTGGAAAGTATGAAGACAGGGAAAAGTTTCTTACAGTCCTTTTTTATTTCAAACCTTACAGAGAGAAGCTATAGAACCCAGACTCTTGGACAGTGGCAGTGTCCCAAAGGAATCTCCACCCCCTTTCTCTCCCACTTCCTCATTCGTCGTCGTCATTATCATCTCCTCTATGGGTGCTGCTAAGTGCCCCATGTCTTCGACCTCTTTGCTCTCCAGCTTTTAAAGCTCTCACTGGGTTCTGGGAGATGGTGAATCTGGAATGCTTTCTAATGTGTCAGCCAGCTGCTGCTCCGGCTCTGCCTGCTCCTCCTCTCCCATGACTGTCTTCCTCCTCCCTGGAAGGGTCAGGATGGGGAGGCGGTCTCCACCATTCCCCCTCCTCTGCCCAGATCCTGACATTATGGTGTGTACATTACTAGGGGGGAAAGTAGGGTGAGTGCACAGCCGCTACAAAAAAATAAATAAATCCTCTTTCAAACAGTTTTTATAAATACCAAACATTACACATGTCACCAGCCCGTGTGTCCCCAAACAACTGTTACTGTATTTCAAAGACCTGTTTTACCAGATGCTCAGCTGAACAAAAGAAATGCATGTTTCCTATAAGTGAAATCCTTCTTATGCTATTTCCACACTTAGCATCTTCAAGAGAAGGTGGAACCATTTGGAAGTGGTAGGGCAAGTGTATATAGCATCCGTTTTAAAAAAAACATCACTGCTTGCCAATTGTTTTTCCAAATCACAGCTCTTACTTCTCTGAATCCAGAGAGAAAAGGGCAAACTGCAAGCAGGCCCTAATCAAAGCCCTTTTTGGTTGTTGCTGCCAAATACTAGGCAAATACATGGTGAAGGAGCAATTCTGCCCATGGTACCTTATGCTTAAAATGGTGAAGTAACAGGCAAGAAGGGAATTAGGAATGCAGCTGCTCAGGATAATTTCAGATATTTTAGACTACATTGAAACTAGGAGTAACTCTTTGTGGTAGCACCTCTCGTTTCCACTGGGAATCCCCAACCAGAAAAGTAAGTGTGGTTGATAATCAAAAACCCCTAAGCTTGGGCTTCTAGAGTTCTGAGTGGAAGTTAGAAGCAGCTGTGGTCCTGCGAGAGAGTTATTGTCAACTTTTGAACCAGTTCCTTTAACTGTATTGGGCAAAGGGGGCTTGGTCTGCAGCAATTAGCAAGGGAACTGTGTTAATCTATGTCTGGAAGAGTCACTGGAATACCAGGCTGCTGTGAAGGTCACAAAAGCAGACCAGGCTTACCCCTCCTCTCTATTCATTTATTTTGATCATCTCAACACCTGCCCCAGACAGGTGGTCAACTACAAAAGACGAGAGGGACTTCTTTTAGCAGTTATATGGAAAAGGGAATATCAGCAGATGCTGTTTGTCATGTGAGGTACACCTGCTTAAATTTCCCTCTTCTACACAAGGCTTTAAAATGCAGGGGCCTTCTCCCTCTTTTGTATCTGCCGCCCTGAGACCAGTGCTTTTCAAAGGTTTCTTCCCCATAGACTACTTGAAAGTTGCTGTCGGTCTTGGCAGACCACTTAATGATTTTTCTGTTTGTAATGTTGCTCTATGAGTTTTAACTCTATTCTGTTGCTTCTTTTCTTTCTTAATATATATTGCATTTTATTATTGCATTCCATAGAACTCATTTTACTATGCAGTACCAAACAACATAAGGAATAGAAGAAAATGTTAATCAACAAAGGAGAGTGGAATAAAAATGCTAGCCCTTCTGCCAAAAGAAGGCAAACTCAGCACGTGAAAAGAGTTCATATTTATTGCTGCAGCATAAATCTAGAGGCCCCAGTGGATATCTACGAAAAGCTGGGACCCCAAACAAAGGGTGCACAAAACTTTTATACTATTACAGAAAGAAATACAATTACTACAGAAGCTTAAACTATCTCAGTTGGCTATATCTATGCACGCTCACGGCATGCTACTATGTACCACGCAATACCATAGTACCAGATAACAGAAAAGCAACATTTTGTATGAACTTTGCTTAAAACTATCTGTTTCATGAAGCCTAATGTGCGTCGGGAGAATTTACTGCTTCTCTTCTTTGAAGATCTCCTAGAGTTAGCTCATTCTTCTCTGTTTTGGAAGCTGATAAGAGAGGCCCACGATAGCGGCTATGCCAGCAAAAGACAGAAGTGCATTTTCTTTTTTTTCTTTTTTTTATAAGATATTTATTAAGATTTTCAATGTTTTACAAAACACACAAAGATAAAGGGAAAAAAATACATAGTAAAAATATTTAAAAACAATTCTTTCCTTCCATTACTTGACCTTCATTTACTTATTTCCAGGACCTCCTCACACCTTCCTTTTTTGTATTCCAGTTCAATTATTTTGTTCAGCAAATCCCTCCCCTCTTTTAGTATCCTAATCATTAATCATAAAAATGTTGTAATTTTAGATTTTTACATATTACATAATAAACCCTTTTTTCATCTTCCCTTGTAACCTTTCAGCTAAAGACCACTTAGTTTCTATCCAACATCATTCTAACATTCATTAATTTTACAATATTTCTGTAAATAATCTTTAAACTTTTTCCAATCTTCCTCCATCGACTCTTCTCCCTGGTCTCGGATTCTGCCAGTCATTTCCGCCAGTTCCATATAGTCCATCACCTTCATCTGCCATTCTTCCAAGGTGGGTAGATCTTGTGTCTTCCAATACTTTGCAGAAGTGCATTTTCTTTTCATAGATGTGGAGGGTGGGGTGCAGGGAGAATTAGCAAGCTGCCAGAGCTTCAAGGCCAAGACAGCAGTGAATTTCTTGTAAAATAATAGAGAGCTAACAGCAAGAGAGAGAGAGGTGCCTATATTTCCAATACAGGACAATGGCAACCACATTGCAGTTGTGACTGTGTGTGGTTGTGACTGTGAGAAACGTGTTTATGCAGACTCAGCAGGCTGAGGCCAGTTGTACATCAGAAACGTGCTCTGTGACAGAGGGCAAGAGCAACAGGGGTGTGTGCTGTGGGTTCTGGCATATTTCCTGGGCCAGGTCATGACACCCAGTTATCAAACGCAATAAAAAGATGACTTAAAAAATCAATATGAATATTTCATGTGATGGCTGTGCTTCATCCACAAGCACACTGCACACCTCCTGAACAAAGCTCCAGGCAGTCTGCAGACGGCAGTCCAGGAACCGCTGCCCTAGACCATACGTATTGCTAAAGTTTTTGTTTTTCTCAAAAAACAAATAAATACTTGTACAAGTTTTTAATTTCAACATACTTTGGCTAAATATTTTACAAGCACAACCAGGCAGTCGAAGGACTGATCATCTATTACAGGAAATGGCAGCCTGCCTCTTCCCCACCCTCTCCTTGTTCTTAATCATGGAGTCACTTAGAGTTGCCAAAAGACCAGAGAAAATGACTTTGCCTGAGCTTTCCCCCTGGCCACTGTATGTGTGTGTTTTGAAGAGCAGCTTGATGTGCAGATGATGTTTATCCCCATAGCAATAAAAAGTTTTGCCTTCTGACTGTAGCACAACAAGCTGCTGTCATAAGAGAAGATCGTGCCACTCCTCCCCTTATTAATTGGCTAGCCAATTTTTGTTTGTAAAAACACCCAAAGACTCTGGGAAACATAGGCGCCAACTCATAGGGGCCAAGAGCCACCTCTAATAAAATATTTGAGGGATGTGCCCCTGCAAGGTTGGTGGGCATTGCCATTCAAATGGGCGTGTGTGCTGCATCTTGCAATTGATTATGTGGGGCACAAGCTCCGTCTTGCCCTTGCAATTGAGGGGGCCATGCGACACCAGCGCACTGTGCACGCATGCCCCACAGCGTGCATGCGTGCATGACACCAGCACACCCCACAGCATGTATGCATGGCTGCCAAAGAACTTGGGGGGCTGGCTCTTTGGTTTGAAATTTGGCGAGCTGCCCTCAGCCCCCCTACTTAGTGCCCCTGGGGGTGTGGTTTACCAGGGCCCCCGCAATATTTTATTCAAGTTGGTACCTCTCCCGGAAAGGCTCTTAAATGTGCCAGGTCAAGGTACTTTGTCTCTTTTTTCATGTTTCTTTTCTAAGTTCTTGTGAGATTTCTCAGATTCTTTCACCACAAATTCTTTCACTTGTCCAGGTTAGTGTTTTTGGTTTCTATCCTAGAATGTGTTTTGATTCTTGGACACATGTACAGCAACTTTCACAAGAGGTTGGGAAGTTAACAAATATTGTATACTAGATTAGATGGAAGCAAAATTAATGGTCCTGATCCTTTGTCTCCAGCTGACCTGGTATATAATATGAATCAAGGAGGTTGGTTACCTCATCTACTGGGCAAATGCCAGGTATCTGCATTACCATCCACTGCCTCAGGAAGTGTGTCCGGATGTGACTCAGGTATGTTACACCTGGGCGTGGTTTCTTTCTTTTATTTTTTTACTGCCCTTGCTCCCATGCTTCTAACATTCAGAAATTAAGTAGGGAAAAGTTTTCCTGGCATGAGGATGAGTTTCATCTGCCTGATTTGTGCGCCTCAGGCAACTGTAAAAGGCAGAGGAGCAGAGATGGTTAAAAAAATTGGCAATCCTAGCTCATGGATTGTAGTGCAAAACTCAGTTAAGGTTTCAGTACAAAGTAAACAAGCCAAGGAATAAGAACCAAATGAAATGCCATGTTAAATGCATGATAATATTGTTGACAGCAAGGAAAAATAGGTAAGAAAGGAGAATTATTTGGGCGCTAAGATCCAAGTTTGGAACAAGTACTCTTTGGTGAGAGAATGCCAGCGGAGATTTAAAATCACAAAATACGCAGCAAAATAAAATGTGTAAATATAGGCTTTTAGACCTCTAAAATATGCCCTTGTGAGTTCCAAAACTTCCTGCTTCCCTTAACATAGAAGAAGACCGTGTGTTTGGCAAGTTAAAAGTGGTTTACTTACAAAAGAACCTCTTCACGTGTTGAGCTTCCCAGGTAGACTGAGGCGCAACAATAGACTTGATTAACCTTCCTCCTAAGGTTAGGAGGAATGACTTAGCTAACCTTGGCAGGACAGCTTACTCTATGGCATTAACCCCTTCACGCATTAATTAGACTTAAGCATGTTGGTTATATGAGGCTGGTTATCCACACATACATATTCACAGCTGGTTATAAAACCATACATATAGTTGTCCATAAAGTGACTAGATGCCAAAGAGGAGAGAGACTCTTGCACCTTTAACAGTTGGGTAGGAGAGGGGATGCCAGCAACTGTGCTGAATCTTTCTATCCCCCTGCACATTCCCAGCTGTGCCATGATGTACCCAGACCTATCTGGGCACATTGGTACCTGAACGTGCTTTTCCACCTCCACGTAGCTTGTCTGGTATATGACAATTAACTTTTTGTGCGTGTCAGGAGGTGGATGTTAAGACCTTCCCACTCTTTCCTGGAAGATGCTTTTCTCGAACGTGGAGAGTTCAAGCAAGTTTCGCTTCCCTTCAGGGGTTTTTAGCAACAAACTGATTGACACTGCAGTGCTGCTGCTGCTGCTGCTGCTGCTGCTCCAGCTTAATTTGGTATTCTGTTACATACATTTGGGGGGACGCGGGTGGTGCTGTGGGTAAAACCTCAGTGCCTAGGACTTGCTGATCGTATGGTCGGCGGTTCAAATCCCCACGGCGGGGTGAGCTCCCGTCTTTCGGTCCCAGCTCCTGCCCACCTAGCATTTCGAAAGCACCCTTAAGTGCAAGTAGATAAATAGGTACCGCTTACTAGCGGGAAGGTAAACGGTGTTTCCGTGTGCTGCGCTGGTGCTGGCTCGCCAGAGCAGCTTCGTCACGCTGGCCACGTGACCCGGAAGTGTCTCTGGACAGCGCTGGCCCCCGGCCTCTTAAGTGAGATGGGCGCACAACCCTAGAGTCGGACACGACTGGCCTGTACGGGCAGGGGTACCTTTACCTTTACCTTTTACATACATTTGAGATTCCAATATGACCATGTGAGTGAGGTCACTGAAAGAGAAGCTTGTGGGCTCTTTCTCGGTGTGTGGGTGTGGGTGTGGGTGATGTTTTAGCATGTGACAGATTTTTCTGCACATTGCAAAAATGATGTCGGGGGGAACACCTCCATAAACCAGCTGCACATTTAAGTGCTAGAAATCTCTTTCTAGTTTGGCTGGTTGTGACAGCCAAAATTCCCCTCTTTTATATTATATATAGACTGTGAGTGGTAGGAGGAGATTGCTGGGTTCTCCTTTGCAATATCTAGACTATGATGATTCAAAACCTGTCTCATTCTGCTCAAATAGTATGCCCCAAACCAATTCCTATGTGTTACTACCATAAAGTTTTGCTCATCCTTACAACTGCCTTTCCATCCTAGACCGGTGAGACACCTGCTTGTTCCGTTCCATCTCTGCCAAAACTAGCATGACCTCTTAGGGGGCCCAGGCCTGAGTTTCTTACTGAAAAGATTCCACCCTCTTCGTCTACTCAGAATTTTCAGCTCTCCTCCAGAAGCTCTGCATTCTTTCCCACCTGTCTCCCCTACTTAGCCACTTAGATGGCCAACTAGCACCTTGTATGTAGGCCTAGCCCTCCATAGCTCAAATTGTTTCAGAGACCAAAGGCATTTTGGTTTCCAGGTCAAGCATAGGAAAAGATCACATTTCAGCTTTCAAAGCCAGATGGGGAAAACAGTGCGACTTGTGACATCTTAAAGACTGGGATCTCCTCCAGAAGACTGGTGGGGGGGCTGTTTGTGTGTGTTTTGACACAATATCAGTGTCTTAGCAATAGATCTATACTGGGCCAGCCACACATCATTCTGCTTCATTGGTTGTTCTGTGATGCTTCCCCCAACATTACTGCATTGTTGGCATCTGGCATGGTGTTCTTGCACTGTTTCATAGATTGTTAGGATATAAACAATTTCAGAATTTTATTGATGCTGTTGGAGCCCATAGGGTGGTTTCTGAAGCATAATTGTGGTAGGGAAGGTTACATGGAGCATATGTATGCATGGGTGAGACAGAATGAATGTGTTGCATGTTCATGATGTGCATATATAAATGTGTAGCAGGCGGGTGTGTTGTGTGTAAAAGAGAATGGGAGGCTTTTTTGCTTTGGCTTCACCAACTTTTGGCATGCCACCCAACTAGTTTGCCAGGAAGCATTGCATTCCGGAGGCCAAAAAAGCACCCATGGCATGCAGAGCTGGGACAAATAGAACCACCACTTCTGTGAGGGCCATTTCACACACTGGGAGGCATCAACTCTTGGTTTGCTCAAGTGTATCCCTGACAGGGAGCTGCAGCCAATTCTGGCTCTTTCACAGGGGTAACGTGCAAACGTGTTGGTTAAACTCACACTGTACATTTTTACAGGTACACAGTGTGTGAAATAGCAATACAATTGTGCTGGACATGTCAATTGTGAAGGCAGCCAACACTTACCAAAATACTGATATCTGTTTTCTAGTCAAGGGAGCTGAGACATTTGGAGGTTTGTCTTTGCAAAGTCAGACAAGAGTAGGCAGAACTGTTTGGGAAAAATGAGGTGCCTGAGAAGTAAGCAAGCAAAGACAAGCCTGCTGGATCAGGCCAATGGCCCAACTACTTCAGGATCCTGTTCTCACCAACCAGATGCCTGTGGAAAACCTGCAAGCAGGATCCGAGCACCTAACACTTTCCCAGCAATTGGTTTTCAGAGGCATATTTCTTCTGGCTGTGTAGATGGAATATGGCCATCATGACTAGTAGCCATTGGTAGCCTTTGGGCAAATCTCCTGACGTTTTGGGCATGTCTAGGGTGATGGCCTATTGCACAAAAACGGTGCTTCAGGTTCTTAGAAGTCGCAGTCAACTATTTCTGCTAGCAACGAACTAACAAGCCACTTCTTTCTTTCACTCTTATGTCAGTCTGATGTAAGGGCACAAACCACAGAGTGAGCAAGTAAGACTGAGGGATGGGTAATCCCATCTATGCAAAAATTCGAAGTCACAGGATAAAAGGCTGTAGTCAGGTTTGCCGGTTTCAGTTCATGCTCATTCATGTGTGAAGCTATGAATGGGTAGGAGTAAGCCGCAGACTTAGTGAATGGAACTTGATTGCTTTGAATGAGGATTGCTGCCTTTTTAAATGACTCTGCTCCCGTGCCTTGAACAGCGGCTTGCCATGCAGAAATAGTGTAGGTGGAGATTTCTGTGGCATGTAACAAACGACGGGGAAAGCCTCACCACCCTGGGCCCCCTCTAGATGTCCTTTTTATTGTGCATCCATAAGGGTATCAGGGCTGTTATATGTGATCCTGCTTTTAAGACTTCGTTTCCAATCAGTGCTGAAATCCTATAACTTTTCAAACCACATATGTTCCAGGGCTGTTGGGGGGTTTTCTCTCTCCTATTTGTTGTGTGCTACAACGCAGGTGTGCCCTTCTAGGTGGCAATAATGCAATAGCGTTGGGGAGGCATTGCAGAACAACTCATAAGGCAAAATAATTGTGTGGGCATCCCAGTATAAATCTACCACTAATGCACTATTATTGAGTCAATAACGTGTTGCAGAATATGCCTGTGAAAAAAACACCCGTCTGGAGGGACCCTTAATTCCTGCATGTCAGGCCGCTGTCAAAGAACAGGAACAGAGCAAGTAAAAACAGTTAGTAGGTGCTTCTGGTGGTAGCAGAGGTCATTGCTGCTGTCCGGGGCACAGATAACGAGTTGTTTGCTGGTAAGAGCAAAGAGAATATACAAATGCTGCCAACTATGTCACATAACAAATGTGTGGATGATCCAAATATTTTAGTTCTGAATTGTTATCCACAGGTCGTTCTGAATGTCAACAAGAACTCCCAATAAGAACCTGAAATATTAGCTTGTATTATTTTCCATCCATAGCAATCGTTTTCCTAAAGCAATCTGATCATCCCTGCAGCAGTTTGGTTGGTTCAGTAATTGCTTTCTTCCACTTTGCTCCTGGAGAACCATTGCAGAAGGAAGAACTGAATCACCAGACAGGGTAAGGAATGCATCTGTTAACAGAATCTCTGCATCCTCTCCGAAGCCCAAAGAGGAAGACACACTTCCTCTTGCAACTTATAGGGGTTTTTATTCACCAAATACATTCTACTAAATCCCTCAGAGAGGGGAATCCTGCCAGACCACTGGTATCAGCATAAGGGATAGAAAGCAAAAGTCTGGCTGGAAAAAATCAGTGCTTTAATTAGCTAGCGTGCAGTTTAGAAGCTGAGGGCATACACAGATGTTAACAAAAAAGAATAAATGCTTTTCTAAATAGTTTCAGCCCTCTGTGCCAACTGGGGATAATTCTAGATGATTTTAAGAAGTTGGAAAACAGCCTGAAGCTATGCACACAACTGTGTACACACCTTAACATTTAATGCACGCACAAACAAACAAACAAACATACTGAAGAATCTTGGGGACTGTAGTTTGTTAAGGGTGCTGGGAAGTGTAGCTCTGTGGGGGGTAAGCTACAGTTCCCAGATCCTATCAGAGGAAGGATATGCTTTAAATATGCTTTAAATGTACAGAGTGTACGCAGATACCTGAAGTGAGTCATGCCGTGATCGGTGGGGCTTACTCACAAGCAGAAGTGCACAAGTTTGCAGCCACCGTGTGACAAGCCATGGCAAGCTAATCATTAAACTGGCTGGGTGTGGGAGGGGGCTCCCAAGAGGGTTGGGTGTTATCTGAGGATCAACTTAGTGGTAGACACAGCTGGGACAAATTTTATCTTGCATCCTCAGATTTTAACCGCACAAGCTCTAGCTTTCTATGGAAACAACAGTAAAAAAAGAAAATCTCCTCCAAAGTGGTGCCAAGCATGAGAACTAAGGGTAGGTTCTTAGCACATGTCCCAGCACAACTTCAAACAAAGCTGTTCCCACAGTGGCTTCTGATGCCATGAGAGGTCAAGAAGACGACACTGGCTAAGATTTGTTCTGGTGAGGCATGCAAGTTTTTCTGTTCTTAGTCTCCCTGAAAGGTAAGCTCCATATGACACTTAGGGTGGCCAAATGCAAAAGAGGGAGGTGTGCTCATGCACTTTAGTTGTTGTGCAGTAGAGGGAATTTCATCAGGCTGCAACATGCCACGTAAGGTGTGCCTGCGGAAATGCTCCTCTTCTACACAACTCATAAAGGTGTAGGTGCCCCTCTCCTCTTTTGCATCTGGCCAAGTTTCCCAATAACTACTCCCTCTATCTGTGCCTTTTGAGAGCAGCAGGATTCATAGACATTAGCAGGCATAAGGTGCACCATCATGCTGTGTAAAGCTTCTGTAGAGCAAGCTACCCTGGTAAATTATCAGCCAATCTCCCCCTGGAAACTTTATTATGGGGTACTATTGGGTAGATCCCAGGAAAAAGCTGTTCTTGTTATTAATACAAAATACGGCATCGGGTTTTTAATAGGAGAAATAGCAAGTTCCCAGAAACCCAAAGCTAGCTGATTTGCAAATATGCTGGAAAAAAGGTTTCAACTTATTTTAAAGACTGTGAAGACAAGTTGCATTCAAAACGGCTAGAATGCTACAGGAGCAGCTACATGTCATTAAATACATACAGGCCATTCTGCAAATAGTAGTAGTGGTAGTTCAGCCTGGACACTGAGGTACACTGAAATCCAAGGGCCTTCTGAGTGTTTCCTCACTGCGAGAAGGGAAGTTACTGCAAACCAGGCAGAGGGACTTCTTGGCAGTGGCACCCTCCCTGTCAGATGTCCCATCAGATGTCAAGGAGATAAAGAACTACACAGCTTTTAGAAGACTTCTGAAGGCAGCCCTGTGTTGGGAAGTTTTTAATGTTTGACATTTTATTATGTTCCTATATGTGCTGGAATCTGTCCAGAGTGGCTGGAGAAGCCCAGCCAGATGGGTGAGGAATAATAATAATAATACTACCCACCTTGTTGGCTTAGGTGACTAGTGTACATTAGAGTATGGTTACAAGATGTCCCTGTTTCCTGGGGACAGTCCCTGGATTTACAAATCTGTAATTTTTTATTATTCTGCAATTTATTTATAATTGCTTAATCATATGGGACTAAATTGCATTATGTTGTAAGGACCTTTTATTAAATCTTAGACCTGTAAAGTTGGAAAGGACCCAAGGGTCATCTAGTGCAACCCACTGCAATGCCTGGAACCTGTCATTGGGCTGCAAGAATGTACTGTAAACTATCACATTTTCAAAATGTCTGATAGCCACGTTCCACTACTTTTCACAGGCTGGGAGTAGTGGCTCCCTCATATTGGTACATTATGGGTACATTATGGAATTAAGACTTGAAAAGAAAGTTCTAGCACAGTTTGTGTTGTGAATATGCTACTTCCATAGTTTACTTGACGTGGTTCAGACTGACCAATGCATTGTTTTCAGGGACAGTGCGTGACAGCTGAAGCTGTGAAATGTGCTAGAGGCAAGCATTTTTGTTGTTGTGAATTCCACTGATGTTAACCTTACCTGACCAATAGTATGCAAAATCTCTTAACTGGTATTTGAAGCATACAGTATGTGTTAATTTTTTGAGAGCTGGCTTGATGTAGTGGATTTCAAATTTTAATTATTTTAAAATACGTTTGCACGTTGTTTTAAGATCTCCCTTATTAAAGCAAAGGATTAAGGTGTTAGGAGAACCTTAGAATTTGAGGAAAAACTATGCCATACAATGTACTGTATCAAACTATTTTACATGAATAACGCAGCTACTGTATTCTGAATTTAAAAAGAAATCAACATTGTTAAAAACAAGGTGTTACATAATAAGACAATTTGTCTTAAATCTGGCAAAATCAATGTGGTGGTGTAATATATATAAGTGCATTGTTAATAAACAAGCAACTAAAAAAGTTTGTTTGTTTCCTGTTTTTTCCCCCCCAGGCAGAGATTATGTGTAAGCGTGGTGTCAGCTCCCTAAAAAAAGGTGGACAACTCTGGGAAAGGGGGTGCCGGAGGGATCTTTGCTCCACGGCGCCGGATATGCTTAAGACGGCCCTGACCAGCATGCAGCGGCACAGGTCGTTGGCAAAGTCTTCTTGCGCAGTGAGGTGGCTGCTTGCCAGCAGAAGTGAAATCATTCCAGCCCTGCTCTGAGGGCGCATTTGTGGTCCTCCTGTACAGCAGCTAGACTCTCTCCTTCCAAAAAAAGAACCTCTGTGCTTTCTAATGGGCAACCAGCAGGCAAGCCACGTGGCCCGCCAAGGAGCTCCTCGGAAATGAAACTTACGTTTTCGTTGATATCATGTGATTTACAGGGACGGAAACCGCCGTATATGGTCAGGGGAGACGAGAAAGACCGGTTTCGTAATAGAGAGCGGTGTAATGCGCTCCGGAGAGGATTTTGTTTGGGAGGAAAGAAAACACTCCGTGGGGCGGGGCGCGTCCGTTCGCCCGTTCGAAAGGCGGCTGCCTCTGATTGGCCGACGCTGACGGCCTCGGAGCCATTCCGAGCCAATGAAATGCGTCCCGGCTTCTCTTATAAGCCGTCGCCGGAGGGGGCGTGGGCGTATTGATGTCGCCAGAATTCCACTACCTGCCGCGCAATAGAAAACACCTGGTAGCAGTACAGGTAACGCACCTTTATATTGGGCGTCTGGAACCGGGGGTGAGGGTCGCTGAGGTAGAGCAGCTTCAGTGCAGAACGAGAGAGGAATGACTTGCATCATTTTCTGTCTTCCTCGTTTTAATCATAACATGCACACTTACCTGAGAGTAAGTCCCGGTGAGGTCAGTGGGATTTGCTGCTGAGTGTAGGATTGGAGCAGCGAACCTGTCGAAGGGCAGCTCATAGTTTTGCGCAGGCTTTCTAGTGTTGCTCGCGCGAGCACTGCCTCGCTCTTGAGAACCATTTTTAAGGCTGTTTGGTAAACCGTATTATTTACCCCGTGGAAGCCCCCGTAGTTGAGTTTTATGCTGACATTATCTGTTGTTTGCGCGCCTGACCCGAGGAGCAGCTCCCTGCGTGCCTGCGTTGGTCGAACATATTCAAAGTTAGCGTGCTCGTGCAATCCCCACCTGCCCGATGTGCACACTGTCAAATGGCTTGTAAGGACTTTATGTCTGGAGGCTACACGTGTAGGCAACTTTGGGGCAGCACGTGTTGGTCAGAGGAGCACACAGTGGACAGCAGTTGCCGCTGCGATCGCTGTCTTCCCCCCATCCCCAGGGGGGTAAGAAAACTTACATCTGCACAGACATAGATGTACAGGAGTGGTAAAATAGCTCCTGGGGGTGTAGGGAAAGACATACCTTCTATAGAGGAAATTCACTAAGGGTAGCCAATGCTACCCTTGGGATGTTGTTGTTGAGCTACACTACAGCTACCAGTGCCAGCCAGCATGGCCAGTGATTAGGGATAAGAGTTGTCCTGCAGCAGCAGCTGGAGGGTAATGCCCTGGCTAGGCCAGAGATAATCCATGCCTCGTCCCTGGTACAGAACAGGTTGTAGGAATGAGAATCCCTGGCACAAATTAAGCCTTGCATCATGTGTACCAGCACTGATGCAGTAGTTCCCTGGTCAGCCTTAGGTTGCCTTTTAAAATGCCTAGCAGTATAGGTTGCTTCTGTATTTTTGCAAGAGGGATGATAATTCCTCAGAAGAGAACATTGACACAGAACTGCTGTGTCAATAGGAAGAAAATATTGCAACAGAAGTCAACCAGGACAGTGGCATTTTTAAGGGAAGTCTCGCCTTTGGCTTCTCAGAGAAGCAGTTCTTCCCTGGTGATTTTTCAGTAGCACATGTCAGAAGACAGAATACTAGGCAGGTCCTATTCAAAGTTTTGTCAAAGGGCAATTATTGACAGTGCACAAATGGTCCTTTGTCAGCACTACCCAAATATTCAGTAACTTGAAGCCAATGCTTGATTACTCTAAATTGGTGTGGTTCTGAAATTACATTTGTTTTCTAACCTCCCTCATAAGTTCATAAATTCACCCTGGCTGAACAGAACATGCCACTGAAAGGGATAGGGTCGCCAAGGAAGCTCCCTCAACCCTAATTAGTTGCCCCCTGCTGCACTTCAGACAGCAGAGGTACCTAAAGAAGCATCTTCAGTTATGATGGCATTGGTGTACAGTTGGCCTGGAGTTTTACTGATGAGGATGTAACAGAGGTTCAGCTAATGGGAAGTTAACTGCAGCAAGATATCTTCATCCTAAACAGCTGAAAATGTTGTTAGGAGGTGCACTTTTGTGCAATAAGTGAGGCTGAAATGTGTGGCTGTGGCTGTTCGGAAAATTACTATAAATTTTAGGGTTGGGAGTAGTTTAGATTTTTGCAGTTCTCAAGCAGGCTGAATTAGACAGCACATTAGTAAATGAAATGATTGCAAAGACACTGACTGTCTAGACATAATAATAGACTACTGTATGCCGTAATGTTTTTAAGCAGATGTGAACCTTGGGGTGCATCTGTGGTGGGGGATTTTTTATTTTATTTTTTGCCTCAAGTGGCAAATATCCCCAGCTTGCCCTGACAGGACTCCTTTTTTGCTCTTGGACCACATGGCAGCTTTTGTTGCCATTATATGCTTCTGCATCTAGTATGTGGGTGGGGACTTATGGAAGCACTTTTGTAGTGGTTCTGCTCTTATATTGCCAGATTAGTTCCATAGAAATTCGCTCTAAGTCCCACAGGGATCTTATTTTCTCTCTCACACATGCTTCTTCACAGCTGCAGGGAATTAGGTCATCATTGGAATATGAAGGACAGTTAATTTTATTTCTCCTTTCCATCTGAAGCAGCTGTGGTGGCTTTTCTGCCCTGGAAAGTGGCTGGGTGAGGTCAAATAAGTTGAAACTCATCGCAGACAAGAAAACAGCTGATGGTTTGATAAAAGAGAAGTAGTGCAAGTCATTATTCTGGGTGGTGTTGGCACACTTCCTGAAGTGCAGCGCTCCTATTTTTCTCCTGAATTCTCAAGTAGATGCTGTTCGCGGGTGTGTTTATCAGCCCTGATTAATATGCCAGTTGCACCTTGTATTGTAGAAGAGCAACTTTATTGTGGGAGGGGGGGTGGAAGTTCTGGTAATATTTCTGAGAGATTGTGATAGTTGCTGGTGGTTCATGTTGCTGCTGTTATGGTATTTAGCCTCATAGAGGACCCTCAGATTTTGCACAACCTAATGCAGAGCTTTCCAGACTTTTCATGTTGGTGACAGACTTTTAAGACATGCATCATTTCACGACACAGTAATTCAGTTTTACTAGCAAACCAGAGGTTAAACTAACCCCTTTCCAGCCCTGGGAGGAGTGTGGGGAGCGTTTGCACAACATACCTACACACTGCAGCTGGCACAGTGATGTGTCGTGACACACAGTTTGGAAAGCTCTGACCTAATGAATACATCTTGTGCTCACTTAGTAGCAACTCAGCCATACAGTAACTCTGTTTTCTAACATGTAATAAAACCTATCAAAACGACCAAGTCTGCTGACATGGCTTCCACCTTTTTATTTTCTCTGGTCTGTACAGATTCTGCCTCATGATCTTCCATTAGTCCACAAGACATTAAGCAGTACAAGATTCAGTGTGTGTAGCTGTCATATTTCAACTTGCCACGAGGCATATTTTAAGACTTATTTGACTCCAGAATGGCTGCACCAGCAAATGAGAGGTGAGTCTTCTTGTGGCAATCAGAGGCATGCAGGCATGGGCGGGGAGGGAGAACTGGATGCCTGCAAACACACACACACACACACACACACACACACACAAACTCCTGAAGCTGTGTTGGTTGAGTTTGTCAGCCAAAACTGACAATTCTGTCCTACACGTTTACTTGGAAGTAAGCCAATGTGTTCAGTAGGGCTTACTAGTAGTAATTGAGTTTTGGGAATGCAGACCTTACTGCATGAGATGCCAATGGCCAAACAGTAGCGCCATTGAGGGTACCTAAAATTGAGGTAAAACTTAATATAATAATAGGTCCAGTGTTTGTTCTGCTACACTTTTTTCGAGGTTGCTCCTTTGGTTTCTTGCTCCAGTTAGTTTTAGTTCCTCTTGAGTGTCAAAATCCACTTTATGGTGAGCCTGCGATTTGGAGTTTGGGCTTAGCCAACTACAGCCCTCGCCTGTGGTGAGTAGATATGTACAAGTTTCATGATTACTGCGCAAGTGCACCTTATTTACCCCAGCCTTGTGACAATAATAATTAATCCAAGCAGTTTTCTCATCAAGGTTCAAATGGTAGACAAGCTCAGGTTCAGACTGAAGTCCACATCCAACTCAACTGTTGCCCTCCAGCTGCTGATTTGTTGACCCTCTTCACTCTCACGTCTCTTAATGAATTATATTGCTGGGCTGTCCTGTCCTGGGGGTATCCAGGAAGCTGCTGCTTTAAAAGTATTTTTGACATTTGTATGAGGAAAAGTGTTGACTTCCAAGACCAGAGCAACCTGTTGTTTATTAAGAAGTTGCTATGGTAATCAGCATCTGTTTTTGTGTAGGATCCATGTCTTTTCTTTTTCCTAGAGGTCTGACACGAGTGATTTCTGGGGCCATTGTGCCACCTGTGCATCCATCGTAATTGACGCTGCTGCTGCATGTTGTGGTGATATCTAGGCTACATTCCTCCAGTATTTTTGAACCTCCAGTTCAGTATTTCTCTTTGCTGTTTCAGGGGCCGTCAAAAGGTCCGTTTCTTTGACTGGTTGATCAATGAGATCAACAGTGGAAGATATAAAGAAAGCGTGGCCTGGACTGATGACACCCACACAACCTTTCGTATCCTTTGGAAGCACAATTCAAGGAAGAACCTTGTGGCAAGTGATTACAAGATTTTCCAGGTAATACTCTCGTTCTACTAAGGCTGACTTCTTGCATGTATTTGCCATGGCCAGATTCAGCTAATGGGTTGTGCCGTTTAAGAACTTTGGTAGTACAATTGGAAAGTCCCCTCTCTCTTGCACCCCCACCAAATTGGCTCTGAGGGGGTTCAGGAGACACCAACCCCAGAACAGCACCAGGAGTGGGGAAGGAGAAGAGAGATCATTCCATCAGGCAAGCAGAATGATCTCTTTAATGCTACGTTGACTTCCTCCAACTCTCTAGTATAAAAGCCATTTCTGGCACCTTAAAAAGACTAACAAATGTATTGTGGCATAAGCTTTCACAGACTGGAGTCCAATTTACCAGAGGCTGTAGCTGAATAATAAAGCAGATTCTCTGGTAGGCATGCAGGGTGCCCATTTCTGCAAACATGCAATGTACCCTGCCTCTGAAGGCACCCTGCAGCTGCTATAATTTCCATAGTGGTTTCACAGTCAATCCCTCTTCCTAGGGAACTTGGAATTGTAGCTCTGGCAGGGTCACCTAACAACTCTCAGTACTCTTAACAAACTACAGCTCCCAGAATTCTTTGGGGGAAGCCATGACTGTTTAAAGAGGTATCATAGTGCTTTTAAAACGTGGTGCGAATGTGGTCTTCATCAGAATAGTTCTTTCACACTTTTCCATCTCTTCTTCTCCCATGTTTCTGTGTGGAAAGGCGTGGGCTATGGTCAGCGGAAAGTACAATGAAGGTGAACCAAACCCAGCCAAATGGAAAACCAACTTCCGCTGTGCCTTAAACAGTACAAAAAGATTTGAAGAAGTTGAATCGGAATACCCTGACTACCACGTGTACCGAATCATCCCCCGCAGCCGCAACTCTACATCGCCTGTTAATCCTCCTGCCGACACAAGTAAAGACAGAAAAGGGATGCAGGGTTAGGGCTGCAAAACTTTCTTTAACATAAAGTGCTTGATAAATGGCAGGAAGTGTGGGCATCCACCACAGGCTTTCTTTGTTCATGCTTCAAGGGAATTCCAGTGTCTGAAAAAATTGTAATCTCTTTTAAAAGGGATCAATTGTTAAATCACTCCAGGAATTGTAGGGCTGAGAGGGGAATAAGGGTCTCCTAACAACTCTTAGCACCCTTAACAAAAGTTTCCAGGCTTCTCTGGGGAAAGCCATGGCTGCTCAAAGTGGTATGATACTGCTTTAAATATATAGTGCAGATGGGGCCATAGTTCTCTGCAACCAGGTCATGAAATTACCGTATTTTTCGCTCTATAGGGTGCACCGGATTATAGGGCACACCTAGTTTTTAGGGGGGGAATAAAGGGGGGGAATTATTTCCCCCCCCCAGCCCCAAAGAGCAAAGAAGCCAAGACAGTGAGTGGGATCCATCCCGCTGGCTGTCTTGGCTTCCTCTTTAGCCATGTGCAACCTCTCCAGCTGGAGAGGTTGCGAGCGGCTTTGTTTTTAGCCGCGGGGCTGGGGCGGGGGAAGCCCGAGCTTCCCCCAACCCCAGCCCCCAGAACAGGTCCAGGAGAGGCAGCGAGATTGCGCGCAACCTCGCCGCCGCTCCCGGAGCTTGCGGGGCTGGGGACGGGGGCTTCCCCCGACCCCAGCCCCCAGAACAGGCTATCCGCAAGCCTTCGAAGCATGGCGGGAACTCCCGCCATGCTCAGAAGGCTTGCGGAGAACAGGCTGCGTTCCACAAGCTTTTCGAGCATGGCGGGAACTCCCACCATGCTCAGAAGGCTTGCGGATAGCTGCCTAAAGCCCGGGGAGCACAGCGGCAGTTGGCGCTGTGCTCCCCGGGTTTCAGGCTACAGACTGCCATCCGCAAGCCTTCTGAGCCCGGTGTGATAGCCTGCATTCGCCCCATAGGACGCACACAAATTTCCCCTTCATTTTTGGAGGGGATAAAGTGTGTCCTATAGAGCGAAAAATACGGTATGTATCTTCTCGTATTTGCATTTCATCCTGGAACTGTTGTTCATTGTGTCTTTTTTCCTATGTGTCTCCTCCTCTCCAAGTCAATGGAAGTAACCATGAAGTTGATCAGTTGCATATGAGCCCCTGCAGTGAGGGATCCCCAGCTCTACACCAGTCTACACCCCAGGTACAATACAGTTGGGCACAATAGGTTTGAGAGGGCTGTGGAACAATTTGAATGCTATTCAGTTTAGAGATGGTCAACGCATTGGTGTAGGACTCTAGACCAGGGACTTGTTTCTAATGAATAAACATCCAATAAGTAAGTCAACGTGAATGCAAAAATTATTGGTGGGTGAGGTGTATTCCTGTTCATGTTTAAACAACTCCTTGAGCAAGGGACAACATTGCTGAAGAACTAATGGAAGGACAGGCATCTCAAGTGGTGGCAGACACATGAAGAATCCCTGCCTGTAGGGATTCAGTCTGCTAGAGGCAGCTTCTCAGTCAACTTAAAGGTTTTTAAATTGATTAATTCGGAAGCAGATCAGTGTGTTTGTTTCTTAATTTTTTCCAAATTTTACGTATATAAAAATAACAAAGATTATCCAGCAGCTTCAAGATATGAACACATGTTCATGATGTTTTCATGGGAAGTTGGGAAGTGTATTGCAGCAAAACAGTTTATGGAGCTGCTGGTGATGTCATTTCCATGTAGCAGGAAAGAAGGAGATGTGCCTGTCTTTGTGCTCCGGTGCACTAGCAAATAGTATTTGTGCAAAGAGTATTGGTCCCGTTGCTGGCCAGCTTTGTGCAGCTGATTACAGGAGTAAATCCAACAAACTTTCCAGACTTAATACATACTGGACATTTTCACAGGGGATGGTTATGTTGCAATTAAGCACAAACCACTTTAGCAGTGCATTCCTATGTAGGCTGACTCCGTAATAGACAAGCTTAGGATTGAATCCCAAATTTTGTATTTGAAAACGTACATTACTTTAAATATGTGTGAGAGACTCAAAATGATTGAAACCTCGCATATGAGAAATGCTCTTGAGATTGTAGCTCTGAGGGAAGCTTCCCTCAGTTCTAGGCATGCACAGCTGGTGTGAGGGAGCCTTTGCCCCCAGATGTTGCTGAACCACAACATCTGGCTGAACCACTGGCCATGCTGATGGGAGTTGTAGTTCAGCAACATCTGGAGGGCCAAAATGCTTCCCAATCCTGAATGTAAGACATTTTGGAAGGTTCAGACTAGTTCTTGTCTTTGTTTGGCTTAACTTCAATTTTTGCAAATTAAAAGGCAAGGCTGTTTCTCTGAATCACAAGAGTTGAAAGACAGTTGATTACTAAAAATGTTGAAAGTTCCTGGGATAAGCTGCAATAGTATCATTTCAAGATGCTGAAAACAGCATCTTTTGTATGTATGGTCATCTTGGAGAAAACTTTATTTTTCTGGTTTACAGCAGGAGATCGATGATGTTTTTAAATCCCTGTCACTGGAAAATACATGCCAAGGTAAGCTGTCAAAACCTGAATGCTCTTTTTCTGGTTTACGAGCATAAATTTGGGGTAGATGCTTAGAACATATTTTAGCTATATTTATTCATTTATCACATTTGCATTCCAACTTTCCTCCAGGGATCTCAAGAGAACATACATGGTTCTCTTCCTCCCCATTTTGTCCCCACAACAACCTTGTGAGGTAGCTTAGGTTGAGAGTGTGACTGGCGCAAAGTCACCCAGTGAGTTTCATAGCTGAGCAAGACTTTGAACTGTGTTCTCCCAGTCATAGTTCAGTACTCTAACCACTATACCACATTGGAATGAAACGTGCCTGACAGAACTACCATTGGGAAGCCTGCCTATTCCTGCAGGATCACAACACACCCAGCACAGCAATTGAAAAATATCAGTTGATAGTGGAAGATCCACTGGAAGTTCTAAAAAAATGAAAAGCCGCACAGGAATCCCTCATCCAACCATTTGGAATTAGGGGCTGCTCATTGCAAATTTCCAAGCCTGGCATATGGTTTGCATCAAGCCATTTTGCCCACCTCATTAAAAGAAATAATGACCAGAGAAACTAGAGAGAAAGAAGCTTCACAAATGAGTGATTACTTTTGGAACTGTTTCAATAAAAGAATTTTGAATGTGTATACACTTTAAGCTTTAACATGGAAACGAAAACAAAAAACAGCATCACCACTGTGCAGTTTTCTGCTGGGCACTGGCCTTTAGATATCATTTTTTTAAAAGCTTTGGCAGATGCACAGACAGTTCCCTAGCCCCTGTGGCAACTGAAAAAATCAAGGCATCCCCTTGTTCATCTGACAAATGGGAAACCACTACCCTGTCTTGTCCAGAGAGGCACTTTCCAGGGGCATTTTGCTGGCAGTTGTTGGAGGTGGTGCTGAACTAGGTGTGCCTCTGATTGGATTCAGAACGGTGCTGTTTTGGTTGCTTGCTGAAAACACATGGAAGTCGTTCATGCCTTGATAATCTTGCAGCTTGATTCCTGTAACGTGCTCTGTGTGGGGCTGCCTTGGGTTCAGTTCAGAAGCTGCACCTGGTCCAGAATTAGTTACTAAGCTGCTAATGGAACTTAATCGTCTGCAGTACATAGCTCTTGTTTTTGAGGATTGTGCACTATTATGCTACTAGTCCAGGTTTAAGTATTGGTCTATAAAACCTTGCCCCCTATATACAGGTATGGTCGGGGCGGAGTGTATGCCCACACTGCCCAGGGCGGGCACGAAGACTGCACCCCCAAGGGGGGGAGGGGCATGGAGGGCACCCTTCCGTGCGCCACAGTTCAGGGTTGGAGAGGGGTGGGGAAGCTGCTGCCCACTCTCCTCCTGCTCTCTGCCGCCAGGTCAGGCCTTGCAGCCAAGGAGGGTGGGCATTGACGCCGACTCTCCTGCTATCTGCTGCCAGGTCAGATCTGACCCAGCCACAGAGCCACTACAGCTGGGTGACCAAGGAGGGCTGCTCTCTGCCGCCGGGTCAGAAGAGCTGCCTCCGCCAGGTTTGAGCTGTGCCACGGCCGAGGAGGGGTGGGCGGCAGCGCTGCCATCCACTCGCCTGCTCTCCTCCCCCGGATCAGGCCCAGGGAGCTGAGCTGCGCCAGGCACAGGAGACGCAGTCAAGGCGCAGCTCCTCTAGTGCGGATTTGATAGTTGGTTTGATTTTTATGAGCTCATATTCTGGAGGGCAAGGGACACACGCTGAACCTGGGGGTGGGCATGAGAGATCACTTTCTGATACAAAAGGATGGGGGGTTATTTATCACGTACTTGGCACTGGCTTCCGTTTTGTGGGCTCTGTCTGCATATCCTCCTCCTCCAAACTTGCATGAGAAGAAGAGAGAATTTCAAAGGCATTAAACGCTTTAAAATTAGGACTGGTGCAGCATCCACATCAACATCGTTCTGAACCAGTATAGACTTCATCTGCCCAAATGCATCACTGCTCATGCCTGTTTTGCCATCTAGATGTGCTCCAGTGGGTTTTGCAGCAAGCTGGCATGGATGAAGTTTCACAAGTCTCCTGGGCCCCTGTTCCAGAACATCCTCTAGGTAGGTCTGGCTGTGGGCTTGGCAAAATCTCTTCCTCAGCCTCTGAGTTCTAAGGCTGGCTACACATTTCTGTTTCTGGCTGCTGCTCAGATACTTTTAATAACAAATGTGATCTCATGCTCAGGGGCTTTAATGTACAATATTTCGTGTGTGTATGTGATGGGGAGTGAGCCGGTGCAGATAGAACCTATATATCCCTACATCTTTCAAAATTTGTTCAAGAGGCATGGCATACAAATTTCACATTGTCTTGTGCTTAATTTGTTATAAAGGCTAGTGTGTTCTCTTGAGTTGCATTATTATTATTACTACTACTACTACTATTTTATTTATACCCCATCCATCTGGCTAGTTACTCTGGGCAGCTTCCATCATCTCCCTTCCATTGATTTGTTTCTTTTCTACCCCCAATACAGCAGGGGAAGTTGCACATACAATCCCTTGTATCGACCAAAACAGCTGCTTGCCTCTGGTGCCTGGAGTAGTGAGTGAACCACTGGCAAATAACTGTTGTAAAGTAGCAGACGGCTGGCTGGCTGCACATCCACCAAATGTGAATTCCCAGCCAATTGCCGTTCATCCACTGCAGCATCCTCAACAAAATAGACCTCCTGGGATAAATCAAGCTAACCATGTGGGTGAGTAGAGTTACTCTGCAGTCTGCATGTTTGAAATTGTTCCAAAATGAATAATTGTGCTAAAAAGAAATTTTACTGAGCTGCGCAGTGGTTTTTGGAGCACTGGAGAGATTGATTCATTGGATCGCCATTTGATTCCTAGAACTTGCATGTGATAAACTATTCTAAGATTTTCAGCCTGCTTGAATTAGTATCAGATGTCCAAAGCAAATATGGTAGTTCCTAATGAACAAAAAATCCAGAATGGACAAGGTGTAGCAAAGCTCCTGATTTGCTTTAGCAACAAGCAGAAGACTGTGCTTACCTCCAGACTGCCAGTAGTTTGCCCCAGGGATTCAATTGCATACCAGAAATTTAAGTTTGTGCCATTAAAGTGAATTAAAGCACTCTAGTGCAAATAATAATAATAATAATAGTAATAATAATAATAATAATCCACTTTAAAAAGAAACCTTGACTTTTTGCAAGTAGGAAACTGAGGGGGAAATCCACTAAAAGTGTTGGGCTAAGAGGGCACCAGGTCAGCAAAGGCTGAGCTAGGGCATGCATAACATTTGTTAGAATTCCCAAGGTGTTCCTCTTCTGTGCTAGGAGAAGCCCTGTATAATAACAACTTCATTGAACACGTTTTCCTGAATGAAGAACCTCAGGGAAATGGAGTGATGAACAACCTGTCGAGAAATGACTGCCATCTGTTTCCAAACCAGCAAGCCATGGTGGAACAGAACACATTTGCACCTCCAATTGCCCCCTCTCCACTAGAGCAACCCCCCCTTCATGCTGCTCCACTGCAGAACAATGCAGGTTAGTGAATGCATCCTATTTTTGAGCAAGTCCAAAACAAATGTGGAATCATGAGGGGAGCGGGTGTAGGTCTCTGGGCAGCAAGGTCTTAAAGAAGAGGGCCAAACCTCTACAGCACTGTAGGGAATATATGCTGTTTGCTTAGCTATAGCTTATGTGCAGCAGAGCTGTACTGCTAACTGCCTTAATTTAGCCACACGGATGATAATATAGCTTCCTCTCAGTTGGATATGATGGTTCTATCAATGTACCTGCCGCTACCACCAAATAGCATTTTTCCTCTGTCGGTGTAAGCGTTGTGCTGCGCTGCAGATGGCTTGTCAGCCTGCACCCCTTAGCAGGCATGGAGCTAGTAAGCTTCCCCCACTGGATTCAGCATGGTCTTGTCTCTTTCAGGATGTGCCCCTCTCAATCTGGATGTCTCTATCTACTACCGCGGGAAGCTGCTGCACGAAGCAGGAGTAGAATTTAATAGCTGTATGTTCACATACAACCCATACTATGAAATTGGAGGAAACCCGCAGATACAACATGTTCTATTTCCAAACCCAGAGATCCTTCCTGATCAAAAGCAAGTTAATCATACCTTAACACTACTGAAGAATGCGGGTCTGCTGCTGTACCAGAAGAACAATAAGATCTGTGCCTGGCGAATTGGCCGATGTAAGGTCTTCTGGGCTTTCTCCAAAGAGTTGGAGCACACAGCACCGCGTCCTCCACTCAGGCTGTTGGGACGGGAGGAAGAAACTGACATCTTCAACTATGAAAGATTCTGTCAAGGTGATTCTCTAGGAACATGGTATTTCCTCTGTGGGCACAAAATTAAACTGTGTGTTAATGCATGACTCATTTAAAAACAGGCACATGATGATACAGTTGTGAAACTGCTTTTGTTGAGTCATGGAGAAAACACCTGAGACAAGGGTCAGGCCCAAAGGCTTTGATTTGGAACCCTTATGTGCATTGAAACCTCCCCAATGTCCTAAAAGGCCTCCCTTAGGGGGCAGTAAGACTTTTTGCTTAGCTGTGATTTGGCCATAATACGGTATTTCAAAAGTGCTTTGTGCAATGAATGGTGTTGGGTGTTATCAGTAGCCTGTGACTTTCATCCTACCCAGGCCTTACCATTTCAGCTTTTATGGATATGAGTGAGATGAGGCTGTTATTGGGTGCAGAATGTATCATTCTCAGAATCTCTGCTCCCCACCCCCTTTTTTAAAGGAACGTTCTAGTCCACAAAGCTTCAGAACTTGGAGCAATAAGCAACAGGTATGGTGGGTTGAGGAGCATGTCTTGACACACAGTTTTGACTGCTTACTGCAGGGTACACATGGCACTAATTGTGGCCCATTTTCATTACGCCTGTCAAGCTTCTGGCAGTGCCGAAGTGAAGGAGAACAGTAATGCTGCTTAATATTTTTGGAGTGGTTTAGAGAATATGAGGCAGTTCACATACCCTATTTTAGTAATCCTTACAGTGATCCAATAAGGTAGGTCAGTGTTGTAGGGGCTAAGAACTGAGCATCTGACCTTAAGGTCAGGGGTGAAGAACCTCTTAGCCTGCCAGGAGGTCCACTTTCACCCACAAGACCTTACCCTAAGCTACACCTGCCCACCCATCAGCTGACACCACTTGCGACATCGTCTGATGGGTGCAAAGGCAGGGTTAAATCCTGCATTGACTACACATACCTGTTCACAGCAGAGAGCAACAGCACACAGCCAAATTGAAACCAATTCAGTGAGGGGTTTGAATCACAGTCCCCTGCTTAAAACAGAGATGGCTTCCCCTATTGTATTAGCAGAGGTTAGAAAGTTAACCTGCTAATCCCTCTGCTTGAGCAGGAGATCTCCACTGTTCAGTCTCCGCTGCTTTTGTTATTAAACTATGTTAACAGAACTCATCCACACTTCTGCTTGTCCCTTGCTAGGAAGCACGTGTCGGAGCAGTTTTCTGTTTGACCCATACTTTCTAGGCATGGATCAGAGCAGTTTTGCCTTTGCCCCACTCCTTTCCCAGGGAATTAGTGCTAAATCAGAGCAAATGTCAATCCAGAGAAAATCTGGATTGCCATCTGCTCCGACTGAGTGCTAAACAGTGGGTTTCCTGTGGAAAGAGGAAGTGTGGATAAACCCACAGTTCAGACTCAATTGTCACCTGTGTATAGAAGTCCATTCCTACACGTTAAATCTCTATATGCTGTTGCAGTTGCAAATTGGCACTTGCAAACTTGGGTGAAGAGCTTATTGATTAACTGAAAATCACTTCTGCCTATATCCTCCTGTTATTCCAAAGTTCTTTTCACATAGAAGGTTTATATTGATTTCTTCTTAAACTGGCCTATAATGCAATGCAAACATGTCTAAATCTATATTGCCTAGAGCAGGGATAGCTATATGATGCCCTCCAGATGTTACTGAACTACAGCTTCCTTCATCCCTGACCATTGGGCTGGGCTGATGAGATTTGGGAGTCCAGTATTATTCATTAACCTTCACACATGACACAAGTAGCTGTTTACCAAGACAAGTTAAAACACCTTTGGTTTTTTTATTGCCCTTTCTGTTCATGGATCCCCAAAGTGACTTAGAAGAGCCTTGGATCTTTTTCTTTTGTAACAGAACTGAGGGCTTTCCGCGATGGTCAGAGATGTTCCTCTCCTGACTACACCATCTACCTGTGCTTCGGCCAGTCCTTTGCATCTGACAAACCCAAGGAATCCAAGCTCATCTTGGTGAAGGTGAGCAGAAAGCAGTCCTCTGAAGTTAACAGTGCACAGTACTGCCTTTAGGAATAAAATGACTTTCTAGTCCACTTGTCCAGACAAAATCTGAAGGCCATTTCCACCACTGGTATGGTAGCAAAGCTGGCTTGCTTTCAGAAAAGGAACCACGGTTACTCTGGACTCCCTAGCAAGCATACCTGTGTGATGCATGTGTTCGCAAGGACCTTTGGAGGCAGTGCAAAGTAATGTATCCTCCAAGTAGATTAAGGTGCTGTGCATAATTGTTGCACCTCCCCATCCCCCCAAAAAGTATTTTATTCTTCTAACAACTGTGTGAAGTGGCTTAAGCAGAATGACAAGGTTGCCCAGTGGATTTTAAAATACCATATTCCAACATTTGCCAACTTGGTGCCCTCTAGATATTTTGGACTTCTACTCACTTCAGCTCCCAGCTAGAAAGCATGTGGCCAGCAGAAAACCCCTTGGACCTGTGCTTTCTTGCCATCGAACAAGTGGAAGTGTGAATGAGCACTCCATGTACTTCTAAAGAAGCAGTAGCTTGGGTTTGACCAGTCCCCTGTCTTTTAGTCCTATACCTGTTCCCCTCATGGCCCTTCATATTAGTGGCTTTTGACTTAATTCAAGCTCTGATGTATTCATTAACCTACATTTTTCCTGCAACAGGGCAGTGTTCAAAAGGGGTTGTTCGGTGTGCATGCACACACACTAACACACGCTTCTTACTACGTCTCACTGGCTTGTTGACGGCTGGCAGACATCTCTTGTTGCACTGTCTTGTCCCCCCTCCTGGAGGGAAACCAGCTCTATTTTTAGTACCTTGATATCTGTTGGAACATAATGCTGGATCCTTGGCTCACATTCTTGTTGCTGTTGTTTAGTCGTTTAGTCGTGTCTGACTCTTCATGACCCCATGGACCACAGCACGGCAGGCACTCCTGTGCCAGGCTCACATTCTTATAAGTACCTAAAACGTAAAGGTAAAGGGACCCCTGACCATTAGGTCCAGTCGCGAACGACTCTGGGGTTGCAGCGCTCATCTCGCTTTACTGGCCAAGGGAGCCGGTGTACAGCTTCCGGGTCATGTGGCCAGCATGACTAAGCTGCGTCTGGCGAATCAGAGCAGTGCACGGAAACGCCATTGACCTTCCCTCTGGAGCGGTACCTATTTATCTACTTGCACTTTGACGTGCTTTCAAACTGCTAGATTGGCAGGAGCAGGGACCGAGCAACAGGAGCTCACCCTGTCACGGGGATTCGAACCGCCGACCTTCTGATCCGCAAGCCCAAGAGGCTCAGTGGTTTAGACCACAGCGCCACCTGCGTCCTTGTTAGGTACTTATAAGTACCTAGTAGGTACCAAAGGCAGATTCTTATTGCTCTGCTATTTTTGGCTTACCTGGTGGTAGGATGGAGGCAGGTAGTGGTTTTTTAGAGGGTTGGAGATGGTCTGGGAGGGGCATCCTTCTTTTCAATCCTGCTATCTCCTTTGATCAAGCAGGTTTTGAAGGCCCCCAATCCTCTCTGCCAGAAGTGCCATTTGGAGAGGAGTGTAGACATTTGGCTCTTGAAAGAATTGCAGGCAGTCTGCCTTTTGTTTTGTTTGGTGTTGGGTGTGCATATATTTGGGGCGGTTTTGAGGACAGCTGCATAGCAAGAAGGTATCTTGGAGTAAGTAGGCAAGCCTTAACGGGCTTTTTTATGTCTTGCAGTTGGTGCCGATGGTTTGTAAGCAGTGGCATGAAGACCTGCAGAGGCAAGGCTACTCATCCTTGAACAGTGAAAACTTGAGCCTGCAACTCTCCAACAGCCTGTTTGAGATGATAGAGCAGCTAACTACCATGATGGAGATGGATTAGTTCATGTTTCTTGTCAAGATCTCAAATAGTAAGACTGGAGTGTGTGGGTTTGTATGTGTGTTCACATTCGCAAGGGGTCACTTCCACATTTGGCTTGCATGAGGAGCTACAGTAAAACCCACTTTTTTGGTCTCTGTATTCTGTCACCCTGCATAACTTCTGCTTTTTATCTGAGGCTGGAACTAACAGGTGCACATCACCATAGTGGTGCACTTCATAAAGCTTTTGGGAACAGGGTTACAATCAGGGTTGAATTTGCATTCTGCCCTTCAGCCCAAAAGATTCTAGGAAGGTATGTTGCAATTATAAAATAAAAATAAAAATAAACCAACAACATAAAAGTAAATATTGGGAAACAGATCATAAAAATAACAAAGCCAAAATGGCAATCTAGCAGCGTTCCAGTTCTCAGCCAGTTATATATACACCTGACAAAACAAATGCACTGTCTGTACACCATGCTAAAAACAGGGCTGTGTGTACTCCATGCTAAACAGGGGGGGAAATCTGCACCATGAGATGCAAATTCTGTGTCCTGTAGAAATTGTGCAGGTTAATCTGATTAGCACAACTTGTTCACATTTTGCATGTCTTCATGGGTAAAGCAAGATTGCTGAAGCCCTGCTTCAAACTGCTAAAAAACATTTACCCAGCCACGTCTCTGGCTTCTAAGGGTTCATCAGGCACACTTTAAATCATCTTCATGGGAAGAAATAGAAGGTGAAAGCTGATATTCTCAGGAAGTAGAGTTCTGAGCTCAAACCACAACCTGCAGATTTCCCCCTCTTGGATGCCTTCGACGTGCACACAGCCCTGTTTACCATGCATCTTCAAGTGAAGGAAGATGAGTTTCTCTTCCCCCGTCTCAAAGTTGTAGCTCAGTGGTAGAGCATCTGCTTTGCATGCAGAAGGTCCCAGGTTCGATCCCTGGCATCTCAAAGTAGGACTGGGAGAGAAGCATGCCTGGAACCCTGGAGAGCTGCTGCCAGTCAGGGTAGACAGTACTGAACTTGATATAGTGTCAGACCACTGGTCTAAGGCAGCTTCTTATGTTCCTATTGCCATTTTTTTTTTACCCTTAAAAAAAACAACCCAATTACTCCTTGCCCCTCCACCTAGCCCTATGGGTAATGTATTGGTAAATTGTCTGAAACCAGTATGGTGTTCAGATCATGATACCGGTTTCAGACATTTTTAGCTGGTAATCCATTGCACCAGCTGAAATTGCCTGCAGATGGCAAAGTCACAGGCAGACAGTGCCTGAGAAATGTCTGGGTGAGCACCTTCTCATGATCTACCTGCCTGCGCCTTTGAGGAAGTCCCCCACCCCTCCAGCTTGCATGAGCCAGACTGGTATGGGGGCTCACTCAGCTAGGAGGTGGGAGGCTTCCCATCCACCAAACTGAGCAGTTTAACGAAGCCCCAGTGCCCCTCCCGCTCGCCTGAGCGGTATGGGGGCTTCGGCTGGGCAATGTATCTCGGCTGCTTCGATACATTCCAGACACCATGATGGATCAGCATATTGTGGTATTTAGCTGCTGCTATATCTCAGGGACGCGGGTGGCGCTGTGGGTAAAACCTCAGCGCCTAGGACTTGCCGATCACATGGTCGGCGGTTCGAATCCCCGCGGCGGGGTGCGCTCCCGTCGTTCGGTCCCAGCGCCTGCCAACCTAGTAGTTCGAAAGCACCTCCGGGTGCAAGTAGATAAATAGGGACCACTTACCAGCGGGAAGGTAAACGGCGTTCTGTGTGCTGCTCTGGTGCCGGTTCGCCGGAGCAGCTTCGTCACACTGGCCACGTGACCCGGAAGTGTCTGCGGACAGCGCTGGCTCCCGGCCTCTAGAGTGAGATGAGCGCACAACCCTAGAGTCTGGCAAGACTGGCCCGTACGGGCAGGAGTACCTTTACCTTTACATCACAGTGTTGAAAACCAGGTGTTGCCCAGCCCTAGCCCTAAGGCACAGAGTGCAAAAAGAATTCCCAATAATGGTATAGTAGTTGGGGTGGGCTGTTCCCTTCATAAGTGAACTATTCCAGTCAGTTTGGCTTGCTGGGACTGAGAAGAGCTCACAATGTGCATTATATAAAGGGTCAACGGGGCTTTTTCTGAGTTTTTTTACTTTCCTTACCTACCCACCCACCCTCCTTACCCGGGGTGCTTCTGGGTTTGCTGCAAAAAAATAAATGCAGGCATCCAGGCACCCCACTCTTTCCCCAGAATGCTTTTCAGTGTGGTCAGAAGGTGGCAGACTGCCTGAAGGCCAAGCTTTGATTTTTAGCTTTACACTCCTCCTCTCCTCCCTGAGAGGTTTCAGATGGATACTTTAAGCTGCCTGGTAGTTTGAAGGAGGGGGAGCAAACCAGTCTTCCCAGCCCCCTTTTTTTAGGTGCAAGGAGAAGTGTTTTTAGGTATTTATGATGTATGTTTTGCCTGCTCTTGGTTTTAACTATTTGTTTAGGAGAAACTCTTTGGTGCTTTGCCTGTTTTTGAAGTGGGAAGAAGGTTCTGAGCATCTCCAATTTTCCTTTTGCAGTATAGAAATTTTGTGGTGCCCATGACAGGTTCTTAGCTTTCCATATGTGCCCCAGGGGCCCCAAAAGATATGGAACCCCTGGCTCTATGGGGTAGCAGTGTAATTTGAGAAGTGAATCTCCTGCAATCTTGGTGAGATATAGGCTCAGAGAGGGGCAGGCTCTGCCTCAGACTCAACTCTCAGGTCCCGGACTCTCGCCTTGGCACCCCTGAGAAACCCGGCACCTGGGCGCCCTGCCCCCTAGCGCCTCTGGGTAAGACGCCCCTGCACTTACAGAATCCATGTTGAACATTACCCACAACTAGTAAGCAGGATCCTATCACTGGCCACTTATGTGGACAAGTGAAATTAAAGGGACTGTAGAGGGCTCCTCAGTTTTGGAAGTGGGCTGCAGGCAGAAGTTGAATATGAAAACTCTATCCAAATCATAGCACAAAAAGTGCTCTCATAAAATTCACAGCCCTTGAAGTGACAAAACCAAGAGCGGAGCCAGCTATAAGCAGAGCACTTGGTTGCCTACAGTGAATGAAGGGAGGGAGGATACTAATAAGATCTGGAATGAAGCCTCTGCCACCTCCCAGTTATAACACTATTTTCTCTGTACAACAAAATTCCCCACAAAACAAAAATCTAAAAGCTTGAAAATTCAATATGTGTTTATGGTTGTTTTTTATAGGGGAGGTGTAGGAGAGTTTGTTTCTGGCCCTCTTTATATGACATTGTTATTTATTTATTATTTTTATTATTTATATACTGCCCTTTATCAAAAGATCCCAGGAAAGTGTACATCATTAAGAAGACATTTTGCAGGGCACAGTAAGAGACAGCATAATAAAGTAATCAGAATAACATTTCAAATGTACTGTACGCAGTGCTGAATCAGAGGACTTATTTCTTGAGCAAAGAGGCACCAGCATTACTCCATTAACTCTTGTGAAACTACACTTGTCATTGATGCAGGTATTGAATAGAGTGTACTTTTTGTCTTGCTACCTGTCCAGATCCCTTGAGAATGGGCAGCTCAAACACTCCAGCTAATGTGCTTCTGACACGCCTTAACTTTCCTGTTACAGTAATAGTGTATCTGAAAGTTCTATTGTTACTATAATTGCATTCCCTAGTGTTAACATATTTTTGTGGGGGGGGGGTCTCTGTGAGCACTTTGGGTTCTCCCTGCCTGTTGATACCAAGCACTGTATTCCTTGTGGCACTTGCTAAAAACATATTGTGTAGACAAACTTACCTAGATGCTTAGAAAGCTGCAGGGGATTTTTAACTCGGAGGTGTTTTTTACAAAAACGTGGTATATAAATGTTATGAAACAAATAAATGATTTTTTTTAAATTGCATATAATCAGCTTAAAGTGAATGATGAATCATGCTGAAGAATCCCTGCAAATTGTTCTGTAACTTATTGTAGAAGTTTATTAGATTGCATACTTGTACTTCTGTTCACATATATCTCTAAATAAATTGGCATTCTACCATGGAATTTGCATTGCATTTTCAACCTATGGTGGTCAACAGTCAGTTTAGAATGAAGCGTTTCTAAGGTCCCACATGAACCAAACGTGTCTCTGAAAATCTCTGAAAATGTTGCTGGCAATTTTTCTTGCATGGTTCTTGTCATTTGTCCAGGATATTCTGCAACAAAACAGGTAATGGGATAAAGTTACAGAAGTGGCCATTTTGTTAAAAGAAGACAATTTAAAATGTGTCAGAATTATTTAATAACATTTTATGCAAGGATACTCTGGGTCCCTTCACACCATGCATTTAAAGCACCGTGGTACCTCTTTAAACCAGTCATGGGTGCTGAGGGGTTGTTAGGCAACCCCTATTCCCCTCCAAGAGCTTGCAGTTTCCCATTCAATCCGTTTTACTAGGGAATTGTACTTCTGTGAGTAGAATAGGGATCTGCCTTTGAGTGTAGAGCAAGCAGAGGGGTAATCTCCAACCATAGCACTAGGGTCCTTAGAGGGATTTCCTCTCCATATTAGTACTGTCAAGATTTCTCTTTCATTATTGCAAATTGCAAATAAATATTGGGTGAGCTTTGCAGGGGCGGGGGGTTTAAGCTGTGCTAATAGTCAAATAAACATGCTATATCCGGTCACTCTCTAGGAGGAGTAACCAACATGGTGCCCTCCAGCTGTGTTGGACTACAACTCCCATAATTTCTGGTAAGTGGCCTTGCTGCCTGGTGCTGGTGGGAGTTGGCATCCAGACCTCTCTGGAGGGCACTGTATTGGTTACCCTGCTCTAAGGAATTGCAGTCTGAATTTCCCTAATTGGCATAGGGAATTTTGGGGAAACACTCCAGCACTTTTGGGGAGAAAGTGATGAAGATAATATAATAATACACCTTTTAAAGCTGTATGGTACACTCCAACAGGACTCATCAAGACCGCCTAGACAAAAGTATAAATCCCCAAGAACAAAGCACAGTAAACAGCAGCCCACACATACATGCATACCTGACTTTCCACATGGACAGTGCTGGATCCAAAGGTGGCGTTGCCATAACTGGTGACATAATACTGTGCAGGGGCCTGGGCAATGCTCCGTTCACTTGGGACTAAAACAATAACATGGTTAGTTATCCAGCTAGTAAATGCGACCAATGACTGGGTGCATATTTCCCCCCTTCATACTCTTAGTTTTGCATTACTATTTCATATTCCCAGTGGGGTTTTTTGTGATACTCGTTGATAATCGCACACCAGTACTTCTTTCTTTTTTATGCTGCCCATGGCAGCCAATTTTTGCCGATACCCCACACTATTTTTATCAATGTAAGAGTGCCAGAACCTTTTCCTTGCTTTCATTCTTTTTAACTTAAAAAGCACTGTGTTTTATGATGCTTTGAGCAAGTAGAGGAGGCAGCCAAAGCACGAACTCTGGGCAGTATGCTAAAATGATAGCCGTAATAGAAATTATGAAGGCCTGAGGGGAGGGGAGCAAGGACACACTAGGCCAGCGGTGCCAACTTGAATAAAATATTGGGGAGGGGGTACAGGTAAACCCCTACCCAAATAATCGCTCACATGACACTGTGCACACACACACACACACACACACACCATGCCCATCAACTTGGGAGGGGGGCAGTCCCCTCAAATATTTTATGGGGGGGGGGTCCCGAAGGGACTGCAGTGCCTAGGAGTTGGCTCCTATGCACTGGGTTATGGACATGAGTCAAGAGATGGAAAGCTCCCACCAATCACCTCCTTGCTGTACTTTGGCAAGATCCTCTGATTCAAAACACCCCTACTAGCATGATACTATAATACCAGCAATTACAGTAGCTCCTGTTTTGGCCACAATCCAGTGAAGACGTAAATGTGCTTAAACCCACTGAAATCAATCACTTAACTATTAGTTGTTGTCTATATCACCCTCCAACACACTCACAAAACGAAACAGAAGAAGCAACGGGTGCGCTTTAGAGGGCAATACAGTCATACCTTGGTTCTTGAACAGAATCCGTTCCCGAAGTCCGTTTGACTTTTAAAACCCAAGGTGCGGCTTCCAATTGGCTGCACTCAATCAGAAGCAGCAGAAGCTGCATCAGATGTTCAGCTTCCAAAAAAAGTTTGCAAACCGGAACACTTACTTCCAGGTTTGAGGCATTCAGGAGCCAAAACGTTTGAGTTGCAAGGTGTTCGACAACCGAGGTACGACTGTACTTGACAGTCTCTCCTCAGCTCCTGCCCCACACCAGCCAGGTTTAAATGTGTCTACAGTTGAATGAAACCTGAAATCTCTGGTCTCACCTTTTGGTAACAGCAGCTCAGTTTCAAATCGAAAGGCACAAGTTCCACATGTTTTGATTTCTTCTTTGGTCCTTTGGAGAAGGGAAGGAATACCAAGGCAAGAGTAAACAGATTTTGCAATCAAAATATTTATTTATTTTTGGTAACTCTTCAACTTGAAGGATGGCGACACAAAGGCTGTGTACACACTACAGCACATTTGAAGTACATTTCCCCCCCTGAAAATAATTCTGGTTTGTTAAGGGCTGCTGGGAATTGTACCTATGTGAACAATAAATTGTCAGTGCCCAGAATTCTTTGGGTGAAAGCATGGGCTTTAGGGGTACAGTATGTACACAGCCTAAGGCAGGGAGGTGGCATCTATGACCCTCCAGATCAGATAATTGCTGGACTCCAGTTTCCATCATTCCCGACAACTGACGATGCTGGCTGGCACTGATGGGAGTTGAGTTCAACTACATGTGAAGGGCTCACCAGTGCACTAGGGGTTGTATTCCCACATTAGTCATACTCAAGAGTACACCCCCTGAAATTTATGCACGTAACTTAGGTACATTAATTCAAATGTGCTGATTCTGAGTAAAACAATCCTAGAATGCTGGACATACAAAAGCCTATTCAAATCTCACCAAACCACTGATAAGCTCTTTTTGGGGTGGGGGGGAAGTACACAATGACTGGTCTGACTGGCGAAATCTACCCATTTGTGTTGAACTAAAGCAGAAATGTTCCAAAAGGCTTGCAAATACCATCTTGGTAGTCAAGGTAACCCCAGACTAATTGGTGGTTGTTGCAAAAATGAGCTCGTATATATTTATATTCCCTTCCTTTGATGTACAGTGGTACCTCGGAAGTCGAACGGAATCCATTCCGTTTGACTTCCAAAACATTCCGACTTCAAAAGCGTGGCTTCCAATTGGCTGCAGGAAGCTCCTGCAGCCAATTGAAAGCCATGGAAGCCCCATCGGATGTTCGGCTTCCAGAAACGTTTGGAAACCGGGAACATTCACTTCTGGTTTTCGATCGGGAGCCAAAACATACGAGTTCCAGGGCATTCGAGAACCAAGGTACGACTGTGTGCTAATTGGTTTGCTTTGCTGTTGTGCTTATCTGCGGATCTTGGGATGCTGGGCTCTAGGCCCAGAGGCAGGAGAAGCTCTGGAGAGCTGCCTCACCATCCAGGTGGGATGGGGTGTTCTGGGCAAACCAACCTATGCTGCTTTGTGCATGAAGGCTGCATGAACGTTTGCTTGGGTGTGGACACCCAGAGCAGAAAGGAGGAACATCAATGCTGCACTTCCCCCATCTCTGTTGGACATCAGAATAGGGGAAGGAGAGAGTGGCCTATGTGAGAACATTTGTGGCTGGCTCAAAGGAGGCTGGCTGCTATTTCTGGAGCTTGACAGCTTTGAAAAACTTGCTGCTGGTTACACTATTCATAAAAACCTGACAGCACCTGAGAGTTTTAGCCTATCTGCTTTAAATGCTTTCAAACATAAATGTTTATATTTTACGTATGCCTTAGATCATGGGTAGGCAAACCTAAGGCCCAGGTGCTGGATCTGGCCCAATTGCCTTCTAAATCTGGCCCACGGATGGTCCGGGAATCAGCGTGTTTTTACATGAGTAGAATGTGTCCTTTTATTTAAAATGGATCTCTGTTATTTGCGGGGCATAGGAATTTGTTCATTTTCCCCCCCAAAATATAGTCCGTCCCCCCACGAGGTTGGAAGGACAGTGGACCGGCCCCCTGCTGAAAAAGTTTGCTGACCCCTGCCTTAGATATTTTAAACATCATCTACTGATAACTTCTTTTAATGGTCAATATTGCCTATTTTATCATGAATTTAAAATACTATAGCAATATTTTTATGTTTATTTGCTTTGACATGTTTTGAAATGAATTGGTATTAAGACTGTTGTAATTATGTGTTCTTCCTTCCCCCCCCCCCTTTGCTCTTGTGTGGTATGAGTGGATTTAGACATACTTATGTGGAAAAGAGGCATGCAAACTGAAAGAACAACAATAAAAAAGAACTTGCCTGGCCTATCTCACAGGGTTGTTGTGAACATAAAGAAGTATTTGAAATGAGATAACTTAACATGCTATGTGTTGCCTATGGTCTCTTTGTGGGAGAAAGAAAAGCCTGATAGATAACTTGTCTGATTTATATATTGTGCAAATTACCCCCCTGAGGTCTAGCTAGAAGAATGTGAAGCCTAAAGGAAAAGAAAAAATCAAAACACAACACATCACACATCAAATAAGAGGTGATAAGAAAGATGGACAGTTAATTTGTTTCTTGATATCACTAGTGGAATCTGGTGGAGCAAAACAAAATGGCCCATTGGAAATATATGAAAGTTTTTAAATTGACTTTGATGGGTACAGAGCCATCCTCCTAGTTGCTTTGAATTCAGAGCACTTTGCCTCTGGGCCAACATCAGGGCTTTGTTTGAAATACACTATGTGTTCTCAGGGTATGGCCAAAGCTACTGTAGTTGTAACTTAAACATTATGCAAATAACAAAAGGTACCTGTGTTGGCCTATAAGAAAAAAATCAAAATCCATATTAAGGCAATACCTTTATTAGGCTAACCAAAATGTGCTAAACAGTGTGCAAGATTTCAAGTTCTCCAGAAGCCTTCATCATTGAAGATGGAATTTGCTGTTTTTACTGCTGAAAAGTTAGGAAACTTCATGCTCTCAGGGCAGGGGAGCAGAGGGGTGAGATACTTACACTGTGCTTTTGTCATCCACATCTGGCCAGACAAATTCTGCAGGGCAGCCAGCTGTCCGACAAGGTGTCTTCACACAAAGATGGAGACCAGGCCACTCCTCCAAGAGTTTATTGCTGATGGAGATTATTGTCATAACAAAGTCCCACACCAACTGGAATCCTTTAAAAGACATCAGAGAAACGGAACTATGTGGGATTTTCTGTCTAGATAGTTGGCTAAAGGGAAATGTTGACAGATGCATCTTTTTAGCCAACAGAAGTTGTCGGCAAAACAATTTATCAGCAGAAAATAAATAAATTACCAAAAACAACAAAGCCTCCTGCAGTACCCTAAAGGCAGCAAATCTAGCTTTCATAGACTACAGTCCACTTCATCAGATGCATTAAATGTTACCCCAACTTGCAGGCGTATTTGTACATCATTGGGGAGGAAACTGTAAACAGTGAGATCAGAAGGGAAGAAATGCAGAAAACTGCAGGCATAATTCCTTATTAAGAGAGACTGTTCACAAAACATGTGGTTAACGCAAGCATCCTGGCATCAGCAAGGGCAGAGCCACAGCACACATATAAAGTGCATTCAACCCACATTTAAACCATGTGGCTTCCCCCAAAGAATCCTGGGGACTGTAGTTTCTCCCCACAGATCTACAATTCCCAGTATCCTTTGCAAACTACCGTTCCCAGGATTCTCTGGAGAAAGTTATGTGCTTTAAAAGGCGTGTTGGGTGTACTTTAAATGTATGGTGTGGGTCTTCCCTCAGCTAATCAACACATCATCAAATAACCCATTATGCTTATTTAATCCACAAGTGAATAGAACTGAAACCAAACAAGTCCCAAAGTTTTGCACTCGTTTTGCACTAAAAATACCCCACGTTTTGTACCACTCTCCAAACTGAGGAATTGATAAAGCAAACCATGGTTCCCAGTTAACACCCAAAAATCCAACATTGTCTGATTCACTCCACACTGGTGCAAAATGCAGGGTTTGTGGTGCAAAAAGCTTGGCACTGGTTTGGATGGGACCCCAAATTTCAGGGCACGTGGTTCATGAAGCTTTCCATTGAATTACATTTAAAAGTTGATTATTATCACTTGTGGGGTTGAATTGGCACAATTTTTAATCACACTACATGTTGGCTCACCAATGCTAGGATGTTTATGTTATCAACTGCTGCCACAGTTAGTAAGGTATTTATCTTCATCTGTGCTTTTCCACATTTCCTTTCCCCCCCGACCTCATTGTTTACATATCCCTCCCCCAATCATGTATAAATCTACCTGCAACTCAGGATAACACTTCATGCATCTGAAACTGCCAAATTTAACCTACGCAAAAGTTTTCTGCTGTTTGTGCCTGAGTTGGTGCTGCCACCATCGGGTCTGTGTTGGCACATCAAAGCAAGCTTCAGATTAACACCCTAAAGCAAGCATGATCCTATCTGCTCCAATTTCCCATAAAAGCTTTGTGCTTGATATATGATAATGCTGGCTTTTCAGGTGAAAGACAAAGGAAGGAGATCATTTCTAACATCCAACAAAGTGAGTCAAAGTTTGTCCTTCTGTGGTACCTGCCCTCTCAGCTGGTTTTCTGCACCTGAGTTCAATGTAGCTATATCCTTTCTGGTTGTTCGCTTTGATCAGTAAAGGTTTGCCACTGCAGATGAGCAGGCATATCGCTTTTGCAACCCAGTGGGTTGAGAAGAAAGAGCAAGCTTTAACCATGAGCCTGGAAAGAGAGAAGCAACAGCCAATGCCTTCAGATCCCATCATGGATGTGCACAACGTATTTCCTTGGGTGTGCAGCCAGGGAATATATGAATATACAGATAGATAGATAGATAGATAGATAGATAGATAGAGATAGATACTCATTCTTGGTTGTAAATGATATTGGTTTAATTTATCAAACAAACAAAAGAAACTAAAACTTAACTAAATGTAACTTTTTAAATTAAACTTTACTTAAAAAATACAAACTGATCAAAAGACACACAAAATACCAAAATTTTGCTGTAGTGCAATTTTTGCTTGAAAATTTCTGTGGGAAATGTATGGATGTTTGTGGCTGCCCCAGGTTATGCAAATCAGCAAATTTTCATGACTGCGGCCCAAATTCAAAGGAGATTGCAAACAGCAGAAATTGGTCACAAGCTGGGCTATCACTTCATATGGCCTCTATGCAATCAGCAGTCTGTTTAACCAGAGCTTTTTTTCAGCTGGAACTCACCAGAACTCAGTTCCAGCCCCTCTCAGGTGGGCACAATTGCCATTCTAAGAGGAGGGAGGTGTTCTGGGTAAGTTCTGGCACCTTTTTTCCTAAAAAAATAGCACTTTGTTTAACTACCTTTTGAAGAAGCCCTCTGGGATCTCTGGGGAAAAGTAGACACGGATATGAAGGTCTTCTTTGTGGTCTCCTCCCCACATTTTGGAAACCTCCTCACTCTGGTTGAGATAAGTGGGAAATAAGTAGTGAGTTTCCTCATGGCCCTGTGCGGCTTCCCACGGCAATCCAGGCACAAACACTCGGGCTCTTGGATTGAGCCCCTCTGTATTTCTGACCTCCAGACAGATCTCAAAGTGCTCCAACAGGCTAAAGAGCTTCCCCTTCTGAGATCTGCTGCCCACCATTTCCTCAAAGACGTCTCTCATGCCGTCCAAGTAGAGCTGGTGTTTGAGCAAAGCTCTCATGGCCTTCTGGCACAACATGGCCTTTGACTTGAATGCCCACACCCAGTTGGCCCGGTCTCGAATGGTGGCATGTTCTGCTATCAAGATGTCCACAGCAATGCTCTCCAGCTGCTGCGTCAGGCCATACCGGACAAGAGTCTGGAAGAACAGAAGCATTAAAAAAATAAAATACAGGCATAGAAAAATTAAGTCTTAAATACACAACAGGTAAGGCTCTCACTTTCCCTAGATCAGGGGTAGCAAATACATCCTTCAGATGTTTTGGACCACAACTCCCATCAGCTCAAGCCCAAGTGTGACCAGTAGACAGTGATGATGGGAGTTGTAGTTAAAAATATTTGAAAGCACCAAGTTGGGGAAGCCTGCCTAACCCTCTTAGCATATGCTACAGCTATTAGGAGTCATTGAAAGAAAATGGCTTCCAGCAAAGATGTGGTTGGCAGGCGGGAATTCAGAACTGGTCTCTCTCAGTAGCTGATACGCACAGGTGAATCAACACACATGCCTGGCTAGTCCATCCCGCTGTATTATCTGCAATCCTATTGTGAGATGCAATGCCAACGGTGATGCAGTGTTTGAAAGATGGCAAGGGGGGCCGGGGGGGACAGACTGTTCCTATAGTCCATTCTTTGCTATCTTTTCATAGCCTATTGATAAACCCTTTTGGAGCAAGTGGTCTCATTTAGACAGTAATTACCTGAAATCCCCATTTTGTGCTAGAACACAACCAAGAAGGTCATAAAAGTCTTGCATTCGCCTCTACAGCTTGCAGTGTGAACATGCTGATCTGAAGGACGTGCCTGCCTTTGGAATGCAAGGGATCAGGCGTGGTGAAGCTGCATTAGTGATTTCCTCAATCAGGTTCAAACTAGATGTGGTTAGTGGGGACAACAAGATGGTGGGCATAACTCCCTCCTGTAATGAGGCATTAACCACTCCCTGGACCCATCTAGCCAATTCCCACCTACTAGATTTTATAGTAGTGTATAAATAAAAGGCACAGAACATCCGTCTGTAAAGCAGTTGGCAACCTCAGGCTGAGCCTTGGCACTCTAAAGGAGTCTGTTGATCTCCTAGAAAACTTTCTGTTGTGACGTGGTAAATAAATAAATGCTACACGCTTGTGTGGCATCTCCATTTTCATTCCCCTTCTAGCTAACTTCAGAGAATCAATGTCTCTACAGCATAAAGAGATCTGGTGTGGAAGCAGCCAAGGACACCTGGAACTCACTTTGAAGATGGTTATGAGAATGTCCGGGCATAGAAACACCGTGCTCTCCAGCTGCTTGACCTCTTCGTACCACACGATGAGCCCAATGCGATGAAGGTATCTCAGGATATCCCGCAGAAGTTCTACATCAAGGTGGGTCAGGCGATACTGATAGGAAAGCTCTCTATGTAACAGACTGAGATCCATCATACCTAAAGGGCCATTAGAAGAAGACTTGTTTCTAGTGACTGCAAGGGATCCACAGAACGAAATACTTTGAGTAAGCAGGTTTGGGATCAGCCTGTCCATAGAATGGGATGGATGGATTTGTCAAATTTGGATTATCTCCGTTTCTCATATTTCCACCCCTAAACTCATTTATCCACGTTTCCACATGACTTGGCTATTTATTTATAAATTTTGAAGAACGGCTGTCTGTCTTTCAGTTTGCGTATTGTTTCAGAAAGTGTGAATTCGGTAAGGTTTGTCTCCAGGTGTGACCTGAATGTCTTTCCCTTCCCTGTCTATAAGTGAATGAAATGCTGTAGTTCCGCTGTTGGAGCAGAACTAGAGGAGGGCAGTAAATATTAAAGAGGTCAATGCTAATGAAGAATCACATCCTTACTTAAGCTGGCTCCTTCAGGTGGTTAACAACTATTTTGGAATTCATTGTAGATCTGGGAATGTGAAAATGCTCCCATAGTTTTAAATTTGAATGTGTGGGGAGTTTTCTCTGTGGTCTTGCTGCAGAAGGGGATCAGGGCCATCAACCAGTGATCATTTTATTTTATTTAATATGCTTTATACTTGGTTCAAATGTTGTTATTATGCTTTAATTGGAGTTTTATGCTTTCACTGGATTTTTATTATTTTTAAAACGGGGGCCTGCCCAACTTTTCAGGCTGAGTGGACTATAAAAATAAGCAAATTGACCACAGAAGAGAAGCCAGTATCAGCCTCCTGCTATTGTCCTGAGGGACAGCTGTCTGAGAGACTGACTCAGAGACTTCGGTTCTCCCCCAAGCAATCTAGAGGCCATCACCTTTATTGCAAGTGTTTATGAGATGGCTGTGACGGTGGCTGTGTATTTCAGGGAAATACACTCTGTACATAGGAAACTGCCATCTACTGAGTCTGACTATTCGTCCATCTTACTCAGTTTTCATCTATGCTAATGATCTCCAGGGTTTCAAGGCAAGGGAGTCTTTCCCAAGAGATGCTGGGGAATGAACTGGGAACCTTCCACATGAAACGAAAGCAGATATACTACCCCAAGCGACGTCTCTTCCCAAATGTTCAGAAGGACCCTGTTCTGCATCATGACTTCACCTATTCAAGGGATAGGATCTTGCATTTAAAAGGGGGAAGAGAGGGGAGGCGCAAAATGCCCATTCATAACAGTTACTTGCCATGCTCTGCCAACTCTTCATTTTTTTGCACAATATTCACAATTGCAGCTTCTACTTGTTTGTAGATAGGGGGGAGCACTTGGATGACATTCGGGAAGACAGCCTCATTCTTGACGTGCTTCAGAATTGTGCCTTCGAGTGTTTTGATGTCCTCGTAATCCATGCAATTGACGGGAACAAGGTCCAAAACCTGGGGCAAAAAAATATACAGATGCCACAAACAAACAAACAAACAAACCAAAACTCCAAACAGTTTACAAGCAAGCAATAGATGCAAACGACCAAAGACTGGCATTTTGTTATTCTGGTGGGCAGTCTATGGTTTATGCATGCTGGTGGCCATAGAACTTGAGATTCCTACAATCAAACTAAATCTCTAGATGGACATGAGATTCAGAACAGATGAAAGGAAGTATCTTATTCATAAGTGAACGGAGTCATTTGTCAGTGGTGGTTGGATGCATCCTCCCAGATCTGAAGATTTAGGCCTCAAAGAATCAACTGCTGGGGAACAATAACTTCAGGTTCCACTTGTGGGTGCCCACAGGCACAAGGCTAGCCACTACTGGAAGCAGGTCACTGGGCATGGCCAGAGGAAAAACAGGGTGGATCAACTCATATAAATTTTACCTTTGTACAGCAGGATAGCTTGTAATTCACTCACACACTGCTCTCGGTCCTGCATTCAGGCAAGTGAGAGACATTATCAAAGATCAAGGACACATTCCAGCCGGGCTGAAGTACTTGTGGAAGGTGTAAAAGTAAGGCCAGTGAGTGGTGTGGGCTGGCGAAAGGGGGATGTGCTTAGGGCGGGTCTCAATGGCCTGCAGCATTAGCCTCAAGGGCCATTGAAGGTGACCTGGTGGGACATATTTGGCCCCCAGATCTGAGGTTCCCACCCCTGGAATGAATGGACTTTTGGTCTGCTCTAGGCACCTTCTTTTGTTCTTAAGGTTCAATGTCGCAGCCTCCAAAATGTCTATATACCCCCCCCCCCAACAAAAATGCTTATTCACATCCTACTTTTGACTAAGGAGTTGACAAATTGGGGGCCAGATGGCACCACTCACAAGAGAGCCATGTTACTGCCCGTGCTTTCTGACTGCTGTATGGAAAAGCACATGAATCTGACCTTTGAATAGTTTGTAAGTAAACTATTTTTAACTTCCCAAACATGTTTTTCCCCCTAGGATGGTGAAATGGGAAGCTTTGGAACTCACAAGGACATATTTTAAAGGTCCAACAGTCTATTTTTACACATTTCATTTGCTGCATATTTTGTGATTTTAAATCTCTGCTCGCCCAAGGGTACTTGTCTCAAACCTGAATCTTGGCATCCAGGGAATTCTCTTTTTATCTACTTAATTTTTCTTTCCCAACCAACACACTCTTGGGAGTTTACATCACATCATATTCTGTAATGCAGGGACTGGAAACTTGTGGCCCTCCAGATGTTGTTGGACTCCTAACTCAGGTCAAGCCACAGCCATTGTAACTGATGGTCAGGGAGTTCTGTCCAACATCTGACGGGCCACAGGTTTCCCACCCCTGATGTAGGGCATCCTAAATATTCAAAATACATCACATTTTCCTCACCGTGAGGGTGCATTGCTCCATTTCCTTCAGCCTATTCCACTGGTCCACAAAGAACTCTGATTCCTCATTGTCCTCCAGGTTGGCAATGAGATGGGCTAAGGTGCTCTTTCTCTCATCCAGCATGTCCTGGATCTTGCTCATTATATCCTCTTTCTTTTCTTTAACCTCCTGCTCACAACAAACATCTATGTGAGTTCCAACGGGAAGGACCACAGAGTTGGGCACTCGCATAAAGAGGTTGTTAATCCAAAATCCAACAAGCTCCTTGAAGGAGTCATCGCTCCGCTGATACCTGAAAAAGGGAAGTTCCAGATCACTCACAGACTCGGCCCGCTGCCCTGACAGTGTGTGGGTAAACGAATTTGTTTCTCTAATATTGGTGGCTCACAAAAAGAGTGAGGTCACATTCACACTATGCACTTCAAGCACATGATTTCCCCCAAAGCGTCCCGGGAACTGTGGTTTGTTAGGGGTGCTGGGAATTGTAGTTCTCTGAGGTTAAAGTACAGCTCCCAGTGTTCTTTCAGGGAAAGATAAATGCTTTAAATATATGGCGTGGATGCGACCGGAGCTTAATTCAGATATTAAGAAGTTGCCTCTGCTATGAGAAAAATATATTCTTCTCAGCTTGCAATTGTGGCACTTGTGAAAATATCCATAAAAAGAGAATGATGATGATTATCCATAAAAGTAATATTGATTGGTGGTGGCCAAGCAAAATAGATGTCGTCATCTTTTTTTAATTTATATGGGGTGCAATGATGAGTAGTGCACCTCAATGTCTAGCTAAGGCCTCTGCAATAGGCTTTAGCCACCTCCCATTTAGAAGAATAGCTTGCAGTGCAAGCCTATGCAAGTTTGCTTGAAAGTGTTCAGTGGAGCTTACTTCCAAGTGTGCATAAGATTTAAGACTTCATTAGTTCACTGCTCTCTGATGGGCATACAGTACTAGCAGGGATAAAACCCCTGCAATTATAGAGATTCTGGCTGACAAAAAAAGCTAACTTCATACCCGGGAGTACAAATTTAGCCAAAGACAACACATTTAAATCCCATTCACTTATAAACAGGAATGTGAAGCACACATGTAAATCGACCCCGCTGGAGCCAACAGGACTTAAAAGCCACGCTCCCCTTTGCCCTCCCTTCACAAGGTAAGCAAGATGACACTTACTGCTGAAAGTTGATGACCAAGATGACCAGAGCCTGTGGGGTGATGAACATGTGGTGAGTCATATAGTATTCCAATTGGCCAGCGAAGTCCCAGAAGAGAAAAGTGAAGCCTTGGATCTGGAACTCGCTGATCTCAATCCCAACGGTCCGCTCTTCCTCTGACATTCGAACTATTTGCCTTTGCTTCAGGCTTTTGCAAATGGTGGACTTCCCTGCTAAGGACATCCCCAGGAACATGGTCTTGACTCGCCTGTCCTCTTCCGCTCGGCTGTTTTGCAGCTGGTCGAAGTAGCTGATGATCTGCCTGAGGCCTCCTGCGCAGACCTCGTAGGGAGGCTCACGGAGAGGATTCCCGCTGACCTTGAACATCTTCAGAGGCAGCTCCTTGAACATCTTCATGGGAAGCTGGCGCAGCTTGTTGTTATACAGGTAGAGCTCTTGCAAACATTTCAGCTCCAAGACCGCCAAAGGGATAGCTAGGAACAAGTTGTTGGACAGGTTGAGGTACTGGAGGCTGCTGCAACAGACTGCTAGGTCCTTGGGAAGCCTATCTAAGCGGTTGTTGTTCAGTCGAAGATGTCTCAACTTTGGAAGGCAGGAAAAGACTCCCTCTGGGACAACACGGATTTGGTTCTGATTGAGTTCCAGCTTCTCCAGATGGACCAAGCTCCTGATTTCCTCTGGGAAGTCTATGATATCATTTTTAGACAAAACCAGCTTTTTCAGGTTGCAAAGTTTTGCAATCCCAGGGAGCTGTTTCAGCTTGTTCCGGTCTAAATTCAAGCTTTCTATGCCATTATTTTGCAGGACCTCAGGTGGAACCACTCGGAGCCTAAGTCTGGAAAGTGTCACTTCATTGCGGTAGCCTTCTTGCCCTTGATCTGATGAACAGAGGGCACAAGATACTGTGATGTATCATCAAGAAAAAGGACCATTGTTTCCAAGTGAGTAGCTTGCCAGACACTCTGCTCAAATTATTTCATGCCACACACATAAGTGAACGCTCCAGCTCTTAACCGTGTAATGCTAAACACTTTTACTAGGGACAAAACCTAATTGTTTAGAGAGGGAATTATTTCTGACAAACATACAGAGAATTTTACCGTACATCACTTCATCTGGAATTAACCATTTTCTACTGCTTAGCTGCCTGGTTCTGAGTATAGGAGGGTAGTTAAATTATAACCAGGTTGCTGTAACTGTATGTGCATGTAAATGCAAGAGAAATTGGAGACGGGATGGGGTAGGACTTATGGTATGCTTAAGGTCCTACAAAGCCCACTCTTTTATTTTATGTATGTATGTATTTATTTTATTTATATCCTGCCTTTCCTCTAAGGAGCTCAAGGTGGCAGACATGGTTTTCTTCCTCCCTACTGTATCCTCACAACCACCCTGTGAGGTAGGTTAAGACTAACAAGCTGTGACTGGTCCAAGACCACCCAGTGAATTTTTGTATTTTCAGTCAGAAGTCATTCTCACAGAGCTCAACAAATGAGGCAGGATTTAAAATATAAGTATGCCCCCTACCACCAGCTCCCATTTCAATACAGTTCCTCTAATACTCATTTCAATACAGTTCCTCTAACCAGGCCTACTTCTGAACACATTATTTGAAAAAAAGATCCACAGCATTGAACACAAAGGGCATAATAAAAGGGACTCATAAGAGACAGGAACAGCCTGTGCTGTTGGGGGCTTCCTCTGGCCTTTTCACTGCTGCAGCTCCCGTAGCTGAGGAGTTAAGCAGCGGAGTGGAACAGGTCAGCTTTAAAACATCTTGCCTCTTCTGTCTGTCAGTGTTGCAATGAGAAGGACTGAGAAAGTTATGATTCTATGCACAGCCTGTGCCAAAACCTGAACATATGTCTCTTGGCACAGGATTACTATTTTAAAGATGGCAAGTTCTCTCTCTCTCATCCTAACAAATGGCAGGTAGGCCCAGCATCAGCGCCCAGCACCTGACCAAGCCCTCCTCCAGCACTGCCCCTTCCATTGTTTTTCTACTCCACTCCAAGCAGCAGCAATCAGTAGGAATCAAAGGCGGGTACTCACTAGATCCATGCTGGGCCATGTTGTCCTGCTGCTCCCTGCTTCACAAGCCACGGCTATATCCTTCTGACGTAACCATCTGCTTTCATTTCCTCAATTCTCTCTTTCAAAAGCCTTTACCTCCTTCTTCTTCCCACAATTAATTGTGCAAGATGTGAAACTTTGTGTGGGGCAAAATTGAAGACTCAACACAGTTAAAATCACCACAGCCGTTTCCCCAGTATATGATTGCCAGTGAAATGGGGGCGGGGGGGATATACACACACACACACACACACACACACACACACACACACATACATTCCTTCACACTCGGAGGTGTGACCATGGCCCTTTCTTGCAGGGCTGGCCCAAGACATGTTGCTGCCTGAGGCAAAGGACAAAATGGCACACCCCTCATTTAAGGTTCTGAAGCCAAATGGGGAGGTGGTCAAATCTTACTTCAACACCATTGATGGGACAGCCTCCTCTGTTGCCCCTGAGGGCAGCAGGCTAGCACAGGGCAGGCCATGTGGGGTGTAGCAGAGGGGAATAGTTGGGAGGGGGCTCAAGAGGAACAGTTGGGGGCCTGCAACCTTTGGCCCCCACCCCAGCATCTGCCACCTGAGGCAGTTGCTTCCCTCTGCTTAAGGCCAGCCCTGCTTTCTTAGGATTGTGATGTTGCTCTCTAGACCAGTCAAACTCCTTTCAGTTAATAACATCCTCTTATCTGGGGTGAAAGTAGACAAAGACCCATACATGTAGCTATCTTTCTGGCCTTCAGAAGGGAGGGAGGGAGAGGACCTTGTCCCCAGCGAAAGCTTTATGGCAGGCCTAACAGACAAAACCTTGACAATGTGTTATCTTCTTGCCGATAAGACTTCCGGGGTGGCGCCACCGGCAATGGCGGACTCCCTCTGAACTGGGGGACTAGCTCCGCGGAAAACGGGTCTTCTCTGCTACGGCGAAGTGGGGACCCTCCTAAAAATCACAGGCGGCTGAAGCCTGTGACCATGGGACTCGGCAGGCACCATTAGCGCCCCCCCAACCCGCTAAGGAACCCACTAACGGGCTCCGAAGTGAAGAGGGGGAAGTGGCGCGGTGCTGTGAGTCAACTGCTATTTCCGTGGAGCGAAGCCGCATAGCCGTTGCCGGAGAGCGCTGCCTTTGTCCTGGGACAATTTGGACTTTAAAATAAGCACCCGTGAGTACTTAGACTTTGAACAATTGGACATCAAATAAGGACTTGCGAGCAGGAAAGAATTGGACTTTAAAAATTTACTCTAATTTGGTACGGAACGGGAAGGTCTAAACAGGAAGTCAACCTTCCGTTCTTTTGTAAACAGAATAAAGCAAAGACAATTGAAACTAGAGCTCAGAAAATCGTTTTTAAAAGATTGGATTTCACCATTTAAAATTGCGGAACCCCCCTTCGACAGCAGGAGAAGGGGGGAGGATCTTTTTGGACTGTTTAAAGTGACTTTAAAGTGAAGTAACTTTCCTCCGTCCTGATCCTGGAGCGGGGTGTCAGGACTGACGTTTGAAGTTCATTGACCAAAGACAAGTGTCGTTGACAGATAGCTAAAAGAAGAGAAATCTAGTGATTCCACTGTTCCCTTTCGCATTTTAAAGGAATATATACGGACAAAGTATCTTAAAAAAGGAAACTTTGTTGCAAGAACAAATAGAAGTCTTCCCCCTAGGGGGAGTCTGTGAAATTGCAACTGTGAAACTGTAACTAACTCCAGGGAGCCGGCAGCGGTTACAGATTACAACCGTGGGAACAGGCATCTGACCTTGCAGGACAATGTATTCAGAAGCCTTGTTGTGTGCTCTCTATAAAACAAATGCCCTACTGGAACAATTACACGAGAAGGTGAATTGGATGGCGACTTCGACTAGAAATTTGGAACAGGCAGTGGGAAATTTTGAACAGACAGTGGGAAAATATGTGGAGCCCACTCAGGAATTAAATCAGGAGAGTGTCTTGACAGAACAGGAGTTTTTGACATTAAATCAGGAGTGTGTTTTGACAGAACAGGCCCAACAGGAATATGACTTTTCGGATTTGACAAATGAACTTGGAAAAAGCCAGATTTGGAAAGGAAAAGTCTGGCTTGGTTTGGAAATGGGGGGCTGGATTGACCCCCCTACGCTGGGACGTTTGGACTTTTCAAATATGGCAACAGGCCGTGAGATGTCTGGGACTGTGGGGGCTCTCAATTTTGGAGGGTCTTTGAAACATGCTTTTAAATACTACATGGAATTTAGTGTTGAACATGGAAAAGGGGCTGATTTGTCGAGAAGGGCTAAAAACATCGTCAAGCTGGAGTTACCACGAGCAGGAGACAAGGGAAAATACAGTTACAAATATGAAGAAGAGCCGCGGAAGGGACATGGAAGAGACTTGAGGGCCTCGGATATAAGGTTGCCAGGTTAATGGGCTAGATTGACGGGAATAAGGACTGACAAAACCCGGAACCAGGAGGAAGGGACGCTGGATGAAGAGTGGATCTGTTTGTACCCCTTTTTTCTACCATTAGAACTGCTTTATAAAAGTGATGAATGATAGAAAAATGTTGGAATGAAATTACTTGGCTTTAGCAAAGATGTTTAAAGAATTATGAAAGAATATTATGGTTATGAGAAGTTGGTAAGGATAAGATTTAAGCTTTAAGTTTTAAGGTTTATTTTATTATAGAAAGATAAGATCAAAATAGTTTAGGGTAATGCAAGGATAGAATTTTATGAAACATGGAAAGGATTTGCTGGGATAATTAATAACTAGGATACAAAGAAAGGGAGGAGGAGGAGGTCTAAGAAAGAAGGCAAGGACAGTTAAGGACTTGAAAATAATGAATTTGTTTTTAAATGTTTTTAAAGGTTTGTGATTTTTGTATTTTCCTTTTTTCTGTTATTTTTTCTTATTTTGAATTTTCTCTCATATGGTGGGAAGGGTTTGTTTTTTGTTCTTTTCTTTTCTTTTCCTTTCCTACTTTGTCAACTATTTTTATTGTTTGTACTTTCTTCGGTTTCTATTTTATTTTTTTATTTTTTGTAACATTTTGAAAATTTCAATAAATACCTTTAAAAATATATATATATATCTTCTTGCTGATAAAGACAGACACGCAATTCATAAAGTAGTCCTTTTTGCTAAAGGTTAGAAACAAAACTGTAGCTGGGTATTATGGTGGCCATCTTATCTAATGGCTTACAGGCAGAGTCCATCATGGGTCAGTTTTTATTCAAAGTTGCTTTTGCATTTTAATTTGTACGTTGGATATTCTTCATAGTATTGCAAATCTATAACTTGTTTCACTGTTTTAATAAAGGGCAAGTGCTGAACCTATTGGTCATCCCAGTTTGGGGAGGGGTGGGGAGAAGAGAAGAGAACATTGACAACAGATTACTCCAAACAGGTAAATCTCAAGGCTGACTTGTGCATGTAAAGCCAAACCAAGATGGAAAGGTGGGGAGGCGGGTGCATGCATGCAAACTCACAACCTGTTTCTGATTCCCAAGTCTTGGAAACTGTATCTTTGACTACCCCCCTAGTCTCTGTACTTAACTAATAAATACTAATAATGATACCAGAACCAAAGAACCACTATGAACAAACAATTCAAAATAACTTTATAAACTGTCACATTTCTCCTTTGTACATCCTTTTTGCTGCATACCTCAGGTTTGTTATTGAAAGTCTGCAAATGGTGCTTCTCTGCCTCCACTCCCCGCACCCTCCCTGTTCAGTGAAAGGCAGCTCGTTGAATGCAAAACTACTCAAAACCAGCCTTCAGCACATTATTCACAAGAGCTTCAACATAGTTCAAATCCCCTTCCACCAATTTCCACCCCTGCCCTTTCAAAATGAAGTTCCGCATTTGAGATATTTCAACAAAATGGGAAATGAATGCCATCTCTGGAGCAGTGTTTTCAGGAGTGGATTTAGAAAGGGTAGCAAACGCCTGCAACTCCCATAAGACAGAGCGAGTCAAAGTTTATCACAGAATAGGCTAGAAATACTGCGGTTCAAGTATTAAACCAAATTTCTGAGAAATCGCTAAAGAATCCACATTTCTGATAAATAAGAACACAGTGGGAGCAAGTATACATTGCTGTACACTGCATATAAAAGTGTCTGTTTTAAACTGGAAAGACAGGTGCAGAGACTCAAAAAAGGGGGGGGGCGATCAAAGCCATGAAAATTGATAGTGTGTCCTCTCCCCAACACACACATACTTTGTCCAGCTACTCCACAAGCTGAGTGGGATCTGCTGACATTTGGCTCTTGAACTGCAGTCCAATCCACGCCCATCCCTGTGTGAGAATGGGTCACCCTGCAGGAAGGCCCGACCACGTTCAGTTGCTGAGTGGGGAGGGGTGTCTTGCAACATGCAATCGCATTATCCCTGCTTTCCTCTGCAGAAGAAGAAAATCCTTGGCTAGAAAAGCCTCCACTTGTTTCATCTTTGGGGCTTGGCCTTTTTCAGTTCCCTGTTTCAAGGGGCTCTTCTTCAGGGTCAGCCTTCTTGTGTTTCCTTATATGTTTGTACTTCTCAACATAAGCCTTCACAAGATTAGCCACCTTCACTGGGTTAATTTCACCACTTTTGCTGTGGCAGATCTAGGAATGGTAAAAGGGGATTGAGTTAGTTTCTGTGAACCTAGCATTAAAGCACCCTGCATTTTTCGACTTCAAATACACTACCTGAAAGAGCAGGAAAGTCTTGTGCCAGCAGCTAATATTCAGTTTACAGAGCGTGACTTAAATGGGGCTTTTCACAGCCATTTGCCTAAGTTTAAAATAAGATATTCCCTCTCGTTACCTTTTGCACCGCCTTCCGAAGAATATCTTTGTATTCCTCCTTAGTGATTTCCCTCTTCTGGTAAAAGGGCTTAATTGCAAGTTTCACTTCTTCCACAGCCCTCTCTTGCATGTGAAGTTTCTTCATGTACTATAAAGGACAAAAAAAATCAGTTAACCAAAAAGCTGCCGCAAGTAGGGTTTTCAAACTAAGTTATCAGAGCAGTGGTTTTTAAATTACAGGAGGAAGATATGCTGCTTCCCCTGTGGCAGTCCTAGTTGTGATGAAATGGGGGGTGGGGATCAAGTGGGATATGCAGACATTGTATTATTTCAGGTCTCCTCAGGAAGTACAATAGGTTCAGGGAAAGCTTATTAATGAACCGCACTGTTAATTTACTAAATGCCTTGCTACAAATTACAGTGACTGTGAATAGCTTAGACCAGGTATCTTCAACCTTTTCAAATCCAGAACCCACTTTTAACCGAAACAATACATTTGGGGACCAATTTCTTGATGTTCATAGTGCTCCTGTTGCAACCCACCTAGGATCCGGCTAGGACCCACTAGCTGAACCAGTGTCTTAGGTGTATCTAAAAAGCATCAGACACATTCATAAAGGACAGGTCTATCAACAAAATAGTTTAATGATTCACCAAAATAGTTAAATGCTCAGTGGTGATTTACTTCTAGCAACCAAGGGTTGGGGATAGCTCTCTCTGTGAAGCATCTGTTGACTGTTCTGAAAGACTAGACGGTCTGATGCAGCAGGAGAATTCTTAGATTTTATGGGAGAGATCCTATGCAGTTTGAGAGTTGATGTTGTGCAAGCAGTAGCACAAGAGGTAGTAAACAAAGCTTAAATGTCACCAAGTAGAATAGTAGTTGCACTAAGACAGGCACTGGACTTGGCTGTTGTGCTGTGCTAAGAATGGGGCTCCCACGAGCGCAATGGCTGTTGTGCGAGTGTGCTGCTCCATTTGGGTTTTGCCCATGAGTTCAACTTCATCATCTTAGCGAGCCATCTACCTCCACTCACCTCCTCATTTTTTGATTTATCCACAGGGGACTTAGGTGCTTTGACTTTCTCCTCTGTATCTCCTGTGGAAGCTGCCTGAATTCCTGGTTCTGAAGCTGTTGCCAGATTGCCAGGCTCCGGAGTCAATCCTTGTCCCGCCACACAGCTAAGCAGAGGGAGACTCCCCTGCATGATGAACTGGACGGTGGGCTGACTAACAGGCGCATAGGGGGGCAGACTCGAGGGCAGTGGTGCTGTCAGAGGCAGGTTTTGGTTGTAAACCTGAAAAGAAAAGAAAAGGATCACAGACCACTTCTCATATCACAACATGTTCTCTACTTCTGAATGCCACTGAATACCAGTTGCCAGGAATCACAGGCGAGGACAATACTGGTGGGGCAGGTCCTGTTTTTAGGCTTCCCTGGCTGGCTACCGGGAGAAAAGGATGCTGTACTCACTGGAACACTGGCCTGATCCATCAGACTATTCGTATGTTCTGAACAAATGAGGGTGGGGATATGATCCATAGGGATTACAAGAACAGCTTTCATTTAAAGGGACACGTATACTACTTTCTGCTTATTCTAAAAGGGAAAAGTTTGTTTTAAATTGTTGTAACCTATCCTGGGATCTTAGGGGGAAAGGAGGGTAATATATTAAGATAATACTGGGCTCACATCAGCCCCACTGGTGAGCAGTGGGTGGTATTCAATAAGCATTTTTGTATGCAGTCTAATAGCTGATTTTAAGATGTCTAACCCCCCCCCCACACACATATTTAATAAGCTATTGGAAATTAGAAGTAACAAGCCCATTGCAAAGCAGCAGGACACAGTTTCAAAGTCAGATAAATTATTGCAGTACATGGGCTGAATGAAATGTACTACATGTGGGTGGGGGGGGGGGAGGAAGAAGACTGTTCCACAATGAAGTCAAGTTGGGGGCACAAGTTTACAGATGGAGTGGAATGGCCTCCCATGACACTTGTCTTAAGGCGTGGGAACCAACCTGGGAGGAATCTAGATCAGGAAACATAGGCTCAGGAATCATATAATTGGTTGGAGGAGGCTCAGTTAACTGCACCTGATTTAATGTCTGGGTCAAATCCTCTGCTTTCCAGACCCCTTCTTTCGTTCTCTGCTGTTTGCAGAATGGCACCCCTGAAAGATCCCCAGGAAGAAAAGCATATCAGAACAAAACATCTAGATGATCACAGCAAATAAAAACACTTCAAGTTATCAAACTTCATGACAACCTCAGAAGAATTCAGTACAGATGGTTTAACAAGCTTCCCCAACTTCTTAAAATGAGATTTTAGTCTGCAAGCACAAACACATCTCTAAGTTCCTAGAAATACCTAGCAAAGCTGAATTCATAGCTTAAAGCTCATTAAAAGTGGCACAGACATTTAGTTTATGAACTGTGATCCAGGATGAGGGTGGAAGAGTTATGCTTGTTTATGAGTTAGTTATGTTTTTATGATGCACATACCCATGTTATACTCTTCAAACTACACATGTAACAAGTGTAACAGGAGGAATCAAGTCTCTCTTTAAATAACTCTAGCTGTTTTGGAAAGTTTTAAAGAATTCCTTGCAGTACTAAACACTGCTTAAGCACGCATGCATATATGCTAGAGAGAACTCCATGGCTTACTTAACAAAAACAAGCATTGTCTGCTATTACATCAGAAATGGAAAACCATAGTTTAAGCTTCCTCTCCAAACCAAGAAAAAAAAATCTTGCTTTGGAATTCTGCTTTCTGGGAAAAAGAAAACCAGTTTGCCAGGTTAGAGGTAATGGCAAACTGGATTGCCACCAAGAAAAGGCAATGTCAGAGGACATGAAGCAAGGAGAACGCATGCAAGGTGAATACTCACTAACGTAAGTGCCAAACTACAGCGAAACTGCACCCCTTATTTTTAACATAACCTGAGGCCCCCATTTAGTGGGACCAATCCAACCTTGAACCATGACAAACAACTACATTCCGTCTCACTTCTAATGAGAAAAGCAGCTCCTATCCCCATAGCATCGACTTTTGCCATTTTGAAGATTTACCATGCACTTACTTGCTGCTTTGTCTGCAGTCACTGCATCACTTTCTTCCTCTTGAAGATTCCACGTAACTCTTTTCACTGGTGCTTTAGATTTCAACACAGGACCTTGAGCTACTGCTTCCGGTTCATGTTTATTTACATCAGTGGCATTCTCACCCAATGTAAGGCCCCCACCTTTAGTCTCTGTTGGCGTTTTGATTTCAGGCAAAACTTTAATTGGCATTGGCTCATCATGCTCCTGTACAAGTTCCTCTTTCACTGGAAGACAGTCTGATAAAAATGGGCACACATCATCAATATCTTCGTTTCTAAGTTCAGTTTCTTCCAGTTGCTCACTACTTTGGCTAGCAAGTCCTGGTGACTCGTAGCCTGCTGCCAATTCCTTCCCAGTGGAAGAATCTATAGTGTCAGGTAGCACTCCGGAACTTGCACACTCTGCCTGAGAAGTTATTACAGTTACAAGTTTCTTGCAGATTTGCTCCTTTACAATGGTCTCTTCTAAATCAACTTTCATTGCTATCTCTTTTGGAGGGCTCTCCTGTACAGGCATCAGGTCTAGATAAACATTCAATGATTCTTGTGTTGAATCTTCCAAGTCTTGGGTCCAAGGAGGAGCATGATCAAGAGAACTGCCCAGGTTATCATCTGAGGATTTCTGGCCTTTCTGGTCCTTCTCTTGAAGAGGTAGCAGTGGCATCTCTTTCGGCTTATGTTTCCTTTCTTTGGAGCATGACCTAGGTTGCAGTTGTTTCTCCCTAGACTTAGGCCCTTTGGACTCCCGGGGTCTTGATGGCGAGGATGACCTTGATCTCCTCTTTCGCTTCTCCCGGGATCTAGATCTAGATCTCTTTCTCTCTCGGGACCTTGAGGTTCTCTCCTTCTTGTACCTGTCATGGCTTCGCTCTCTTCTGTGCTTCTTTTTCTTCATTCTCTCAGCACTGTTTGATGGGGAACATTCCCTCCCCCTTCCTCTAGTGGCAGAGTGCTTTTTCTTTTTCCGACTTTCATACAACTCAAAAGAAGAGTTGCCTGGACTACCAGATCGTGATCTAGATCTCTTGTGTTCTTTTGCCCAGGAGCTTTTTGCCCTTTTGTCTTTCGTCTTATCCTTTGCTTTCTTTTTCTTCAATCGCTCATAACTACTGGAGCGGTCACTTGAGGAATGCCGAGTCTTTGATTTAGTCCTGTGGCTTTTGCTGTATTTTTCTTCAATGGAGCGAGAAGTAGATCTGGAGCTTCTATCTCTTGAACACGTTCTTGATCTAGATCTTGATCGTGTGCTTTTGTAGTCTTTTGTAGCTGCCTTTTTTCTTTTTAATGTGTTCTGGCTTCGAGAACTGGAATTTGATGGGGATCTTGAAAAAGATCGCTTTTCTGTTTGCTCATTTTTGGGTAATATCTGTAGACTGTTTTCTCTTACGGAACTGTCCGCCTCAATTTTCGTTCTAGCCTTACCTAGGTCATCTTCAAAAACTACCCTAGGACCATTCTCATCCTCCTCATTTAAGTGCTCTACATCTGTGACTTGCTTGATGGCAGAGGATGTACAGGGTAGACTTGACAATTCCTCCTCCTCAGCTTTCTCTTGTTCTGCATCAGATACCTGCTCCACAAGCCTCTCCTTTATCATATCGTCATGAGACTCTGTGTTACTTGATGGCACATCTGATGATTCGGCCCCTGATCCAAATACATTTTCCAGTGTGTAAGGGGTAATGCGGCGCACTGTTTGGAATGTCTGGACTTTTGGACTCGCTATGGATATTGTTCTGGTGATATTAGCAAGGGGCAATCTTTCCGGACTGCTATTTGTTGAGCTTGAATCAGAGCCTGTTGGATCAAAAGGATCATATATTTCACTTTTGACTGGTTTAGTCTTTTTCAGCGAAAAGAGGGGCGACGGATTCTCCTTTTGCTGTACTTTATTGTCCACAGGCCGGAAAGTATTGCAAAACCCAGGATTAGACAGTCTGCTGGAATGTCCCACATTTCCAGGGATGTTGATTTTAAAGCTCTCAAATGATGAGCTTCCAACGTTCCCCCTTGAAGGAGGAAAGGTGCAACTGGCATGGGCAGCAGCAGAGCCTCCACTTGTGTGCGCTTGTCTCTGAGGAGCATGCGACTTGCCGCTCTCCATTTTACTATCACCAGCTGGTTGGTTTGTACTCCCTTTGCCAGTCAACTGTGTTACACAGGAGCTGGGAATACCACTGTTTCGGTCACTGGCCGGCTGCAATCCCAAATGTCCACTAGTCGATTCCTTTTTAATCTTTGGTATCCTGGGGAGTTCAGAGATATCAAGCCTTTTAGGGGACAATTTCAGAGGCTGCCGCACAGGTACGGGTTTTGAGAGTGAACTCGAGTTATTGGACAATAATTTAGAAGATACAGAAAGAGGAGCCCCAGGCAGTTTAGAGCCTCCATTAAATCTGAATACTTCACCCAGTTTGGGGCCACATCTATTCAGATTTGCTAAACTCTGAGCCTGAACAGACCTTGGAGTCATTGAGTATTCAAATCTAATGGGAGCCCTTCCAGATGTAATCTGCAATGGATTCACTGCTTTGTTTGCTAGGCTTAGTGAAGAAGAGGACAAGGCGCAAGTATTTGAGACAGCAGATTTGGAGTTCAAATTCAGTTGTGAAGAAACCAAAGATTCAGCAGCAGAGCCGCCACTAACTGGAGTCCCCAGTTGGGAAGCCCCCTGCTGGGCACTGTCCTCCAAGCCTTCCTCCACTCTTGAATTGCTTGCTGAATTGTCATGCAGCAATGAGACTGAAAGAGACACGAGAAAAACCCATGAAAGTTTTCCCACTCATTTGCTTGTACTATTCTATACCGACAATAACATCCCATAATTTTAATATGAAGTTAACACGGGACAACAGAATTGGGGTTTTAGCAACTAATTAACACCATGCAAGTGAACTGTCAGCTGTGCCTGCTAGCACAACTTCCAGTATGACAGTAAGTTACACCTCCAAGTGTCAACACTTAAAAAATAAAAGGGTTGGTCATTGCACCCTAAGCTCTCTCATATTAATTCCGTATAACCTCTGATCACTTACATATATTGCTTACCAAATCAAATGTGGGCAATCAATTGGTCTATTTTATGAAATTCAGATTAATGTGATACATTCTAGAAAGCACAACAGCAGTACAATGTCAATAGTCCTATACTGTTCTCTTCTATTGCTATGCTTTGACAAATAAACAAAATACTGATATGTACTGATTTTGTAGCTCAGTTGGTTAGAGTGTGCTGCTGATAATGCAAAGGTTGCAGGTTCGATCACCGTAAGGGACAGTTGCATATTCCTGTAGTGCAGGAGGTTGGACTAGATAATCCTCAGGGTCCCTTCCAACTCTATGATTCTATGATCCTCTATGAATAACTCTGGCTACCAATTCAAGACATACTATTACAGGCTGCAACATGGCATTTGCTTGCCTGCTGTTTGCAAGGATTAGAAAGTGCTTGTGTGCATAACATGCTAACAAACTTCAGATCAGTCTAACTAAGCATTACCTGCTTTCTTTGCTGTCAACGATCCATCTCTATTAATGACGACATCAGAACCACTCATCATAAGGAGGCTCTGTCCAGTCAGGATGCTCCCCAACAGGTCGGGCACAGGGGCTGGACCAGCTTCTGGCTCAGGTGTCAAGGCAGGAACACTCCTCCTATAAATTACACAAGGCATGCCTTCTGATTTCACACTATACAGAACTATACTGGTTACATCATAATGAACAAAGGATCTTTGACATCCTATTAATATAGGTTTGAGACTGTAGCACATCTCCACAAACCTGAGGCAGCTACATAGGTTAAAGATGAGCCATCCCCAACCAGTCCTATTGCTACCAGTGTTTTCAGAAGAAACAGCCTACCTTGAGTTGATGGCATACAAAATAACTATAGCTAGTGGGATAAGAAAATAAATGGTCAAGTATTATTTTCTTTATAGAGGGCTGAAAATACTATGAAAAGCCTTGTATTGGGGGTGGGGGTGGGGCGGAAATCCGGTAATATGCAGAGTTGTCTGTACTCCACAATCCAATGCAAGTGTAGAAAACCTGCAGAATCTCATTCTCATTTCATTTAATGTTTGCATCCACTTTTCCTTCCAAAAATGAAGCCTGAAAAAGCTAATATAATGAAACACATATAATGTGGAAACCAAAGCAATATAAAAAATGCTGCAATAATTGTTTTCAATCCAATACTTGTCCACAGCTGGATAAGCTATGTGAACATTTACCAAGACCAGGGAGGGGGTGGGTGTTCCAACTGGTATTTCTGAAACCCAGAACCTTCAGATAACACAACATTTGTAGTACCATCTTGGCTTTCTGCCTACTACACACTTATAACCTTCTCTAAGTCTGAGACAGCAAGAAAGAACATGGAGCACAATCCAGTCATAAGTTGAGCACTTGTTGATTTCAACTGGAGAACGGAACGTGTGCTTAAGAGTGCAATCCTCTGCAAATCTACTCAGAAGTAAGGCCGACTGAGTTCAATGGCATTTGCTCTCAGGTTAAGAGCATATAGAAATGGAGCCTAAATCTGCCCCCCCCCAAAACCCAATGGCCTTAAAATGTTTTAGTCTGGCCCATCCATACCAGTGGGCAGCTGCAGTTTTGTTTTGTTTTTAATCATTTTGGTCCTGTGCACTGTGTATAAGCAGCCTGCTCAGCCTGTGTAAGTCTTTTGCAGCAGCAGCGTTTCTTTGCTTTGCTGCAGCCTAACAGATTCTTCCTGCTGCTCTTGAAGCAGTTGCTTTCTTTTTTAAAAAAGCAAATTATAACAGCTTTCAATTATCCAAATGAACACAATAAAAACACCCCACCTCACCCACATTTTTATTTAAAGAGATACGAGTAGCAAAGAAATACAGGAAAAAAACTCAGTGTATAGAACAAACTTCATTAGTGAAACAACTCAGCCGACCTCTGCCAAATAAAAGGTGAGTTTTATTCACATCTCTGCTTTGATACTGTGAGCCTGAGCTTTCCGCCTGCCTACTGCAAAACACGGGAGTTACAAAAGAACCCCCAGTATTTTAGGTATCAGTGTCTTTGCACCCAAGAAGCTCACTAAACTCAACCATCTCATTAGAAGGTGCCCCAAAATTACAAAATGGGACTCCAAACCAGAAGACTGGAGGAAAACAATGCAGACATTCCATAAAAAAAGAAGTGAGACAAATAAGATGCTCCACTGATGTTTTGAAATGGCTCCAAAACATGTACCTCTTGTGGATTCCTAGATCCATAACTCCTTCTGCTTAGCCAAGGCCACATCTGAGAGAAAAGCTAGCTGCCTCTACACTCAACCTGCTTGCAGCTGAGCTAACAGGCTTCACACCTATTGCAGAACCATTAACTCTGCCTGCAACTCCACACATACTAATCCTACAAACACTTACTCTCAAATAACACCAATGTTACAGAATAAGCAGAAGGACTTCTAGTCACTCTTGCTTTTCACAGTAAGCATTCTATACATCACACTTCCCTCCCATTGTTTTAAAATCAAGGGCATTGTGCAATTGTCAAGAATGTGGAGAGCTAAGAAATACTGATCTAAAATATATGGAGTCACTATATATCATGCATTTAAAATGTGGCAAAGCAGTGTAACTATACCAAGTGTTGCCTACATAACATGGAAATACGCCCACTGCTATAAGCCAAGCAGGTATAACCAGATCTGGCTGCAATTGTTCATGCTTTAGAATGCACACTGACCATTCTTTCACCTTTGGTGGACATGCCCAAGGATTAAGACATTCTGGGAGATGATTTATAATGAAATGAAAAAGGTATTTAAATATACCTTCCTGAAGAAACCAGAGGCCTTTCTCCTGGGCATGGTCGGCCAATTGGTGTTAAAGAAGGATAGAACCTTTTTTATGTATGCAACAACAGCAGCAAGAATACTCATCGCGAAGTATTGGAAGACACAAGATTTGCCCACCCGGGAAGAATGGCAGATGAAGTTGATGGACTACATGGAACTGGCGGAAATGACTGGCAGAATCCGAGACCAGGGAGAAGAGTCGGTGGAAGAAGATTGGAAAAAGTTTAAAGACTATCTACAGAAATATTGTAAAATTAATGAATGTTAGGAAAATGTTGGAATGAAGTTATATGGCTTTAGTAGAAATATTATAAGGAATTAAGTACAGATAGGTTAATAGAGCATTAAAGGAAAAAATAAGGTTAGAATGAGTTAAGATAATTATAGGATAGAAAACAGAGGAAGATGGAAAGGAATTGCTGAAATAATTAACAGAAGTGGAATACAAAAAGGGAGGTGTGAGGAGGTCGTGGAAATAAGTGAATGAAAGATGGGATAATGAAATTGTTTGATTTATTTTATTGTCTTTGTCTTGTTTTGTTAATTTGATGTGTTGTATTTTTTTTTTCTTTTTAGTGTTTAAGTTTTTGGAAAAATAATAAATATTATTAAAAAATAATAATAGAATGCACACTGACCTGGGAGGAAGGCCTACTGAACTCAGTGAGGCTTACTTATGCGTAAGTTGCATAGGAATTCACAACTGGTCACCTCCAGGTTGGCTTACTGTAATGTGCTTTTTAATGAGGCTGCTTTTGAAGACAGTTCAGACACTTCAGTTTGTCCAGAATACTGTTGCTAGGATGCTGGATGATGCAAGCCAACTGGAGCATACCACTTGCACCTTACACTTTCTGCACTGGTTATCAATTCATTAGGATATTTATAAACCACTAAAGATCCCCGCACCACAATAACAATATAAAATAAAAACTAAATAGGTAAGAACAAATAAAGCAGTTCTAAACAACAACAAAAGACTGCCTTCTGGAAAAGCCTGTGATTTTTTAAAAAAAGGTTTTTTTAAAGGTTTTAAAAAGGAGTTGTATGCATTTCAACTGCAATGGGCAGCATGCTGCACAGGGCAGCTGCTACTGCATTGAAAGATTTAAGTCTAAGCTGACATGAAACCAAGTTCTGATGCATGAGGTTCTACTATGTGGGCACCCATAGACAGTGCTTTTTCTTTTTTTAAGGAAAAAAATGGTGCTGGGACTAAGTTGTTACAGTAAGTGCTGCACTTTTTAACATTTTTTTTATGGGGGGCGGTTAAGGTGCCAGTACTGTGTATCCTTGAGTCTCCCCAGAAATAAAGCACTGCCCATAGATCACCTTAGTCAACAGACAGGTATATAGGGAAGTAAGGCAATCCCTCACTTATCAGTTGTTGGCTTTTGACCTTGAAAGCTCTAAACAAGTTCAAATCATTGTACCTGAAGAATCACTGCTGCCCATATGAATTTTCTAGTAGATCATCTACTGAAGCCCTGCCCTCAACTCTTCTGTCAGGGAGGGGTTTTCTGGGATAGTGCCAAGAATATACAATGCCCTGCCAAAGGAAATATGCCCAGCCTATTACTGCTTTTCAATGAGTAGTGGAGGCATATTGTCCAGCAAGATTTTTTAGGCCCACTTTAAAAAAAAAATTCTGACTGTTTTCAATGGAGTTTTTTATTGTTTACTTTTAAAATCGATGATAGCTATACTGTTTAATATATTGCTTCAAATTCTGTTGTGGTGTTGCCACCATGATCACTTCTTAGAAAGGCAAGATAGATACACAGTACTGAAATAAATAAAAAATATTAATATATTAAGTGTCCAAACTGGAATGGCCATAGCATCAGACATACATCTAAAATACGCTTTTGGTGTTCCCCAGGAGCCTTATCCTGAATACACACACACAAACACCCCTTAAGCTAAGTGCTCTGAAAAGTCCAAACTGCTGCAACAAGCTACTTCCCATTTTGGAACTCCAATTTGCCTTACCTGTAATAACTCACCTGGAACTTGCCTTCTTTGGAAGCAAACATTTGGCTGCATTCCTGCTCTTTTGTAGATTCTCCCCTAATTCTCAATGAGCTTTGGCCCTCTTTGGCTCTAGAAAGAACATCTCAGTGATTTCGGCTTACGCTTTGGCTCCTAATAAAAAGGAAGCAGAAAGCTCCCTAAACCTTAAAGCATTTTTAAAAAATTTGACAGGCATGGATCCACAAGACAGAAGCTTCAGTTTTGGTAGTCTCTCGGGGAGAGGAGCAGGAATCCAGTCAAATGACCCTGTTCAAATCTGAAGTAAGGAAAATGATTCTTTTTCCTCTGAGAAAACTTAGTACGCAAACCTTGAGCTATCTCTCGGCCTAACCTTCCTCACAGGGTCACTGAGATAATAAAATGGGGCCAGGGAGAGAACCACTAAGCAACTTGGTGGTAATGAATTAATAACAAAACTAACAAAAGCGAAAAGAAATGAAACTGCTTTACATAACTGTCTCAAAAGAGCCCATAGAATTTGTGAATCATGAAATATGTCATCCATACACCCCTTCTGATGCAGTGAACAGACCCCTACCCATCATTTATATCGTGAACCAAAACAGACATGTGAACACAAGACAAAACAAAACAGCTGCTTCTTATCATGTTTAGTTGTAGTCTGAGTCTTCAACCTCAGGGACAAAGCCAGGCACCAAGTTCCCATGATGCCGCCTCCCTCACTTCCTCAAAATCCCTCCTCAAAATCCACCTTTTCCAAACCCCATTCCTCAAGTCTCCATTCCCTATTGTAACTGAGCCCAATTGCATATTCTTCCCCTCTGTACCCCCTGCCTCCATCAACCCCCTTGTACCATTTTCTAGCACAACAAACTGTAAGCCCTTTGGGGCAGGGATTGGTTCCCTCATTCTTTCTAATGCACCATGTAAATTTGATATTCTTAAAGCAACAACCACAACCTCAAACATCTTTTTCAATGTGATAAAGCAGGGCTGTGATAACCTCTACCCAATGCCAAAGAAAACCCTCCAGATTACCCATGTTGAAAATCCCCTAATATTTGTCCTATTCCGTTTGTTGTCTTCCCCTTTTTCCGCTTACTCACACATTTACTCCTCCTTGCTTGGCAAATTTCCCAGTCGCCCACCCTTTCCCTCCAGTTTGTTTAGGGCTCTCCGCTCCCAACTGCAAGAGAACCTCCCAGCTCCAACATTCCACCTCATGCCCCAGTTAAAGGGAAACTGCCTCAAAACGCTCTACCAGCCGGCAGACGCCTGATCTGAACTGGACATTGGGCATCCTTGAACAAAACAGACCCAAACAGGGTTCCCAGGTACTCAGCACTGTAGGAAGCAATGTTAGCATGCCAAGGATCAGTAGCCCAGGACTGCATGAACCTGGCAGCCTAAGGGCTGCTTTAGAAACACATTGTTGAACATGTGGAACACTGCATTGGTAAGCTTGCTGGGTGTTGTTTTTTTTTTTTTAGCATGCTTCCAAAATGAAGCCTGAATAAGCAGGGAATGGGGATAAGCATGCAGTAAGGTATTCTTTGCACAGGAGGCAAGCTCAATGGAGAGCCTCTCTCTTTAGCCCTCTCTCGTGACGGAAGCAGCAGGGATGTCTCACTTGAATAAATGACAGCAAGAGACTCCACCCACAAGCAAATATTTCCTTCTCCACCACTACAAAAAAAATCAGGGTGAGCTAACAGTCTAAAGAAGGAATATGGATGTGCTATGTGTGAAGAAACTATTGGGCAGACGGTGCTTGTCCCTTTCCCACTCTCAGCTTCCTCCCTCATATGTGATGATAATTTGATCTCAGGAATATGCTTGCTTAGGATTTCATGGTGGCCAGCAGAGATCTCCCGCTCCCCTAATTAGAGAATTTTCAACTAATTTTAGGGATCTTTCACAAACTTTCCTAGGAATTCCAGAGTCTTGAGTGACATTTGTATCAAATGCTTCCCTTCCACCTGTCTGGTGGAATGAGAGAATCAAACTAGTGAGAATGAGTATATGAGTGTGTTTGAGTGAGAGTGTGTGTGTGTGTGTGTGTGTGTGTGTGAGAGAGAGAGAGAGAGAGAGAGAGAGAGAGAGAGAATATTTAGAGTTACATGGTTGCTATTTATAATTGCTCACTGAGAGTCATCACCTTAGTAATTTTAGGAATAGCGACCTATTCAGCAAACTGAGAACTGAAAGGAAAAGATTGTAGCTTCTTCAAGCCAACTACAGCTAAGCCAGGATTTGAACTGTCTTTCTATCTGTCATGGATGCTTTAGCAGAGATTCCTGCATTGCAGGGGTTTGGACTAGATGACCCTTAGGACCCCTTCCAACTCTACAATCCTATGATTCTCCACATATACACATACGACACACACTATGCTATAGTCTGTAGCACTGAGCATGAATTCATGAAGACTGCAAAAAGGGTTTGAGGTTTCAACGCAGTGCGAAAAACAGGAGAGAGCACAAACTAGAAGAGAACTTTGTGCACCTCCCTTCTCTTGCTGCTGCTTTGTATCATAGAGCATCATGTGGCTGGCCTTACCCGGGAAGCCCCATAGCGACTGGTCGAGCGACAGGACGATGGGATCTTAGTGCTGATTGAGAAAGGCCTCTTCTTTTGTTGCTCACAGGTGAGGCTGAATTTACAGGAAGCTCTTCATTACTAGGAGAGAGAAAATTTTGAAGATCACAACCAACTTCCATCTTATCTGAGCTTTGCCTATTTTCTTAAATGAAATATTCAAACTGAGAAGATCAAATTCTGTCTTCTGATATACTATAGAAGTTTCTGAAATAGCAGGGAAGCAAATAGGTTAAGGAACATATAGAGTAGGCACACTTAAAAGATTAGCTTCAAACTGAATAAGCTTTATAATCTAATTTGGATTTAGCCCCATTTTTCTTCTTTCCTGCCTATCACAGATAAAGTCTCCATGCATTTCTGAACTGCAGTTCTTTGTTTTCTTCTCATTTGTCATATTTCATACCTGTTATAAGGATCCAGTTCAAAAGGATCTCCAAACACAGAGAGAGAGGCTGCTCCAATATCTGCTCTCATAAGGCCAAGAGAGGGTTCCATTGGTTTGTACATGGAAGGGATTGAAATGCCATGTACAGGCTTGCCAAGACGAAGGGTTTTTGCAATCCGGGAACGAGAAGTCAGCTCAGTTTTCACCTGGGTAGAAGGAGAGCAGGTTAACTTTATGCTCAGAACAGGATTCCCACCAAACACTATGAAAATAGAAAACATGACTATGTATCACAGAAATATGAGGGGTTGCATTCTCTACTCTGCAACCCTCTTAAAGGGGATCATAGAAAGTAAGTGAAAACCTTGGCCAGTAGGCCTGGAGACTGTCTGAGTATATGAAATAAAGTAATAATTAGTCCTAAATAAATAATGCTGTATTACAAGAAAATTGTAACAATGCTCTATTACAAGAAAAGCATAAACAATAGAAAAACTTCTGCATTGGTGAAAAATCCAGGAACATACTTTTATTTTTTTTCCCTTCCTCCGCCTTGCTCGGCGTTTGCGTCTCTTAATCCAAGTTCCAGCGCTCTTTTTTCCAGCAGATGACTTGGTATGAGGTTTTTTACCTGCTGATTTCTTTCTCCTCCCTGTATTAGAAGAAGAAGAGAAGAAGAGTTTGGATTTGATATCCCGCTTTATCACTACCCTAAGGAGTCTCAAAGCAGCTAACATTCTCCTTTCCCTTCCTCCCCCACAACAAACACTCTGTGAGGTGAGTGGGGCTGAGAGACTTCGGAGAAGTGTGACTGGCCCAAGGTCACCCAGCAGCTGCATGTGGAGGAGTGGAGACGCGAACCCAGTTCACCAGATTACAAGTCCACTGCTCTTAACCACTACACCATGCTGGCTATATTAGGTAAAATATAGAAAGATTTTGGAGCTGGAGATCAGCAAATACAGCCTATAACCTGAATCAACTTCTGTAATCTGCATGCTAAATACAATGCATTCTCAAAAGGAAAAGCAGCGCGTGTCAGAAACATCACAGCCTAAATTTAAAGAGAGAGAATAAATGAGGATTATTACAGAGGTGTTCACTCTCTGTTGACCTCTCATTTCCTGTGGCTTCAACAAACTGGGATTAATTCAGATGACCCTGCCGACACTGGTCAGGTTCATGTGTCATGGAAAGCCATAGTCTAAAACAAACTAGTATTTATCGCGAATAAGCAACATGATTGTGCCCTCTGCTAATTTGCACCTGCTTTGCACCACCTTTTTTCTCAAGCTGGGAAAAACAAGCCACCACACTTGGCTTAGGTTACACAAGAACCAGTGCTTGTGGTTTCTCTCCGACCAAACCACGAGCAGAAGTCAAGGTTTGTTCTTGGCCTACAGCATATTTAGAGGGTCACCAACCACAAGCACTGGTTTCACATATAAAACTAGGTCAGCCACTCTGTGGTTGTTTCCTATCTCTATGTGGGGTGAAGGGAAGCAGGCACAACCAAGCAGCATGCATCAGCACACTGCTCACTCACAGTAAACCATAGTTTATTTCAGACTATGGTTTGCTCTTATGTGTGAACAAAGCCACTGTAAAGCCACCAGAGGTTACAGACCATATGAAACTAATGGCTGGTCACTTGAATGCCTGGAGCATGTATGGTGCAAGACCCTCCAACCCTGGCTCATCCGAGGGTCCATAAAGTGGCTAGTTACCTCACCAAAAGAAAATCTGTAAGGCACTTTATGTCAAAACAAACACCTGAATCAATCCACCAGGTTCAAGTGCAGCTGCCATCTGAATATTCATTAATATCCCACACACTTGGTAGCGGTTTTGTTTTTCCCTAGAGTTATTGACAGCTACATAGGGCCTGCTGCACCCACATGAACCAGGCCATACACTTCAATCTTCAGAGAAGGCTCTGCTGCGTGTTCTGCCTTTCTTAGCTGCCTGCTGGTTTTATTGGTGCTGCTCATATTCTGGGCCTTTTGATTGTTGTTTTACGCTTGTCTATTTTGTTTAGCTGCCATGGAGGCTTCACTGTGGAGGCTAAAAGGAGGCACAGAAACAGTTTACCAATAAATAAATGAAATCCACCGACAGCTTGAGTATTGAAACAGTTAGTGATGTCATACTGGGGGAGGGCAGGGAGACAACGGTTCAAATCCACTGTGAGCCATGAAGCACACATGGTGATTCCTGTGCCTATCATACAGCTTCACCCTAACCTACCTCACAGAATTATTTTAAGATGAAAGGGTGGAAAGAGAGCTGTGTAAGCCTCATAAAAAATTAACTAAGAACTATCACCACCATTCTTAGCAAATTACCTCCTCTTCGTTTTTTCTTGGTTGTAGTTCGAGGAGCCAGTGGTCTCTGATACACGGCTGTGCTCAGCCCTGCTGCGACTGCATCAATGGTTTCATCAAGAAGGGAAGACATAAGGTATCTTGGTACATGCTAAAAATCAAGATGGGAAATCACAATTGTTGATTTACTACAAAATTAAGGAAGTAGAAAAGCCGCCCCCGCCCCCCCCCCAAGCCCAGATTTCTTCCTAAATCAAACTGTCTCTTTGCTACAATTAGGAGCTTTCTCCACTCAAAATCCTCCCCTCAGAATGTGCAGTACCTGAATTCGCTGTGCAGTTGTTATGCGATTCCTGTTCACTGTTGCCCGCACACGCTCACTCTGACGTGTTCTGGCTATAGCTCGAGTTCGGACACTGGGACGTAGTCGACTGGTGGTAGGGACGACATCAGCTATGAGGGAAGCAACTTCCTCTTCACTCACATGATCTGTTTCTTAAAACAAGATCAGTTGTCAGCTGTGTTTCAACCAGCACCTGAACACCTTTCTAGAGACCTAAATCCAGGCATTCTGCTAAGCCTCCAGAACAAAACTGGCAAGGGTTCTGGAAAAAAAGAAAGCTCCTTAAATCCCTTTGCTTTAGAATTCCCCATGGACAGTGCAATGTTTTCCCTTCCAAGGCAACTACCAGATCCAAACACCAGTTTAGATAAAGAGATGGTTATGGAGCAATTTACTGTTCACTGATGCCAATGCAATGGTGTGGCTGACTCTAGGTGTAGCAGGCTTGTACAATGGACATCAACATTAGCTGAAGAAGTAGTGAGATAAAAACGTTGTTTTGTTACCAGTTTTTAACACTGAATGAGTTTTCCTTCAATTATAGCAATATTGATTGGTTTATATGGGGAAATCCTATCTCAATAAAAGTCATGTTGCATAAGCTGTGGGAAAGTCCTGTTTTCTTGAAGAACAGCTCTCTACAATGCAAAGCTAAGCTACTAAAGAAAATACTTGCCAGCATCAACAGATACAGCGTTTGCTGGTGCACATGGTGGGCAGAACCATTCATCGACAGGTATTTCACTCAACGGAGGATTAAGGCATTCCATGTGGTATCTTTTAAAAAGAAAGAAAGTGTAACATGTTCTTACAGAGCAAGAGGGTGCAAAGCATGTAATATGTAACTGGCCAGACAAACATCTTTTTTTTCACTAAGATGATACATGCAGGAGCTTCCTAACAACAGTAGCGCAGGCACTTGTAGAGACATACATAATTCTTTTGAGTGCAAAGGAAGTTCTGCAACTCTTTGAAACCTCCTCATCTCACAAGCCTGGCTGCTTATACAAATCTTCAATCATAGCATGGCTCCAAGTACCTCATGGTTCTAGAATAGCACAGCATAGGGCATACATTATGATTGCTCCTATGGAGGTATCTCCCAAACAAGGCCAACTTGTGCCCTATGTTGTATTCATTGACCTTCTTCTATCCTCTTCTTATAGGCTTTGAGCGGTTCCTTCATCTAGGCACATTAAGGACCACCTCCCACTTAGCTTTAAGTAATGGGCACCTAAATAAAAAAAATCCCTAGAGAAAACAAAGCAGGTTTTCTTTTGAGCCTACAATAACAAAATTTCATTTTTCTTTTATAGCACGTAAATATCTGGTGGCTGTTTTCACACCTTAAATTGTTTTATAATTTATTATTCCACACTCTGTTTTTATGGTATAAGCTACCTTATCTCAGTGCTGAAGGGGGAAAAACCCTACATTTTCAAGTTCTGCCTAAGAAAAATGAAGATCTTCTAGCAACAATGATTTGCTAGCATTCCCCCTTGCAAGAAGAAAAAAGGCAGCATACTCATCAAACATGTCAACCTAGCAGGGTAGAGGGGGTGGTGAGAAGAAGAAATTATGCTATATATTTTTGTCTTTTTATATTGTGAACTGCCCTGTGATCTTCAGATGAAGAGTGGTATAGAAAATTAATAACATAAAATACAGGCAGCATAAAAGAGAAAGAAGCATCTACAGGCCTAATATAGCGTGAAAGCATGAGGCAAAAGTAGCATACCCAAGGAGGGTTTTTAAAGGCAGAACTCCTTACCCATGATCACAGCCATCGCACAGCAACAGGCGATCTTCTCGGTCGCTTCGGCCACACACTTCACAAAAGGTAGGGTCCTCCTCCAGATTATCCTCCTCAGATTTTGCATTCTCAACAGGAATCTGAGCAAAGTAGCACATTTTTAGGAAGTTTTACACTATCATGTTAATAGCTACACTAAGCATAGCCACTATTGCAAACTCAATAGTGTTTGCACCTGGCCAAGCACCAGTCAACTTCATTATCCGCTTTTGTGCAATGGGGCACAACATTCCTGTTCCTCTATGCTCTCTACATAAAAGCATGCTTCACTGGTATTTCACCTGCAATACAAGCCACAATGTTCTTAGGCAAGGACTAGAAGACCCATCCCACAGAAAGCCACCATAAAGAGAGCACACACGGATTGGGCTGTGTATAGAAAGGCCCTTCTACACATGCACATATAAGCCAGATCTCTAAGTGACAGCTGTAGCCTACCCAAAAAACATTACTTCTGAAAATCAGTGTTGGAAAAATTGCATATTCCAAAACCACAACCATTCATTCAAGTGAGCAATTCCCATCAACAGTGCCATTAAGGAAAGGCTTCAAAGCTTTAGGATGGTATCCAGGAAGGGAAAAATTGCTATGAATTACGAGTTGAAGGAGAAAGCGGACACAAAAAGTTTTACAAAAACTGCATGAAACATGGATTCTGACTTTTAACTTTTCTTAAGTCAATGGAAAACCTACTTTCTTCAAGATTTCTCCACCCAGGCGCACTCGAACGCAGATAGACTTAAAAAGTTTGCGATCTACTGGACAAGAGTTGGCATTCTGCAAAGAGAAGGAGGGGATGTGTTATTTATTTGATTTCTTACCCGCCATTTACCATAAAGTACCAGAAAGGGTACAACAATAAAATATGCAATTATAAAACAATGAAAACAGCTAAAAATGAAAAATAAAAGTAATTAAAACAGTCCATACATAAAACCATTAAAAACAATACTAAGGTAAGGGGACCGCAGCAAGCACAATTTTTAGCTAAGGTAAGCCAAAATCTGCCAGATTATGCCAGAGTAGCAATTTTGGTTTTTATATCACCCAAATAACAAGACTGAGAGCAACTAATATTATTGGTATTATAGAAAAAGAGAACAAGGTAATGAACGCATGCACTTTTTAAGGTCTACTGGGTTCACATTATTACTGCAAAAACTAAATGAAGGTTGGGCTTTAGTAGTTCAGGATAATAAGTAAAATGCATAATGGTAGATTCTACTGGTCTAGTTCTTCTTAGCCAGTGACTGTAAATCTGCATTATAACTTGATCCCATACAATGAATCTCTACAAAAATCACAAAGCATTTTGCACAGGATTATCTGAAAATTGCCTCAGGTATGGTATTATTTTTATCAGGTCACATCAAATTATACTGCTTATTGCCTTTGCAAAAAAAAATGTAAACAAACTGAGTAAGATAAATTATGCAACAAATTTATCTAAAGAGTTCTTACTTTAGACCACTCGACTATACAATCCAAGCAGAAGTAATGGGTACAGTTTTCAGGAGTTCCAACAGCCTGGTCCCTGAATGTGTTGAGGCATATTGGGCAGTTTTCAGCATCTTCATCAGAGGAAGAAAGAAAGCCTCCATTAAGTTGCGGCTTTGCTTTAACCAAATGTGTTGATTGCGTAGCAGCCATTTCCATTTCCTCCTCCTCCTCCTCTTCTTCCTCCTCCTCCTCCTCTGAGTCTTACAAAACAATGAAAGAATTCCTTAGTATTTATTTCCACATAATGCATTTTGGATTGAAGTGCCCTATGATCCTGAAGAGAAACAACAGTCAAATAGATTCCTGGGAGACCATGAATACCCACTTTCAGTGCTAAAGCTTCATAACGCTGCATTATTCAGAACCAGCACTCTACAGCTATCCCATCTATTTCCATGATTCAACACCAGTGGGCGCACAGTAGCCCAATGCTATATTAAAATTTCAGTTAACTAGCAGTCATCATATGTATGGCTTGCTTGATAGGAAAAAGAAAAACCCAAATAAAGTCACAGTGTTTATCAGGGTATTGCACAGCAAGAGGGAGTGCAATACAGTGGTTAAAGCAGGTATAGGGAACCACAGGTCCTCTAGGTTTCTCTATCAGACTTTTGGGACTCTGCCCAGCCCAGCCAATACGCATTCTGCAGGCCACATCTCTCACTGGTCCAGCTCTGCGCTCTCCTCTAGTGATTTTACCTGTCCTTGAATTGTGACAATACTGCTTGCTTGGATAAAAGAATGGCACACAACCACTTATGGAACACACGCCACTGGTATGCTAACCCCGGGAGAAAGCTGCCCACTAGGTAATGTGGCCTTCTGGCTGAAAAGGGTTCCCTGCACCTGGATCAAAATGTTGAGATTGAAGACCAGGGTATTCAAATTCCTGCTCACCCACAAAGCGGATGATTTCAGTCTAGGTTGTTATAACCATTCCACTCACATAGAGCATTAATGCTGCTTGAGATCTTTGGAAGAATGGAGAGATAAATATGCTAATGACAGTTTACATTCTATCTCATCTCATGTGTGAACCATGGCCCAACACGCTATGTCCAGTTAAATAGCTGCTGGAGACAACTTGATTCCATAAAATAGTAATGATCATAACATTGAGCTGTTTTTTTATCATCACCTTCTAGATCTTCATCTTCACCTTCTTCATCCTCTTCACCTCCATCTTCATCAGTATCACCTTCCTCCTCACTGCCCGTGTCATCAGAGTCCCCACTATTTCCATCGCTGCTTTCTTTTGAACAAGAGGAACATAAGAGGGGCAGAAAAGGAAAGAACATGAGTGCTCAGGGCCAACTATCATGTAAGGCAAAGAAAAAGCAAAGTCTTTACAAAAAAATCCAACCACCCATTAACATGTAAGTACTGGTGGTATTGTGTGTACCATTCCATATATCGTACCATTGTGGTTGTGCGTACCATTCCATATATCGGAAGTGTTTATCTCTTGCCAACATCAAGTAACTACGTCTCCACCACCAGGGAGGGACTCATGAAGAAAATAATAGGCAGTAGTAGTGGCCAGTCTCCCTTATAGGAGTTTGTATTAGGAGCTATCCAAGACCATTGGTATTTAGTTTCTGTTTGCATATTACATATGCACACACAAAACTGTATAATCAGTAAATCTATACAAAAACATGGCATTGGTATCAGAAACAAAATTATTCTGAGAGTCTACCTCTATTTTTATTTTCCAACCAGAAAAGAATAGATTTCTAGTTCTCATGGCTGAAAATGTGTGTTCAGTGAGCTGCGAAATCTCAAAAACAAAAAGTAAGGGTGTGAGCAGGACTTCAAGCAAACAGGGACTGAAGCGCCATTGGCTGCATATTGTTTATCATCCCTCCACCATGAATAGCTGAAACAAAATAAAAGGCCAAACAAAGTGTGTAACATTAACAAATTCACATAGTTAATCTTATCAGGGTATTTGGTTTTCTAAGGAAAAAAAGATAGCTGTTGTTCCCTTACTTCCTCTGCTAAAAAAAACCCCAATAGTTGTATTGCACCACACACTAACGTGCATGAGAGTTTTAACGGCTAATGCTTGAAATAGCATTTGGCTGTGTAGGGAATTCTAGCCATCAGTGTTAGCTAAATAAGGAGCCATGTATATGAAGCTTCAGATTGCTAAACATAAGAAAATCTGGAATGATGTAAACAGCCTTCCCCAGGTTGGCACCTTGTTGCTGGAGTACAACTCCCACTCTCTTTGGCCAATGGCCATGCTGACTGAGGCTGATGGGAGCTGTAGTCCAAAACATTTGGAGGGCCTCAGGTTAGGGAAGGCAGATGGTTTCTAAAAAAGACCACCAAGTTGCTTTCTGTAGAAATATCTTAACATTTATAGAGTAAAACTGCAAACCTCACTCACATCCAAGTTTGAAGTGACTAGGAAATAAATTATGCCTACGACTAGAGATGTACAGTTGTGAACCCATGAAGAATATCTCCAAACACAAAACCACAGACCAGTTTTCTCTTGTAAATGCCTTAAGGTTCAGAAGCTCCAGCAATTTTAAGAATAAGGCTCCGACTAGTTTCAGTTACCTGCGTCGCTGAAGAGCAGTGCAGTCGTTCTTTTGACTTTGCCTACTGCAGCATTCTTGTTAATGAGCTCGTCCTGACTGTCATCATCCATTGCAGGGCATCTGGAATTGGCTCCCTAACAAGAAACAAGATTCAAATTGAAGGCAAACTTTTGCAAATGACACAAAATGCTGAATACATTGTTTTTGACTTTGTACGTGCAACCTGGACCATGTCATTCTCTGGGTGACATACAGAAAAAAATTATTATTAGGGAACATTTAAGTTACAGAGAGAGAGAGAGAGAGAGAGAGGCGCAGTTAAACAGGGTATATCTTTTGCAGGAGATGTGGGCAACAGTAATAATCTGTATATATTTTTGTGCGACATCATTTCCATGGTGATAGAATGACAGTTGTCAAGATAAAGGTAAAGGGACCCCTGACCATTAGGTCCAGTCGTGACCAACTCTGGGGTTGCGGCGCTCATCTCGCTTTATTGGCCAAGGGAGCCAGCGTACAGCTTCCGGGTCATGTGGCCAGCATGACTAAGCCGCTTCTGGAGAACCAGAGCAGCGCACAGAAACGCCGTTTACCTTCCCTCCGGAGCATTACCTATTTATCTACTTGCACTTTGACGTGCTTTTGAACTGCTAGGTTGGCAGGAGTTGTCAAGATAGTGGGTGTCTAAAAGACAGTGAGCAGGGCAGGTCCAGTTTCACCTTGTATGTGACCAGGTCAGTCTTCTTCCACGAATTATTAAAACACTTTACAGACAACTGCACACCCGTAATGTTTTCACCACATATCAACAAGTAGAAGGCATGTCATATTTCCTAACAGGATTGGAGAACCAGTTAAGCAATAAAAATATTCTTCCAAGAAAGTCTCCTGTTCCACAATTGACCACCCCTGCCCCACAATTAAATTGGATTTGAAAACAAATTGATTCTGCCATGCTATCTGAGAGCAAGCCTGGACCTCCAAGTCATGTTTTATCTGCATCTAGGAAAATACCAATTGCATAGAAATGTTATGCTAATACGTAGAAATATAGGATATTTGTTAAGCTATAATTTATTCATTTAGTAGGTGCTAATAAATATGAAATAATTTTCCCCACATCAGGCTGCAGTTACTGGAATAAAGCAAGCAATGCTGAATTTTTTAAGGGCTTCACACATGACAAACTCAGTCTAGGACAGCTATGAGGATCAGTTCTGTTGGTACAGGAGTCAGTTTTGTACAGTTTGGAAACATTGTTTGTTCCTTTATTGATACTGAGCTTCAACTGGGTTGGACCTCAGCCTAACCCTATATCCAAGACTCCATTAACAGGCTGGAACACCTTAACAGTCTATATGAATTGGGGCATGGGTATCTGATGGGGTATACTTCCACATGAACCGACCCACTTACTCAAGCCCAATAGCACCTGCCTCCAGAGGTCAGAAGGGGTGGCGGACAGAGGCAGCATTTTCTGTTACGGCACCCCATTCATGGAGTGGTCATCAGTTATGGCATGTCACTGATGCAATGCTATCCCTCTGGTCTGGCACTTACACTTTTATCTTTTCCAGTGCCGGGCAGACATTTTTCTTCACCTTTCTTTAAAATAATAATAAAAAAGATTGCCTGAATTGGATTTCACCCTACTGTGCTGAGTTGTTGAGGTTTCTTAACCACTATTTTGCTATTTTATTGTTTCAACATATCTGGGGGTAGCAGCACTGAAGGATGAGATTTGTAAAAGTCCTCCAAGCAAACAAAATACATACTTTATGCCCGACTAGTCAGCAAACAGTGGTATCAGTCCTTCCGATGTTACCTTTTCCCTCATAGTGTGGTAGTGGCCTAAGGAGCAGCAAATCAAGTACAGTGGTACCTCGGGTTAAGTACTTAATTTGTTCCGGAGGTCCGTTCTTAACCTGAAACTGTTCTTAACCTGAAGCACCACTTTAGCTAATAGGGCCTCCTGCTGCCGCCGCACCACCAGAGCCTGATTTCTGTTCTTACCCTGAAGCAAAGTTCTTAACCCGAGGTACTATTTCTGGGTTAGCGGAGTGTGTAACCTGAAGTGTATGTAACCTAAAGCATATGTAACCTGAAGCGTATGTAACCCGAGGTACCACTGTACACACCAATAAAGCAAAATAAATACAGAAAATAAGTCTTTGGCGAGAATGTCATCAGGTGCAATGCAAGACTGTTGCACCAGGCAGAAACGGGCCACTCATTTTTGAATTCTAGTACCGGTACTTATGCCTGGGATGGGGGGGAGGGGCGCTCCAAATATTTTTGGACTTCAGCTCCCAGCTTTCCCACACCACGGGGCCACTGGGAGCCCAGTAACAACTGGAAGGCCGCCGGCTCCCCATCCTTGACACAGGCCACCCACCGGACTGGGAAAAGCGGAACGCATCTCAAAATAGAGAAGGAAGCGCGGAATTCTCCAGCGAGCAGCCCAGCGCAGCCGCCTTTCTCGCCCGTCACCGGGTCGTCGGTTCCGGGCAGCGGATGCCTCTCAAAGGCCACCATCCCGGAAATGGGCGCCACCTCCGCTCGCCCAGCCAGGCTCCCTGGTCTGACCTGGAGGCCCCAAAGGATCCTTCCCTCCCCCCCTCCGCTCACCTGCCAGGAGGGGACCCCACAAGGCTATGTAGACCGGAACAGGAGAGGAATGCGCACGCGCACCGGCTGCTTTTTTACACCCCCTTTTCCCGCAAAGGAACGCAAAGCGGAGCGCGGGGCAGGGGGAGACAGACGCCGCGTCGCAAAGCAGGACCGCTGTGAAGGCCGAGAACGCCTCCGGAGCCGACCCGGAAGGGAACGCGCAGATGTTCCGGGTTACCTGACGCGGCAGGCGGCGAGAAGGGCTGTTCCATTTCGAGGCAAAACGCGGGGGGAGCAAGGGCGGAAGAAGAGGCGAAGTAGAGCGGAAGCCCCACGGAGCCACGACGCAGTGTGAGCGCCCGGATTCTGCTCCAGTGCAGTGGCTGCGATTGGGCGGCGCTGTTTCGCCGGGGCGAGTTCCCGGCACAGCGAAACGGTGGGCGCAACGCGGGCTTGCTGCCTGCGAAACTGACGGCGCTGCTCATCGGGAAAGACCCTTGTTGACTTGAGATTTCTGGCTTCGGACCTCCTCAACCCGGGCATTTTTGCATTGATTCGTTGATCGAATCTATGCACCGCCTTTCATCCAAAGATCACAGGGCGGCTCACAACATAATACACAGTGAAAATGTGTTCAAAGCATTTTCTCTCTCGCTGAGGTGTCGCCTCCTAAACTATTACTTACTGAACAGTGGAGGAACTAGAGAGGACCCCCCCCCCCATCTTAGAAAATGAAACCATGCAAAGCAACTCCTCCGCTAGTGGGGATGGCCCTTTGCACGCGCTCCAGGGCGCTCTTTCGCCGCGCCTCTGTGGCAAAGCTGTCAACTTTCCCCTTTTCTTGCGAGGAATCCTATTCGGAATAAGGGCATTTCCCTTAAAAAAAGGGAAACTTTGACAGCTATGCTCTGTGGCGACCTAGCGCCTGCACCTTGAACAGCCCGATCTTGTGCCTGTTGGCTCAGAGGCCGAGGTCAGTGGGATTTACAGATGCGGGCTTTCTCTGGTCCAAACACTTGAAGGGGGGGGGGTTCCCTTTTGGCGACTGCAACTTGTCATGCAGGGCTGAGAAAAGGTTTGCCTGCCAAAACTCCCTCTTGAAGCCGGCAGAGTGATGGCAAATGCCGAGGTGCGGGAGCTCTTCATGCCACCCCCCCTCCAACGATGGGGTTGTTTTTTTAAATATATATATATAACGCCCTGCCGTGAAATAAGTTGTCCTCACCGCTCGCCACCTCGTCATAGCTGTCAACTTTTCCCTTTTCTTGCGAGGAATCCTATTCGGAATAAGGGAATTTCCCTTAAAAAAAGGAAAACGTTGACAGCTATGCACCTTGTAAATCACGGGAACTGCTAACCTTACGCACAGTTTAGAAGGCGGCGCATCTGCACGGGCTAAATAAACGGATGTCAAGCTCGATGGAAGGCAGGGACATGTCTGAATTTTCAACACCGTATGGAATCAGGAATTGCAAGTCTGAGCTTTCCTTTCTTTAAAACGATTGTGTGCGCCTAGGTCACGAAAGAAGCGCCCGGCTTCTCCAGACAGAGATTCCCACGCACGTACGCATTCCTGGCTTTCTGCAAGGCCCCTTCGGAATCGGAAGCGTTGCTCTACTAACTTGGTGGGTTCCTTAAAGCAGGCTTGAAGCAAAAACGTCTGTTTGATTTGCTGAAAGTTAAAGCAGTATCCGCGTAATTCGGCTTAGTGTTGCCAATTGTGACAGCGGTCCCAAGCACGCTCACTACACAGAGTGAGACCTATTGAACTAAGCAGAGGCTTCGTGCCTCAGCACGTTCAGGATTGTGCTCTTTCAGTGGAACGTGCTTTGAATGAATCCCAGCAACCGTCTGTGCAGAGCGTTTCCCTCTTTTATCTGGCAGTTTTAAGAGATGGGGACCTCCGCGCTTCTGCACCAAGCGGCAGTTCCGCAGTTCTGCCGCAAGAGGTCTCTGGAGCACCCATCCCCGCCGCCGCACCCTGCAGTCGAATGCGAGCGAGCCGTGCGTGTTAAACCCCGCGGAACGGATGGGCAGGACTGCATGCCAGTATTCTCTTGCTAAAGAGTTCGGGATTATAAGGATTATACAGCTAGCGCAAGCGGGAAGCCCGGTGTTATTAATGCTCCAGCTAACCCAGCGAGACAAAACAAAACGCGCTCGTGGAAGCGAAGAGCAAGAGCCAAACTGAGAAAGGTTAATCGCTTATTTTCGCTGCATTAAATGTGTCGTTATCCGAACGGGGAATGTAAATTCACATACAGACACACACACAAATGCTTCCTGGAAATGCATGGAGTGCGCTTTATGGCTGCTATGGCTGACAGGGCAATCCTAACCCCGACTATTCGGAAGAAAGTCCTGATGAATGCTCTCAGGAAAAGGGGGTAGAATTGCAACCTTTGCTAGTGGCCCTCGTCGTCTCTGATTTCTTTATTTAGATCAGAGCTTTCCAAACTGCGTGTCGCGACACATTAGCGTGTTGGCTGCAGTGTGTAGGTGTGTCACGCAAACACCCTTATAAGGGGTTAGTTTAACCTCTGGTTTGCTAGTAAAACTAAATTACTGTATCACGAAATGATGTAAAACTGAATTACTGTGTCACGAAATGATGCATGTCTAAAAAGTGTGTCACCAACATGAAAAATTTTGAAAGCTCTGATTTAGATTATTTGTACCTGGCTCTTCAGCCAAAAGAGCTCCCGGAGTAGCTTTGAAACAATCAATTAAAACAAGACGTCCTTACCTGGAGACTAAAAAAAAAAAGGACACACAAGGAAAAAGGGACATGGAATGAAGAAGAAAATCACTCTGGTACAACAAATTCTTACAGTGACCAGGCAGCACAGTTCAGGGGCAGGAGGTGCTGATGGAGCTGGTCTTTTGGCAAAGCTGATGGAATGAGCCCTGCTTTCCATCTCTCCCACTGAGGCAGTCTGGTGGAATGGCTGCCCCAGGTGACAGCTGAGGGAGAGGAGACCTGATGGCAGCGAACTCCACACATTTATCATGCACTGTTTGTGAAGGTCTGCCTGAAATCTCCTGCCAGTCAGTTTCATTGGTTAGTTCTAGTATAACATCCCATTCTTCTCCCCCAAAACCACTCATAATTGTATAGCCTTCCTCCCCCACTAGTTATCTTATTTACGATTTTCCTCCGTTATGAGAACTGCCTGTTTAATCTAGGCTCTTGTTCCTGAATACAGTGGTACCTCTGTATCTACAGATATCTCTGTATCTGAGAGCTACCGTTCTCAGATCATTTGCAGTGTAGTCCTGTTAAAGCCAATGTGACTACTTAAGAAAAAAACAAATAGGCCGTGCGCTTAGTACGAATTTGCACTACCACAGTAAGAATTGCACCTCCCAGTGGTACCTCTGTTACTATGTTCAGTTTAGTGACGGCTGGAAAAATGAGCAATTGTTTCAAAAACCCCTGGGGAAATGGCATTAAAGGGAAAGGGCAGGTAAGTCCAGGATACCGAACAACTAACTTGATGCCTAGTAGGGTTGCCAAGCTTCCACACCCTTTCAGTGCCATAGCTGTGATGTAAGTGGAAGCGAAGCCAGTGAAACTTTTCTAAGCATGCCATGATGGAGGAAGCTACTGCTGCTCAATTCCTGTTTGCTATGTGACAGTTTAAGCAGTTTTGTAAATAAGCCCACAAAAGTTACTAGCCTGCCCCCAACCAATGTACCAGCCTGCTGGGGTCTCACTAAGGACAGGCAGAGCGCTCCACCAGCCTCCTCACTCACCTGCACGCAATTCCTTGTCACCTATGGCTACCAGGCTAGTGCTTAAATGCAAGGCTGAGTAAAAGGCATAGTAGTTCTCCCAAGAAAAATAGAGTGGCAACTCAAGCTACCTGTGGGGACAAATCGAGACATGAGCCAGGAGATAAGCAATTAGGATCTCCTGTACCCGCCCCGCCCCCATTTAACAGCTTCAAGTTCATCTTTCCCCATCCAGATTATTTATTTTCCTATCCCACCTATTCTCCAAGGAGCTCCACCCCATTTTATCCTCACAACAACCCAATGAGGGAGGTTAGGCACTGCAGGTGGAGACAGTGACTGGCCTAATGCCACTCAGTGACAGCTTCATGACAGAGTGGGGATTTGAACCCTGGTCTCCCAGGTCCTAGTCCAACAATCTGATCACTATAGCAGAGTTCGGGACTGCAATGCTGGCGGGGGATGGAGAGGATTATTTCCCTACCACCAGCAGCTCCTGGGCAAATGTTTTCCAAATAAAATTGCTTCCCCAAGCTATTTTTGGCCTTGTAGGGGAAATGTACGGGTATTTGCCCTTCCTCTACAGAATAACAACTTGGAGGGTGGGATTTTAATTGGGAAAACAAGGGGGCGGTTATCTCCCCCTCCCACCACATTATGGTCCGAGTACCATTTGCCCACAGTAGCTGCTGTTAATCAATGCTTAAAAAACAAATAGTCTGGGAAACCCTAACACCAAACCCCCATGCTGTATCTGGCCGTGCCTCTAACTCCCACCTCATCCAGCAGCTGACCAGCCCTGTGAGTGTGCCTGGACTGGGAAGCTGCTGGGGTGAAGCAGTGGGACCAGGGAGGAGTGGGAGAGGAAGCTTTGTCTGGCGGTCTCTGTCTCCCCAATGCCTGGCCCACTGCAAACAGATCAGGTACTCCCTCTCTCCACTCCTAGTCTGCAAAGGATTGGGCCTAAGCTTCCCAGAACCTTGGGAGTTATTATTTCCACGTGCTTCTGGGCCTGTTCTGGGGAGGGCAGGATGGTCAGCAGGCAGCGTGCAATAGCACCAAGGTGGAGAATAGCATGTTCTCTGGTGTGCCCTTAGGGCTGCAATCTGGTGACACGCATAGGTGGCTGCAAGCTCTATTGAATTCAGTAGGGCTTACTTCTGAGTAGGCACGCAGAGAATCAGACTGACCTTTGAGTTTATCTGCAAGGAGAGGCAGTTTGTTGAAAGCATAAGACTCCCAAGGAAACTGGGAAACGTACAAAGCAATCTCTCTCCCTTATACATAACATGTACTCATGAATCATGTAGGTTTCTTGCTCAGCCTTGGGATGGGATCTTGTCAGAAACCAGGGGAGGGTAGAGAGTGCCTTTCCCTGGTAAGACTAAAAAAAACAAAGTGAAGCAAGAACGACACCAGCCTCAGCTGTCCCTTTCTAGCAACGCTGAGAATGAAACGAAGCAAAAGTAGGAAACGGCCTTTCCAGCTATAATTCATGAGACGCTGAATGTTGAGGAGGAAAACAAGGCCTCCGCTATGAATGGAAGCCCGCCCAGATGCAATCTGAAGCACTCTTTTGGAACAAAGCAGGATTTGTTGATGTTTGGGGCTGTTCTTAGCAGGGAATACAGTTCCAGGGGGGGATCAGAGGAAGAGGGAAGGGGGGTCAGAAATTAGAGAAGTTAGTTTAGTGCTCCTAAACCCCAAATGCTAGTCTTTCATCTACAGCAGAGTCCCTGTGTTATCACCT